GCAGGGTCTTGCCATGGCGCGATCTCGATCTCGAAGTCGTGGCCGCGAGACCCTGAAGCTGACGAGTATCTCGGGCCACTCGGGCCGGAGGATTTGGAGACCCGTGTCACAGGTCTTGGGACATGCATAGGGTCCAGCTATCAAAGAGTTTGTGTGATGGGGGCTATTTGGTGGGGCCTTTGATCTTTGAGACCTTGCTGGTTCTTAGAGAATAGTTTCCGGGTGATTCAGTTTGGGATCTCATTTCCCTACCAGCAAGAACAACCAACTGGGGAACAACAAAATCCAGCCTGCCCAATGTTGACCTCTGATTAATACCCCCCCCCATCCACTTATTGTGTAGGGGGTCCCTTTTTTTGTTCCTGCTTTCGCTTCAGGCGAGCTGCTGGCGGAGTTGGACCTGGACGAGGAGCTCCGGGCGGACTTCGTGAGCCAAGTGCCGCTCGGCAGCCGAGCGGCCAAGCGGCCGAGAGCGGACTCCCCAGGTTTCGTGTGTGGCCGGGGAGTCGCAACGTGACCGCCATGGAAAGAGTAAAGAGGCGGTTCAGTTGAGGAGTGACCATTTTGACGCATTTCCCACAAAAACCTCGAGGTGCTTGCATTTTTCCAATGTCATCAATCTTGGAAACAGAACCCTCAGTGCTCGCACCCATTTCACCCACCTAAGGAACACGTAAAAGCCAGGCAGGATCTTTCCACGTTTCACAAAGTGTCTTTGGAAGGTTTCAACACCTCCCTGCGCTTCCCTCCCTCTCCCCTCCACTCCCTCCCTCTGCTCCCAGGAAGCTCCGCCTCGGGGAGCGCCTGGGCTGCCCCGCCTGCCGCCTGCAGCTGCTGTCCGTCCGCCCTACGAATTCGGCCACGAGTTGGGAGTCCTGCGGAAGGCCGCGGGAGCTGCAGCTGCTGCGGGTGCCGCTGGCGCCTTGGAGGACAATCACTCAGACCGCTTCATGGGCGGTGGGGCGCGCTGCTTCTGTTGTCTGAGGGGGTGCGGAGGGAATCGTAAGGAGCCGAAAAGCTGGTTAGCGGTTGGAACGACAGGAATTGTTATGGACATGATGCCCACGCGAGGGCCCATGTCCATGTAAGACCATACCCCTGTGAACGTCAAGCAAAATGAAGTGCGCTGGCAGATATTGATTGCCTGGAGATATTGGCACGGACCCATGCGGGTAAAAATATTCCCGCGGCACACACACGCAAACTAACCAAAACCATGTGTGGATGACATTGCTGCTTCGATTGAGGGCAAGTCAAAGAGTTGACATATTGGCTAAAAGCAGGTTTCCCTTGTTTTGAGGCAAACCCATATGCATATCTATAAGTATACATACATATTATATAAATATACGTACATACACATGTATTCATGTAGATGTCTTTACGTATGGATTTGCCGATGTAGAATGCTTTTGCGCCACACTGGGATGATGGACACTCGTATATGTTTCAATGTCTTTAGCTGAATGTTTGATGATGTCAACCATCTTGCGTTCACGATGTAGGTTGGGGGGGGGGGAATCATGCTGATGTTTGTTTCCTGCTTGCAATCAATATTGTTCAAGCAGGCGATTCGCTTCAGAAGGTAGTTGGATCGGACGTTGATATTTATTTCCCCCAGGACGGTCAGTTCTTGACGGGCTCGTTCGCTTTTATTTGAGAGCGGTGCTCTGACTCGTGAATCAACGAGTGAGGCACCTGATCTTTGCTCAAATTTTGTTTCTCATACTTCATTTTGAAGGCTGGTTCGAGAGTCCAGGCGCGAGTTTTGGAAGGCAGAACACAGCGTGAGGTGCGTGACTACCACGATGATTTGGTCGACGCTGTGGGGCTGCAGTGTGTGGCTCGAGTGCGCGAGATCCTGGTCCCTTGCCTGCGACGGGCATTTCTTGTGCCCTTCCTATTTTGGTCTGACGTTGCAAATACCAACAGTCCTAGGATCATGGCTTGATTTCGTTTTGCAGTACAGAAACAACTGGATGCCGAGAAACCATCAGATGCTGTCCCGCATGTCTTAGCTTGTGCCCAGGAACGCGGTCAAGACCCCAGCTTCTCGGGCGACGGGAAGCCGGCGGTGTTCCATGCAGTGGCTTCTGCAAACCTGGAGATCTTGTTGATTCTGCGAGCTGCTGGGGCCGAGATGGACCCCCAAGACCGAGTGGGAGTCCTGGCTGCGTTGGTGAGAGTGGCATGCTGGAAGTCTGGAGGATTGGCAGGGGCTTGTGCAAAGGCAGCCAGCGCAGCAGAAACACATGGAGCATGCAGTAAAGAGGCTCTTGAGACAAAAGTTAGTGCAGCGGGCAACAAGGAACTGGCTTTTGTTTGGTTTCCTACGTAAGTGAACCAGCTCCAAAAGGGTAACAGTTGCGACAATGGTAAGCCCATATGGGGTATGTGTTTTACTCAGGCACCCTTTGACGGATATCATTTGCATTGGCATTTACATCATTACGCCCACCCACCATTGTTGAGATTGCTCCAACCACAACAAAACATAGCCATATGACTGATCAGTAGTTATTACACTAGTCTAGGTCCCCCAATAGTGCCCTTTTACCTCTTTTTTTTGGGGAGGAATAGACTACAGAAAATTGGGTACCCTTATTCTAACCTCTCTACTGGAGGACCTAGTAGTAGTTTGGGTTGTTTCCCTTTGGTTTCGCTTTTAAACCAACCTCGCAGAAGGGTACCAACTCCCAAAGGCGGTGCACGCATAGTGGCAGGTGGTGTCGATTCCAACGACTATGGAAGTGGACAAGCCCAAATGGTCTTCCAAGCCCTCCTGGATACACTTCCATTCTTAGGGTATCTCTATTTCGGGGCTGGGCTTTCCTTCCGCAAGTGGCAATCGGGGCGGGGACATGTATACCAACTCATCAAAGGGCACTTTGATTCTTGGCGGCAGCGACAAGTCCCAATGCTGCACAAGAGATGCACATTGATTAAGGTTGCCAAGTCTTTTGTTGGCACATGCTTTGCAATGTTTTCTTGTTAGTTGGACTCTATGCGAGTCTATGCTATCCTGCTATGGGGTCTTAGCAAACCCTTAGGGCAGGTTCCGGGAAGCTGCGGGGAAGAAATGTCGGCCCATGCTGTTCGTGACGCTTGGGGTTGGGACATCACTGGGATTCACGGGGCTATGCTGGATCTCAGAATTTGGATACCCCAAGAAGGATGAGGCCCATTACACATCAAACAAGCAAGCAAGCAAGCAAGCAAACAAACAAACAAGCAACCCAAACAACCCCCCAAAAGCAGCGATTTCCTGTTGCCTCGCTTTTGACCGTCCTCTGGCGCTTCCTTCAGATCCGAGGCGCCTCGCCGCTGTTCCTGGCCTCGCAGCTGGGCTTTGAGGCTGCAGCGCGGCTGCTGCTGGACAGCGGCGCGGAGGTCAGCTCTCGATGTTTTGTGGATCCCATTGACCACCAGACATAGGGCGGTTTTCCTGACAGGTATGTCTAGGTAAGTGGAATCACTGGGACAACCCACGCCTGTCACCAAAACAGCAGGGAGTCCTCATGGGGGTTGTGGTGGACAAGCAGAGTTTGCTTTGTTTTTGTTTTGTCACGAGAGTCACAAGCACAACCCCGGTGGTGGGGTATACTTGTGTGTCCAAGTTGCCATGCAACTTAATATAGATGCAGCCGCCCTCTTGCATGACTTTCATAGGGTTTATGACTTCTCAGCAAACAGAGGCGGTTAAGTAGTAGAAACCACCCCCTGCCAAAAAAAACATGCCCTCAAGGATTTTCTTGAAATTATTTCGGGTAGTCTCTGTCATGCGGAGTTTGGATTGTGAAGGTGAACCGTGTAGCGGAGAACGGCATCACCGCCTGCCACATTGCCGCGCGGAACGGGCACCCCAGCTTGGTCCAGGCAAGAAGCTTCCCAAAAGGGAGGGGGAAGGGGGAAATGTCACGATGGTGCCGTCTTTGGGGGATTGGTCACGTGATGTTTGCGGCAGTACCGGAAATCTCAGTAGTAGTTTGCTGACAGAAAGACGTGCTGGGAGTTCTGTGTGGAGGGAGATAGACTGCAGCTTCAGGCTTGGTGGATTTGTTCTTGCCATATGATTCCTCCAGCTGCCGATCCCCCGAGCATTTTGCATGCTGGCTCCAACAAGCGACAGGCGTGCTCCTAAATGTTTGCAGCAGTTCGAGCTTCCTCATGTTGATTCATTCTCAGAGGTTGCCAAACCTGCGAGCTCAGTCCAGTTTTTTCCACGAGCAAAAGTGTGCTTCGGGGTTTGCCTTGGCAGGTGTTGATTCAAAGCGGCGCCGACATGAACAGATCCAGCGAGGATGGGTTTGCTCCTCTGCATGTGGCCGCTTTGTATGGACAGGCGGATGTGGTAGCGGCGTTGGTGAAGCTTGGCGCAGATGTCAACAAGACCATCGAGACTCGGTTGCGTTTTGGCACGACCTTTAACTTTTAGCCTTTCAATCATGTGTCGTTTTGTTTCCACGATTTCCCGAAACTACTGCAACGATCAATGCGTTTAACTTCTTGGGACTATGTTTGACCACCCCAGGAAACTGGGTTTACCTCCCTGCACCTTGCGGCCTGCAACGGTCATGCAGGCGTGGTGCGTGCGCTGGTTGAGGCAGGCGCCGACATCAACGCGTCCATCGACGATAGCTTCACGCCCCTGCACGTGGCAGCGGTGAACGGCCATGAGTCTATGGTGCATACCCTGGTGCAGGTGGGCATGGACGTGAACAAAGCCAGCAAAGACGCCAAGCTGACAGTTGCACTGTGCGACCAGTTGGAGGTTTCTCGAAATAGGGCCCCTACAAAGGGGGTGCTTCCTTTGACTTCTCTTTTACCAGCCACAAAAGGGTTCACGATGTTGAGAAACCTCCCTTCTGCTTTGCTTCTTTGCAAAGGGCAGATACCTCACGTGTTCGCCTCTCGATAGAGGGTTCTACGCCGATCAAGAGCAAGAGTCAATGGCCACCTCAAGTGCCAAGTGGATCTTCAACTCTGCGTCTTGCGAAAGAGTAGCTTGGTTAGTTCATGCAGCAATCAAATGCGCAGCTCAGATTTACATTTCTTTGTGTATATAGTGTGTACATATACATATATAATACATGTATGAATTCTGGGTTGCTTGTGTCCTGGCATTCCGTAGTAAATTCCGTACAGTCACCTTTCCGACTTGTGTCTTCCCGCTATCACTTCCTTTTTGGGGCCCCAGGACGGCTTCACCCCGCTGCACGTGGCGGCGCTCTACGGCCAGGAGCCCGTGGTGCGGGCGCTGCTGGGCTTCAAGGCCGACGCCCTGCGGCGCCTGGAGACCGGCCTCGCGGCGCGGCAGCTGGCGCAGCGCAACGCCCACGGCGGCGTGGCGCGGCTCCTGGCGGAGGCGCGTTTTCTTCGAGAGGCGGCGGGGTGTGGTCGTCCTCGACCTGAGGGTCCTGGGGTGAAAGCGGAGAACACAAATGGCCATGGGATGCCATGGGTCAAAAGCCCGTACCCCCAGTGAACATCCCAATGGGTGGTGCCTGCCCCAAAACGGTACCATTGGTTTTGACCCACCGTCTGCTTTTGATTTTTTTTTATCCATCTTTACTTGCCCAAAGGGGGATTGTGCCATCCTCATAGCGCGACCAACTCAACGGGCACAGCACCCCCTTCTCCAACCTTTCGGAGGCGGAGGCTGCGGCAAGCGAAGAAGTGGAGCCAACAGAGCCAGTGCTGGCGGAGACAAAAGAACCGGAGGGGAGTGGGAGGGAGGAGGGGATGGAGATGGAGGTTTTTGGAGCTTTGTTTGTGTTTACTGATACGAAACATTATTTTTGGACTCTGGTGGTGGGTTTGGCCCTTTGTTCAGATCCCTCGCGGGCGAGCCCGGGCCCTGGAACCAGAAAAAGCAACATTGCAGTTTCAGTACGGGGTACCTGAAACTGCCGGACTCGCGCCGAGGCGGCGCTTGGAGTTGGTCCCTGCGGCTCTTCGAGCAGCTGGGCTCCTGGCGCCTTTCGGCCGACCAAGTGAGCTGCTGCACCGCCATCACCGCGTGCCAAGGCCGCGTCGCGTGGGCGAGGTGGTTTAGTTGGTTGCGGGCCCCACAGATTTTGGTCCAAATTTGGGCGGGTCCACCATTTGGAAACAAACCCGTTTTGGAGACAAATCATTCGGGTTTCCAGTTCATATTTGTGGCCCCAGGGCTGTCAGATGTCTTCATAGCACTTGTCACAATCGCATGTCGTTGTGTGTTTGGCACTTGTGTGTGCCTAACTAGTTGGAATGGGGTTGCGGGGCAACATCAACCAGATTTCCTCATTGCAGAAGTGTCGGTTCTATTGCGCGCGGGCATATTCGCATTTGGCCTGCAGACGAGTGGCAGCGGGTTCTCGGATTCCTTTCTGAGATGCAGCTGCGGAAGCTGGAGAAGAATCAGCCGCTTGGTATCAAGGTGCTATGTGTCAATGGAGAACCCAAAGAATGTGGTTCGGTTTTCCTTTGGTTTTCCCTTGAAACCAAACAAGGGTTCCCTGACCGTATACATGTTGCGGCATGACTTGGACGGATGCCCCAGCGGATGTCTGCCCAGGTTCTCCAGTTTCGCCTATCTTTGTCAAAAATGTCATCGTTTGTCGCAAAATGCGCCAATTAGACAACTTCTGTTGGCGACAAGGTTTGACTTTGGGCTTTGGTGAGCTACATCTTTGGTGTGAATGTAACTGGTGCCGAGGTTTGTCTACAGCGCTGCCATCAGCGCTTTGTCTGCCGTGTGGCAGCTTGCGTTGTCCCTCTTTCTTGAGATGCGAGCAGCAAGGATGCAGCCGAAGCTCCGCTGAGATCGAGGGCTGCCAGCCCTGCGGATTCATAGAGGATAGAGGGGTGTTTACTCCAAAAGTGAAGGAGTCCAGAGTACTGTATTGTTTGGTGCGGCCATGCGATGCAGTGTGTCACACTGCACTAAGGGCCACAGATTCCTCTTGCGCAATTGGAAACTACTTGGTGCAGCATTGCATGAGAGCATGCCCCAGAAGCATGGCTCGCACACTCGCATGACACTCGCAGGTCCTTTGTTTGGAGCCTTCCTACCCTCCAGCCGGGGGGCAGCCTGCGCAAAAGGGTCAGTCAAGCTGATGCCACCCAGGAATGCGGTGGTTCGCGGCGCCACTATCAGCGCCTGCAAGTCATGGACGCTGTCCTTGCATCTGCTTGAAGGAGATTTCCCGAAGGGAACTCAGTGCATGGTACATATGCTGCCCTTCTAATTCCCAACTTAGAAGCCCCGTGAATTCTCAGGTTAGCGTTTGGCCCAGTGTAGTGCTGGGCAACCTTTCTCTGGATGCAGATTACTATTGGCTTGGCTTTGTGATAGTAGTTCAGGGGCCTTGTTTGTGAAAGGTTGTTGACAGGCTTGAACGCGGCATCTGCAATTTATATATTCGATTCCTTCTCATGTCATTGGGGGAGGTTTGTTTGGGTCAACGTATCGGTCGAGCTGACAGCCTTCCATAAGGGGACGCAACAAGATGTGGTTATCCATCAAGACTCTCATTCAATATGCTCCTTGTGTGGATGCTGGGCATGGATGCAAGCCAGGAATTCGCTTTCTTGATATATGATTGGCCCATAGTGGCCCCTGGACAGTCGCTTGGCTTTGGACCATGTCACGTGAGCTGTTGTAGGCCTCCGAGCCAGGCTAGGGTGGTTCCAAAGCGGATAAAGAGGATGTTTTCTGGTTGGACCCTTTTGTAAACCACCTTCAAGAGGGAAAATGCCAAAGTCCAACATCATGTATACACATATTGTCTTTCTTTTTCGGATGCTCTCCTTGAAAGAAGGGAAACTTAAGAAACTGAAAGGCATTTTTGGACCCCTTGTGTTTGACCACTTTTTATGCCGGCGGCAATGCGATGGAACGCGACTCTGGGGACTCGTGCCAGGAGCGCCGAGCGTCAAGGCCGCTGCCGCCTGCGGTGCGCCGTGGCAGTGCAGCCTGCGGCTCCTCGCCAGGCTGCGAGGCGCGAGGGAAAGGCCGTTGTGGGTTTTGATTCCTCGGTTCTGCTCATTTTAGCGGGGGTTGTGATTGATTGCTTCTGCTCGTTTTAAGTGGGGGTGATGGTGGGGGGGGAGGAAGGTAGTTCTGCCGAGATGCACATTGGGGCGAAAGAAGATGGAACAACGAGTAAGGGGATGATGAAACTACTTTCACCCAACTCTAGTACGCGCGATGTTTAATTTGTGTGTGTGTGCTGGTTTATGCTTTTGTTCATTCTGAAGGCAGTACTTTTGGATGTATCTTCTGGCAAAAATTTCCCAAAAGACTCGAAGTCGGCAGTCTCCCTGATTATCCCCTGCCTTCCTAACTTCGAACCCCCAAAAGAAAAGGACATATACAACAAATATCTGGCTGCTTCATCTCCACTCACCACCATTTAGCTCGGGAAATCTCTTGAGCCATGGTCCCAGTCCCTAGGCCGCTGCCTTCGCCTGGACACCGCCGCCTTCCACGCCGCCGGATCGGCGGATTGGCGCCTCAGCCTGGCGATGCCCTGGCGGCACCTGGCGCTGCCGGCGGAGCCGCTGGCGCCGGGGGCCCAGGGAAGTCCCACGGTTTCGGCGGCATCGGGGCAAACCTGTGGCTGGCGGAGTCAACATGTGAGACACATTTTCCGATGGGGCGGCTGAACTTTCGGGGAAATGAAGTTAGACTTGTCTGTCTCCTTTTCGGCTGTCAACGGCCCATGACTCAGTTGCAGGCGAATGAACAAATCCCCGAGCGAGAGAGGGTTTGGACCATGGGCCAAGGCACTCCTTGGCAGTCACAGCCTGTGGGGAGATGGGGCTTTGGGAACGCTCGGCAGATGTGCTGCTGGCAGTCTTCCAGCAAACGATTCAGGCGGACTTGAGACTCAGCTGCTAGTATTTGTTGGTTTAAGAGCCGCCTCTTTGCCACCAGTTTTTCCCATGTGGCCCTTGGATCCTTGGTCCAAGATGGGATTGAGACGAGAATCCCAATACATCCCAATGCATTTCCGATGCCAGCTGCTTCAGCTATTCCCCTCACATCTGGGTATGGCTCAAAATTAAAGAGCGGGGGTTACGCGGGTTGTCGTCTTCCATTTACCAAGGGGCCATTTTCGTACCACTTGTTTGAGCCACAGCCATCTGATTCGCTGCATGTCAGTGGCTTTGGTCGGATTTTGGGACCCGAGGATTCTGCACAACAGCGTTCTCAGCGCCTACGCCGCGGGAGTGCGCTTCAGAGCTCGGAGCGATTCGAGCGCCGGAAAAAGACAGCCATAGCAATTATGCCACCAGTTGGTATTTGGGGTTGCTCTTAACCTTAGATGACCAATCCTCAAGTTGGTCGCAAGTTGAGTTTCCTTTCCTCCGTGTGTCCGATGTTCTACATTTGTGACGGGGCCTTCGGAGCAACACTGTCAGAGTCAAAGGACACAATGGCATTGTCAGGTATTGGTTCAGTAGGTGTGGACAATCACACAATTAGACAAGGGCTGTATCCTGCCTGAATAGCCTAGTTATATGGAGGCTTATATTATATTCAACATGGTGCAATCCTTTTTGGTTGGTATGCAGCCGGAAACCCAAAGGACACCAACCACTTTAGAGGGCCAGTGTTTTGAGACGCCCCCCCCAATGTTGGCGGAAAGAAGCCTTGCCTCCTTACAAAGGACCTGCAAGAGCTTACGTGCTTTTCAACCTGAGGCTTTCTGTGCTACCTATTCCATGATCCTGTACCAACCACCATAGGATTTGAGTAAGGAATGGTTGGAGGTTCATTCCCATATGCCCTACTTAGCAGCACAAAGTCCCCTCATGTCTGAAGGCCTGGATCAAAAGGGGGGAAGCATCGGATGTCTCCCGCTGTGCGGAAAGCTATGGCTCAGTGGCTTGCTTTTCCGGGTTTGTGGGACTACCCTCCCCCATTTTGACCAACCCAGCTCTTGTTCAGGGCCCCAATGCGTGTCATGCCTCTGGTTTTCCCTGGGTTTGGCTTCCTGGAGGGCTTTACCACAAAACGAGATGAGGGAACGAGGTGCTTCTTGCCCTCCACTTTGGATCATTATGCATCGGCTCAAGCCTTTTTGAGTGGGCGGGCCAGGGACAAACTGACGCTGCTTGGACCAAAAGAACCAGTTCACTTTTTGGAGAATGATCAAGGTTCCCCACAAACCAGCCTTGAACCGTTTGGAGTTCAGTACCAAGTGACAGTGGTTCTGATTATTCTGATTGTTGTTTCAAGAACATAAGCAAGCACGCAAACAAACAAGCAAGCCAGCAGAAGCAAGGAAGCAAACAAATGAGTAAATTGATCAATTGACTAAATCGATGGATCATATTCAATGTACCTTGGGGTCGAGTATGCCATAGAGCAGAGCCTGAACATACCTACCTACTTTTGCCTGTCTGCCAGAATCTCCCACATGCTCCGTCTGCGCGGCCATGGGTCCCGTGAAGTGGGAGAAGTTGCATCCAACGTGACTGATGTGATCGCGCCGACGAGTTGCACTTCGAGCCATGTGCCCTCCGTTTCGTCGAACTCGCGGCCGGAATTCGGGCGATATTTGCTGGATGCGGCAGCGGGTGCGCTTGCGCTTGCGACGATCTACGCCAGGGTGAACCTCGAAGAACCTTGGTGGCTGTTGGCTTGACCCATGTGCGTTTTGGAAAGAGGTACTTTTCCAAGCAAGCAGTTTGACTTCTTACAAGCGGGCAGCAATCTACATTGACCTGGAACCCTCAAAACACGTTGTCCTTGAAGGGAGATTATTTTGGGAACCCCTTTTAACATGCGTTGCATGCTAATTTGAAGTGGGACTATCCCAGGAATCTCTTCGGTGGCTTCTTTTCCTGGTGGCCGCCGCTGGGTACATGTCAAAGCTGCGTCCTTGCCTGAAGTTATGGCTCCTCGGCTTTCCGTTGGCGGACTAAGGGAAGAAGGGGAAACAACCAAAATGCCCCTCCACCTAGGAAGGGTTCTGAGAGCCTTCTGATTGAAAGGGTGGAGGCAATGGTGTCACAAGGCCGATCCTGGGTTCGGGCCGGCCCTGGTTCCGGGTTGCGGGAAATATGGGAGAGCTACTGTGGATGGACAAAGTCCTGCACCAAATTAAAACCATGGGAGACCATTGTTTGTTGGTATTTACAAGGGAATCATCATCCCATGGTTTCTTAGGTAGTGCAGGATTTCGTCCATCCACAGTATTAGGCCATTGAAATGACCCGGAAACGCATCATAGTGTGTGTGTGTGTGTGTGTCCCTTCATGCCTGCGGATTGTTTTTGTTCATTGGCTTCACCGGCAATCAACAGGAACATGCTGCACAAATTATGGCTAAGCTCACCGATGGGGAGTGACACGAGCTCACCCATGAAGCTTTTACTCTGGGTTTCCTTATTTCTGGATCGTCACTTATAGTCAGCAATTCACAAACAATTAGCACATAGGCCCCCAATTGTGGCCCCCATGTCGGAAATCTGCAACAGGCACTGCAACATGTGTGCTATCTGCAACTATTTTTGTTGGGTATGCGAACAGATTGCCACTCAGTATCGTGCCCCGTGGGTCAGGCTCGATCGCAGCCCTTCAGAGGCCGTGAGCCTAAAGGAGGGGGATGAGCTGCTCGGGCGAATCGACCTTCAGGTAACCCTTAATTGGTGCTTTGGATTGGTGGTTCTGGTGCGGGGGGTGGGGGGGGTGGGGGGGTTGCTGTTGCACCCCTCCAAACCAATCCAAGCCACATTTTGTCGGGTGAGGGACCCGAAATGAGGAACTTCTGGAACCTCGCTCATCTGAGGTCGGTCACATAGTCCCTGTGTTGCTCAATGGTACAATTTTTCGGCGGTTAACACTCCTCCTGATCCTTCTCTTGCTTGCGCAAAGCCAACCTTTTGACATCTTGGTATTCCAGTGTTGGTCCGCTGTCCAGGTTAACGGAGAGTGTGAAGCCGACGAACACGGCAAAGGAGAGCGAGCTAAAGTCGCAGCTGCGTTGTGCCAACCAGAGATTCTTGGAGCTACAGAGTGACGCAGCAGCACCGAGCAGCTTGTTTCCTCCACGTGTTCGGCTTCCCATCCAAATTCCCCCCCCCCCCCCCGCCCGCCGCCAGTTGTTCAGTGGCACCTTATCCCGTTTTGGCTTTCTAAGGGGACGCATCCTTTCAGGACCCTGAAGGAGCCAACCGAAAGGTGTCCTTTCTTTGCCCAACAAGCAAGTGAGGTGACAAGGACGTGCCCTGCTGATTAATTGCATGGTTTTGGGTTGACTCCGTAATACCAGGTTTGATTGTGACTCAGTGAGGTTCATTCAATAGCCCTGAACTGGGGTCTCCTCCAAAGTCATTTTGTATATTCGGGTCGACTAAACATGAAGCTGATTCTGACAAGTTTTGTTGGGTGTACCCTGGGGCCCGTTGGGCCAAGGTCAGTAAGGATTTCTCGGTAGGCCAAACCCGCAAACTGAAGCAGAAATTCTGGCAGGGGAGACAAACTCCCCCAGCCACCCAGCCACCCCCAGAAAGCTTCTCAGAGCCCTTCAGTCAGAACCCTTTCGATCCGAAGGTTCCTTCCAAACCCTTCAAGTTGCGCAGGTTTGTCGCCTTGGGAGCTGAGGTGAGAAGGACAATGCACTGAACATCGTGCAGAGCGTGGCCAAGGAGCGGAATGAGTTGAAGGTCCAGCTGCAAGCTGCTCAGCGCAGAGCTTTGGAGTTGCAGAGTGAGAGGGAGACGGCGCTCGGCGACATCCAAAGCGCGGCAAGGGAGACTTGGCGACGAATTGGACAAGTTGGATGGGGAGAAGCCTTCGAGCCTTCAACGACCAAGCCTCAAGAATAGAACTTTGATTGGGGTTCCTTTGGTTTCTCATTTTAGGAGCATGTTTTTTTGAGGGCCTTTCAACCATACATGTTCATTTTGTGGGGAAAAGGAAGGATGGGGGACCACATGTTTCCAGTCAGGAGTGGGGATTTTAGTATGATGTCACCCTTCAATCTTCTGGAAAATGCAGCTTTTCCTAGCAGCATCAAGCGCACGCAGCCCGCGCAACAAGCCCAGGAGAAGCATGAGCTCAAATCTCAACTTCAAAGCAGTCGTCAGAGTCTGTCTTGGGAGGTGCAAAAGGCAAAGCTCTTTGTGCAGGAGAGGGATGAGCTAAATTTGCAGCTACATTCATCAAATCAGAGGTTTCTGCAATTGCACAGCGAGAAAGAACATGCTTTGAATGACATTGCCAATCTGGCAAAGGAAAGGGATGAGCTGAAGGGTCAGCTTGAAACTACTCATCAAAGGTTTTCGGACTGGCAGAGGGAGAAGGAAGCAGTACTTGCTCATGCCCGCCAGAGCTGTCAGGGGGAGAAGGAGACTGCGATCAAAGCCGCCCATCAGAGGTGTCTGGAGTTAAAGAGTGAGAATGAGATGGCACTCAAAAGCGCCCATCAGAAGTGTTTGCAGTCTCAAATTGAGAAGGAGATGGCGCTCAAAACCGTCCAGAGCATGTCAAAGGAGAGGGACCAGTTGAAGTTGCAGCTTCACGCCGCCGATCGGAGCTTTTCCGCAGAGCTTCATAAGTGCTTGAATCTTGCAGCAGAAAGGGATGAGCTGAAGTCTCAGCTTGATTCGGCGAGTCAGAAGAGTGTACAACTGCAGATTGAGAAGGAGACTTGGCTGCCTAGTGGTTTGTCTTTTCACCTTTCTCTGTTTTTCCACCAATCAGGGGTGGCTCCCATTTGGCGCTGAATTCGTTCATTCTAGGGGGTCCTCAGAATTGTATGGTCCTCGGGATCAATCCTAAGCTAACATCCGCAAGCAAAACGTTCAGGGATCAAAGACCAGGACCATGCACTGAGCAGCATCAAGACTTTGTCGAAGGAGATCTCTGAACTGAGCTTTCAGCTTTCCTCCGGGCGCTATGACATTGCTGTTGCCAAGTCACGAGAATTCTGCCTGCAGCAAGACAAGAAGAGCACGGAAAGCGAGCTTGTGTTTGCCAAACAGAGGGCTGAAGAACTGGAGGCTGATAACCATCGATTGAGAAGGGAGAGGAGCGATTTGAAGTCGCAGCTTCAGGACGCCAATCAGAGAGCTGGAGATTTGACTGTGCCCAGGATGCAGCCTTTCGATGTTGAATCCGGTCAACATACCTCGCCCAAAGCTCGCCAAAAATAGTAGCAGAGGTCGCCTCACAAAACCGGGGGGGAGGGGGGGAGGTCCCGGTCGTTGATCCATGTTAAGTCAAGGTTGCACAAGGTCAACTTTCATGTTCAGATCCTTTGCACGGGGTGTTTTTTTACTGATCCGGATACAGATATTTGTTGCGAGATGGATGCCATTTTCCCATAATGCAGGCAAGCCAATTAAACACGCGTTACTCCTGTGATCATAATGTGTCTTGTTTTTAAGTACCCCTCGACACCGTTCCAGTTATTTTGACAAAGTACCCCACAACACCATTCTAGTATTTTAGGCATTTAGGCCCTAATAGTACCAATGGTTTTGAATCGAGCCTACACACACAGGCAGTCCTCAAATGTACTGTTTGCACTTGTTTTGGCTTTCGCTTTCAGCTTTCACACACGCACACACACACACACAACAACAACAACAACAACAACAACAACAACAACAACAACAACAACAACAACAACAACAACAACAACAACAACAACAACAACAACAACAACAACAACAACAACAACAACAACAACAACAACAACAACAACAACAACAACAACAACAACAACAACAACAACAACAACAACAACAACAACAACAACAACAACAACAACAACAACAACAACAACAACAACAACAACAACAACAACAACAACAACAACAACAACAACAACAACAACAACAACAACAACAACAACAACAACAACAACAACAACAACAACAACAACAACAACAACAACAACAACAACAACAACAACAACAACAACAACAACAACAACAACAACAACAACAACAACAACAACAACAACAACAACAACAACAACAACAACAACAACAACAACAACAACAACAACAACAACAACAACAACAACAACAACAACAACAACAACAACAACAACAACAACAACAACAACAACAACAACAACAACAACAACAACAACAACAACAACGATTGGAAGCATGTAGCGTGTAAAGCTGATGCTTGTGGGTGTATCTCAAGTGAAGCTAACAGTAGATGTTACAAATGATCACCAAAGCATTGACATTGATGTTTGTATTTTTGTTTGAAGAGATGTGTTGTTGTTAAAAAAAAATAAACAACAGAGAAAAACGACAATCAATGGGCATTGAGTCAGGATTGAGCCTGCCCTGCATAGGTGTTATTGGACATTGGGCAAAGTGTTGGCATGCTGTGAGCATCAAATTGACCGCAGCCAAGGTAGACAAACTGTTCAAACACTTGCTGGCTCAGCACTTGACGGACCCCATCGCCTGCAGCGCACAGCCATCTTGCCAGGCGTTATTGCATCCGGATCCTATATTCCAAGCAGTGCGAGACTTTGCCATTTCCACCCTGGTACAGCACAGACGCGCTTACAACTCCTCTGAGTGGTGTTTGCCAGCGAAGTTGTGTAACTTCCATATTGAGCGCTTACACAACCGCACGTTGCGAGAAAAATACATGGCGGAGCTCGAGCATTTGAGCAGCTCGACCTGCTCTCAAGGGGGCGTCTCAGCAATTTCGGACGTGGCAGCAGACGGATCTCTGAGGCCATTCTTCGAGCTGGAACCGATGGATGCGAGCCTCAACGAGGTCCTTCTTTTTCACGGGGCGAAACCTGAGATTCTTGAGAAGATTCGAGTCGGGGGATTCGATCCACAGCGGGGGGGCGAAGGTGCAGGGGCCATGTTCGGCATTGGCAGCTACTTCGCACGGAACCTGTCCAAGTGTGATCTCTACTCCGGCGGAAAGCGCACACGGCAGGTGCTTCTAAGCCGCGTGCTGCTGGGGCGTCCGTATTTAGCTAAGCAAGCGCTCGGGAAAGAGGTCCACCGCCCTCCTGACCGCAGATCTGGTAAATCTTGCGATTCGGTGGTAGGTCTAACACGTGCGGAAGGTGGGGCTGTGGACCACCGCGAGTATATCATTTTTGACAAAGCCCGTGCCCTGCCGCTGTTCCGTATCACCTTTGAGCACCACACAACTTGTCGATGCCACATTTGTTCTTAAGCGGCCTTCGGCTACAAACACTATGCCAAAGTCAGCAGTGCCTTTGGAGCCTGTGGTTTTTGCCCACCCTGCTGCTCACACTGCAGCCTTGTCTTTTGCTGGATTCGGATATGCCAATGTCAGGAGCAAATGGAGCGAGTGTGCCTTTGTTCAAGGGTTGGTATATTATACCGCAGGACTGTTTTCTGGGATGGCCCAGAATCCCGCGCCCGAAAAGGCTTTGGGTCTTGTGGAAACTTGACGCGTTGCCAGTCTGTGCACGACCAACTTCTTTTTGTTCAGCCAGATGCCAAAGAGGATATTCCAACTGGCAGTTGGACGCCGACCCCAGACAAAGACTCGATTCTTTGAGGACATGGCGTTAATGGCAACTGTCGACGTTTGTAGGTGTTGGGGGTCATGTCACTTGCAGCATCCCTACTCCAGAACATGAAGACCCATAATACCGGGATCCTTTCCCATACTAGGTCTCATACCGTACATTTGTTCTTTGTGGAAACAAGGGTCCTGAGGAGAGGTAAAGCCCATTTTTCACGAGAAACCTGTTTGTCTATCAGCGGTTTGCCACTACCCCCAAAACACTCGCCAGGAGAAGTAGAGCGTAGAACCGTATGACAGTCCTGACCCGAGCCATTTTCAGCAAGTTTGCAAGAGCCGAAAGCGAACAAGCCGAGGCGTGCTTCACATTCCCTGACCCAATAGCTTGACAGCTCGCTGGTCTTTGGCCCAGCTTCTACTTTTTGGACCAAGCGCTCCAAAAGCGTCCCTTGCCCCAAGACATACAGCTAACCTGCTGATTCTCAGCAGTGCTTTCTGTATATACCATCATATATCTTCCCCATTCTCTTAATTGATGCTTCTTGTGGCAAAGTAGAGGAACCCGGTTTCCTTGGTTCCCTTGAAAGCAACCCCCCAAAGGGCACCGTGAAGAGATAACCACACACGCACACCTCCCAGTTGTGTGCGGCCAGAGGGAGGTTGCTGTGAGATTGTACGGGTTCTTCATGCAGCTACATGTGATTGGTGAAATGGCGAAAGCTCTCATACCGAATCTAGATAGCTTCATGATGGGGCTCTCTACTGCTGGCTTCTTTGGCTCCAGCTGCATTGTGAGGGCTTTACAAGAGAGTCTTTCAGGCAACGCTTTGGCCCGCATGTCTTCAAGACGCCGTCACACCGCTAGGAAGCAAACGTGACCTCCTCCCAATGGCCATCCAGTTCTGCATGTCTTTTGCAAGCTTTTCACAGCTTAAGGGACCTTGCCACAAGACGCCGTGCGGTCATTCGGCCAAGGCGTGCAAAGGGCAGCATCCAGATAGGGACTTTGTTTTGGCATTGGCAGCTGGCATTGCTCCATCCTGCACGCCGGATACGCCATGGCGAAGCTTCGCAGCGGCCCTAGTCCGTGGACCACTATTGCAAGTCGAAGTTGGAGAGCCCTTGTCAAAGTACCCCTCATTTGAAGGCCCCCAGAAAAATATTCCTTTTGAGCTAATATTCGGGCTGCTTCGCACATGCCACGAGAAGTCTGCTGTCTTATCTGAGGTGAACGCTCGCCACCGCGGAAGGTGGGCTCTACAACGGGATGGTTTTGGGTTGCGTGTTGATTTGAGGACCGACGGCTGGTTGTTTAGTTTCTATGTACGAACATGATTCCTTTTAAAAAAAACTTTTGTAAGACTCGAAAGCTGCAAGGCAGACAGTCTTGTGGCCGACGGTCAGGTGCTGTCGCCATCTCCGGAGGCTAAGAAAGCCAAGAAAGCAGAGAAGGCAGCGGCTGCGGCCTTGATCAATGCTTTGCTACATCAAAAACAAAATGACCAACCCGCCCATTACCACACATGCCCAGTTATTTAAAGGAACCACACAGCGATCACGCTCCAGTTTCAGTGTGGCTTGGAACCAAGATGTCGAGGCTGTCTTTGGCAATCGCTTGCACTCTTCGACGGGATGTCTCCACTGAGCTGGGTGCAGGCGAAGAAGAGCAAGAAGGAGAAGACGCAAGCGTGGTGCCACAACTATCAGTGAGACCTGCAGACATGAAGTAAATCGTGCATAAATCGAAAGGCTTGTCAGTGACCTGTGGTTGAGGTTCGTTTGAATGACCCGGTTTACGAGAAGGTGTTGTCAATGGTTGACACAGTCTTTGCATTGCAGGTTGATGTCCGGCCAAATGGCACCAGTTCGGATGGATGAGACCCCGTGAGTACCCTTTTGCCCTTTTGGGTTTCCTTTATTCTCCCTTTGAAACATCCAAAATGCTGGATGATATTCTGAATGATTTTATTGATGTTTGAGGTCTTGTGACGGGCACACGCCCGAAGCTGCACGTGCCTTTCCATGGCTTAATTAAGTCTTTCCAATGGCTTTCACTTGATCTTGGTTCAATGAGAGGTCTTATCCGCTCTTTGGGTGGTTTATTGTTGAAACGTGAGCTGCTTCTGGCTTTTTTCAGGTGGGGCATATACACTTTGTCCCACAATCACAGAAAATGACAGGAGAGCTCTGGGAAAACTGCAGTCCTGTCGAAGAGGCCTCCTGTCCACTTCCATGATTGTTGGAAACGGGGTACTTCTAACCAAGACTAGACCAGTGCCAACAGGACCTTTTGGTGATGTTTCGTACAACCGCATAGAAGCTTCCAAAGCCTTTCGCACCCATCGGGCACATACTCGGCCGGGCTTGGTCAGTTTGTGTAGGCTGCAATTGAGCCTTCACGCGAATTGTCCGTTGGAGTTACTGTTTGCCTGCAGCATGCAGATGCCACCAAAAGGTTCTTCTCAAGATCCCCAAAAGGGGATCCACCACTTTCCCTTTCCCGGATCGGCGCAAGCCCAAGGAACTCCAGGAGCCCAGGAAGGCGGGACAGCGGGCTTTCGGTGAAGGCGAAGGTTGTGTGAGTGGTGCATGGTGACTAAGCCCGGTAGTCAGACGAGTTGCAAGGGTTATATAATGTGTGTGCCTTGTCAAAATGTTGCTTTCGCTAGGAAAAGGACGCACCGCAGCTTAGAGAACCGCAAAGCACGGATCACGAGTGTTGCATTCTTGGCTCTTGGGCGGCTTGGCTTGCAACATCACTTGCAGGAGAAGAAGAAGCGAGCGCAAGAAGCGTCCAGGCGATACATGGCCACGCGCTGGGTTTCTGGCCGGTTGACGCTGATTCGATTTGCGTGCTTCCAATGTTGAGGACAATGACTCTGAAGCCACTGGCTTGTTTAGCCCCAGCTCAGCTTTATTTGGGTTCAGTTGAGTGAATAAAGCCTGCCGCACATTTGCTGGCATCCTGCTGCTTTTGCATCTGGCATCTTGCAGTATTTTCACTCGGCATCCTACTGGTATTGAACTTGCGCGTGTGCAGGTCCGAAGATGACGACAGGGAGCGGGCTTGCTTGGACACACAGACTCAGAAATCTGAAGGGAGCTCTGCTTACTTGCTTTTTGTACAGTTGCTAAAACGCAACCGAGCAATGTGATCGATTTGGATTCTCAGCATAGCCTGCCCGAGTAGTTCTACTGGCCCACTCCCATGCCCTGCTGAATGTCGTGCTGAGCAGCGCGGTTTGGGTCTGAGAAGAGTATCATCAGGTGGCCGCAACTTAGTGCCAGATTCTCCAAGACGACTTGGGAAAATTAGTCCCTCTGGCTTTTGTGGGAAAAAAAGGGATGTCCCCCGATGCTTTCCCCCAACTAGCGGTGGACTATCATTTGGAGTACACACTCCAGGAGCCAGTGCGGCTGAAATCGCGCGAGCTGGCACAGAAGGCGGGACACATGTCACGAGTCTAGTGTGCCTGCAGTTGGAAAGGACCCCACCGATTTCTATGAAATTGCATTTGTTGTTCTTCCAGTCTTGCCAGTTCCGTGCAAAACATGACGAGAGCCTGTGAGCAATCCAAGTGGCACTACGTCACGCTAAAGGAAATGCTCATTCAATCTGAGCGTATTCGATTCGTACACCAATTTGCGAACTGTGCACCTGCTCATGTGAGGATCGTCGTACGGGTTTGTGAGCTCTTTGCTTCCACTGTAACCACTCAGCGAAGTGTCCACAAGAGCAGGGAGGCAAGGCACAAGTCCTTCACGAAAGGCCTTTGGCAAGTTAGTTCCAACCTGAGTGCAATAAACCGACATCCTCAAAGTTCACTCCCTCTCTAAATGTTGTTTTGAAGGGACAGTGACCCCTCAATAAATGATTTACCTGAATGGATCCAGTCATCTGAAAACCGTGCAGGCACGTCTCCGCGCTGCACAAGTTGTGCCCTGGCACAAAACCCATGGTCGCCGGTACGTTGGGGGCATCAGCTTCACTGAATGGAGGTCGATTCAATCAACGGCTTGCTGAACCTGCCGTGCGGAGGAGCACAGAAAAACTTGGGGGCAAAATACCCCACCCCAAGGAAGTGTACAACAAAATGTTCCGACTTAAGAAGCTAGTTTGCTTGGCAAGAGCAGAATTCTAGGCTCAGGCCCGCAGTTCTTCAGACAGGGAGGGTTTTTATCAATAAGGCTTTGGCCGCCAGCAGAGGTTGCTGCATGTTTAGTGGCGCTGAGTGGCACTCAGTCGCTTTACCCCCCAAGGTGAGCTCCTGCTTAGAATCATCAGACACCTGCATGACTGCTCTGCAAGTGCCCGCTGCAAACAATTTGCCCATCAGAAATCTAGCTTTCATCTTGAGGACTCTGATTTCCTGAACTCGGGCTGGACCCAAGCAGGAGTTGCCATCTGTTTGATGTCTAGCAGCTTCAGGTGTTTTGTAAAATCAAGACCGATACCTGCCCACTATTAAGTGTGAAGTATTGCAGAAGGGTCACGGCGTGGATTTGCTTTGTGCAAGCCCTGGGCAGCCTGGCCCCACCGAAAAGCAGCAGAAGCCGTTTCCTTCTTCACTGGCCCAAGGCCAAAGAAGTCATGGAGGCGCGTTTGTTTTTTGCACCAAATGTTATGCAACATGGCGCAGTGCTGTCGTTTGTTCGGTCCATGCATGCCTGCCTTCTGGATTTGTCGCACATGGAAGGAGCTCAGGCCACTCTCTTGCCCTCTTGCCGACCCATGTTCGCACTGATAGAAGCCGACGCAATGCGCAGTGTCGCTGCGCCCAGAGATTCACCCCTGCAGAACTTGCTTTCCTTTGCGCGCCTCTGTCTTCCAATGGATAGGTTAGTGTCTTGGCGCCATTTGTCAGCTCTCGTATTTGCGGCAAAGATGGGAAAACATGTCACAACTGTGCTCCTGTTGCTGCTCTTCCTCATTCACGCGAAAAGATGCGAAGGTGACATTCTCAGTATCCAGATTCTCATCGGACCTGGGCTTCAAGCAGTTTTCCTTCCTTGCAGCTCGCTCGCGTGTCCGCCCAACGGCTTTAGAGAGGGGAATGGTTTGGCTTAGATAAACATGCCGCAAGAAGAACAAGCAGCCTTCCGTGCAAGCCTGTTGTGCAGACTGGCAACAGGACAGTTCTGACTATTTGTGCACGTGCCACTGGTTTGGTGCTTCGCAGGCACAAAAACCTGCCAGCCAGCCGCAGCTCGGAGCCACGCATAGCAGATCGCAGATCGGGGTTGGACAAGCCGCGTTTTTTGATTCGCCGCGCCATGAAGCTGCCCTCCCTGAAGCTGTTCAAGCTACCGGTCGGCGAGTCGCGCTCGCCGGCGAGCCCCAATGCCTCGCCGACGGGCTGCTCGGTTGAGCTTCCAATGAGAAGCTGCTTTCGGCTGGGGGGGGGTTCGGGCCAATAAGTTGCTTTGATTGGCTGGGGGTTGGGGGAGAGGAGCTTTCACCACTGAATGCACGAATGTTGATGTATATGGCAGTGGCTCAAAATTAAAGAGCTAGGGTTACGCAGGTTTTGGTCCATGTTTCCACTTACTAGGGTTCCATGTTGGCACCGCTTTTTGAGCCATGCCCATATAGTTTTGCTATCCTCCAGATGCGGCGTGTTGCACGCGTCATGCTTTTGCACACTTGAGGAAGCCGGGCAACCATGAGTCTCGCACCTTTCCGGCCTTGTGACTGAAACCGCTTGACACCTGAGGCAGGACGCCAAAGACGCCCTTGTCCAACATGGCGAGGCTTTTCCGGAAAGGCACTCGGGCGGTGAAGCTGGATTCGGCCCACTTCCAGAAATGCGACGATCTGGAAACCACCGAGAAAGGCGCATATGCTCTGAGCCGGCCGAACTTGCCTGGTTATCCACTCTTCTGGATTTCCCCGCACCACCGAAAGTTACATATTCCGACTTTTTTCTGCTCTTTCAATCCTTTCTTGCACCTTTGGCTTCAGTTGTGTGTGCCTCTCTGAAACGGGAAAGAACACGGCTCTTTTTGTCTCCTTGTTTCTTTCTCTTTCGCTTTGGCTTTCTCTTTACCTTTGCCTTTGTCTTTTGCTTTCTTTTTTTTCCTTTTTTTTTTCCTTCTCTCTCTCTCTCTCCTTCTCTCCTCCCATTTCTTCGCACTTTTTGCGGGAAACCTCCCTATGAATCCATCAGGATTTTACATACTGGCATTCCCTTCCCCCCTCCCTCCCTCCCTCCCTCCCTCCCACCTTCCCTCCCTCCCATTCGCTTGGTCTTGGTCAGGAGTGATAAGCCGGTTTTGGGTGCTCCTCATTTGCACGGCCGTGCTCTCCTCCAGCAACAGCTTCCTCATCGACCGCTTCACCTGGGCTGCGGGATTATTGCGGGCGGAGCTGATTGAGGCGTCAGTTGCGCCAAAAACAACCTTCTTTGCAGGCAAACCCAAAGAGGAGCTCTTAATACGCCTGTTTATGTTGGCCCCTTCAAGAGAAACCAACAGGTTGTTTAAGGAAAATCTGGACAGTCTGGGCATGTAAAGAAATCAAAGGGACCCATCTTAGACTGTTTGGATATGGGGTTTAATTTGACCCATCTTTTTTCGTTTCGTCTTCTCACCTTAGACAACGTGCACCGTGCGCTGGGAGGTGGGCCCCTGGCGAGCCCTGGGCTTCAACGTGGCCTTGGCCTGCCTGGCGCGGGTGGTGGTGAGGCACACCATGGAGGCAACTGGTCGAACTGGCCGGGTAGCGAGACAGGGGGGCAAAGAAGCAAAGCAAACAACCGGGTGGTTGGGAAGCCAGGGGGGGGTCATTCAAGGACAAACAAACTGCACCTGAAGGAATACACCAGCAATATAATGAGGGTTGCTCCGAATCCGGGGGCCTGCCCGGAAAAGGATGTTCGGAAGCTGGAATTCTGGGTTCACAAAAGTGACATTCTGGCCAAATGGTGATTCAAAGATTCCCCCCCCCCCCTCAAAATGCCCTTTTTAAGGAAGCCAAGGAAGAGGCTGGAAAATGCTCCCATCACACCCAAAAGATGCGCGGCTGGGCTGAAGAGGTCCTTTGCGTTGAGCTCCAAATGGTAGCAGATCTGACCTTCAAACAGGTGGCGGGGTTAGGAACCTGACAACCTGAGACCCACACCTTCCCACGTTTGGTTCGCATCGGATCTATGTTTGGAGGAGGGTAAGAGAGGTAGCAGCAATGCATCGGATTGAAAGATAGATAACTCCGAACAGGATCACGCGCACCTTTTTGTGAGAATGGGGTTCACTTGTGCCAGGGTTGAGCTTGGGTGTGGTGCTAAACAAGACATGACGCATGTGTAGTCATTGTATTATTCAACATAAACATCAGCCTGTCGGCTGTCAGATCTTTCCTAGCACGAACCCCAGGACCGTTAGGATTGTTGAGGCTGCGCAACTTGTGATTGCAACCATTGTTGATATCTGCAGGCTAGGCTTTATTCTTGATCTCACCTGGCAAAGGCCTTGCATTGAAGCCACAGGCAAGCAGACAACCACGCCTGATCCATCTCCAAATGTGCAAAGCCACGGAATCTCAGCCCTGCATTTGTTCGTTTTTGACCTGAACATCCTGAACCATTCATGGTTGACCTTGGGTATCACAGTGGTATGACCCCTCCAGTTGCCAAATTTATGGGGAGCCCCCCCATGATGATGTCCACCGAGCCCATGAAGAGTCCATACCCATTTGGCCATTTGGGTGTGTCTTAACACACGGCACCCTCCCCCACAGATCGCCTCTCCAGGCTGAGGGCAGCGGCTTCCCCGAGATGAAGGCGATGCTCTTCGGCAAAGTGCTCTTCAACTACCTGAGCTGCCGGGTCCTCGTGTGCAAGGCACCGATTCGCATGCTGCAAGTGGGCTCGGTGGCAAATGCGTGCATTGTGTGTCAAAATAGGTGGAACCAAATGGTGGGCTTCCTTTGGGTGTGAGGTTGATCCAAGGTGAAAAGCGTACCCTCAGAGAGAAAACACACACCCATAGTCATACCTACGGAACAGTCCCAGCCAGAAATAGGCGCAGTTGCCCTTTGGAGTTTTTGCATGGGGTAGCCATTCTTGAGCCATATTTTGGCTACAATTCATGTGTTGTGTGAGCCAAGCGCTCGCGAAAGCAGGCGGTGGCGCTGTCTTTGGGCGTTGCTGCGGGCTTGCCTTTGGGCAAGGAAGGCCGGTGTCGGTCTTGAAGGGTGTGCCCGAGGGCCGGACATCCAGGGGCTGAGCCCGCCGACTTCCGAACTCTTTCTGGGGGAAGGCGGCCTTTGGCTTGCTTGTTCTCAGGAACGCCAATGTGGCCGGGTTTGATTGGTGGCTTCATTCCGTGCCCCGCTGAGAGCATGGTAGAAAATTTGGCTTGCCAGTTTCGAAAATACCAAGGGGAAGATACCTGTTAGACGTCGCTCAACTCGTGGGTATTGGATTCGTCCTTGCGTTGGCATCACAAGGGGCCCATTTTCGGCAAGCATGCGCCCTACCAAGAGGCCCCAACGTCCACATGGCCGCGTGCATCGCCCGCGTTGTGAGCCCATCCTTCTTCGAGAAGCGGGCCACCAGTAGCCACGGCGCCCACGGCGCTGGTGGCAGTGGGCTGACCTCGGCCGTGTCCAAGCGCCCGGTACCTGTAAAACACCAGATTTCACGAAGGCAAACCATTAATTGCATCAAGGGAAATGGGTACGTCTCAAATCTCAAATGGTAGTCTTTCCTGTGGGAGTCCCTTCAACACCTGAAAAGGGTCATTACCCATGCTGAGCTGCCCAGATATGAACATGTTGTTGGTGTTTTCATCATAAAGTTCCTGTTGGTTGGTAGCAGGAGCTTTTGCCAGCAGACGTTTGCCACATCGACTCTTGGCCCCTGATAAGCTGCTATCGCCATGATGGGTATGGATGGTTTTTGGACGGGTGACGGGTCAACAAACACCTCGTCCTGACATAGTGCAACCCAGGCTGCTGCTGGCCGCGTGCTCTGTGGGCGTTGGAGCAACTTGGAAGCCAACGGAGTCGTCCATCGATGTACAAGCAGTGGGCAGGATAGGAGGGAGGAATTGGCAGTGTCAGTGGCACAGAGTTTCTTCTGCTTTGGGTGGGGCCCTATCACGAAAGCTGCCAGTGAGGCTCACCATGGACTGGAGGCTATAGCCAAGATCCATGCAGAAATGAAATTTACGGAATCTGAGGCCTCTTTCTCGGCACCAATCGGCGGAGTCATCTTCGCGCTGGAGCTGATGCTGCCGCAGACCTACGATGCCTTCGCGTACTGGGGCTGCTGCCTGCTGGGAATTGGAGCCTCCAAGTCCCACGAAGAAAGAATGTTCCTCGTATTTCCTTTTTGGCCAGGTAAAGCATTGCCTTGTTGGCTATCCCCCAAACAGCGAAGCATTGGGGTTCTAACTTGAGGTATAGAGAATGGGACAGTGTGACGCCGGTTCTGGGGTCCTGTTTTCCGCTTGTCTTCTTGTCTCCCAGTCTCTCCGGTCAGATGCCAGACGCTGTGACGCTGGCTCCAGGGTCGTGTTTCCCTGTCTCCTGTGTCTCCCAGTCTCTGCGATCAGTGCCAGATGCTGTGACGACGCTGGCTCCGGGGTGTTTCCCGCTTGTCTCCCTGTCTCCCAGTCTCTGCGATCAGATGCCAGATGCTGTGACGCTGGCTCCGGGGTCGTGTTTCCCGCTTGTTTTTTGCTGTGTCTCCCAGATGCTGTGATGCTGGCTGCGGGGTCGTGTTTCCCGCTTGTCTCCCTGTGTCTCTAGTCTCTGCGATCAGATGCCAGATGCTGTGACGCTGGGTCCGGGGTCGTCTCTGTGTCTCCCAGTCTCTGCGATCAGATGCCAGTCTCTGGGGTTGTGTTTCCCGCTTGTCTCCATGTGTCTCCCAGTCTCTGCAGTCAGAGGCCAGATGCTGTGACGCTGGCTCTGGGTTCGTGTTTCCCGCTTGTCTCCCTGTGTCTCCCAGTCTCTGCGATCAGATGCCAGATGCTGTGACGCTGGGTCCGGGGTCGTCCCTGTGTCTCCCAGATCAGATGCCAGATGCTGTGACGCTCACACATGTGAACACCAATCTGCGAACAGTAAGCACCAACTTCAAGATGCCCAGCGAAGCTGGTAGTGTCCACTCTGCAGCCAGCATTGGTAAGTTGGGGCAAGTTCTCACACGTTTCCGAGATGGAGCAGGGCTGGAGCTGACGTTCAAAGCCAAGCTTGTTCGCGTTGGGCGCGTGGAGCAAAGCCGTTGGCCATCTTGGGAGCATGCGGCGCGCTGGACACGACAGAGATGAAGGCCCTGGATGACCAAGCTACTGCCGACTCAAACACTGAGGATTTTCTGGAGCTGTTTCGGGTGACAGAGGTGCGCGCCAAACGGGCACCGAGCCTCTATGAGATGATCAAAGCAAAAGATACGCAAATAATCGATTGTTTAACTTGAAAGTACTTCTCTACCTCTATACCAGAGTCTCTGGAACAACCCTGTCTCGAATAACCCTGAAAGGATACCATCAGATTGAGCTATTTGATTTCTTTCATTTGAGAAAACCTCCAAGTGGTTTGATTGCCCTTCCGAGGGAGAGGCAGATCCACTTGCTCGCTTTGCACGTGTCATTGTAACACCGCAATATTTACTTTAGAGCCTCCGGCTCGACATTGGCATTTTCTCGGCATGTCCGCTCCAAAAAAGCAAGAACATCGTGGTATCCCGCTGCGAATTGCAGATTTCTAGGTTTCAAGGGTTCTCGCCTGCCAAACAAAGTGAGAAAATAAAGGTTTCCTATTACAAAAAACACTCCCGTTGTGATTTGCAGGTTTCTTGGTTTCGAGTGTTGTCGCCTGCAGAAAAAAAAGAAAATAGTGATTTCCCACAAAGACACGAAAGAAAATAGTGATCTCCCGCTGTGATTTGCTGCTTTTCCAGGTTGCGAGGGTTGTCGCCTGCAAAAAAGCAAGAAATTGTGATTTCCAACAAGAAAGGCAAGAACATGGCGATTTCTCGCTTTGATTTGCAGATGCCTCAAAGCGCTTCTTTGAAGCGGTTGGGAGTTGGGCCACAGGGGGGGGAGCGGGGGGGGGTCGGCTGGTTGGCCTGATTTGCAGAATTTTCGCGCCCAGAAAAGACAGCTAACATTTGGGCGTCTTTGCCATATGTCCGGGAATTGCTCGCTCGCTGCAGTTTTGTCCAGAAACCTGCGTTTTACCATGCTTTTGCGAGGTGCTTCTGCGTTGAGCTAGCTCGTCTTGCGTGCCTTTTTTTTTGCCTTTTCTGGATCAAAAACTGGGGATGTTGGGGATGCTGGGGGGCTGGCGGCTCAGCCAGTGGGCGGGATGCTGGGAATGCCGGGGGTGCTGATGCTTGGGCTTGTCATCTCTTGTTCGAGGAGCCTGCGTCGGGGGCCGTGCAGTGAGTGGCCTTCAAGGCGCTGAGCTTGCGGCGACAGTTCCTTTGTCAGGATCCAAGAAGGTGCTACGCGGCAGTCTGAGTACTTGTGGTGGGATGAGGCTGACGTCTGCCATCGCATCCGCCAAGGTGATGGATTTGCGCTGGCCCCAGCTCTATTTGCTCTCGCGCAACACGATGCGCTGATGGCTGCCTCCGACCAGCTTCGCCCGAACGAGTTTTTGCCCGCTTTTCTCGACGACTTGTATGTCGTCACCACGCCCGCCCCGGTCTCCGCGGCTGTCGGGGAGCGCGCAGGGGTGGCCCCCACGTCTGACTTAGTGTCCTTTCGTTTCAGCGTCCTTTGTTTCCCTTTCATTCATTTCTCATCCCTTGCCCCTTCATTTACTTTTAAGTTCCCCTTCCTTGCGTTTCCCCTTTTTCCTCCCCTTGATTTCCCTGCACTTCCCTGCGCCCCTTCACTCCCAATAATTTTCCAGAGAAAAACGTGGTTTTTCTACGTTTTCGCAAAAAAGGAGAGCATGTGGCCGTACCACGACCAGCAACGTTGGACACTGACACCGAAACTGTTACAGCGACTTGTTTTTCTAGAGCCTCGACAAGTATGGTGGTGAGACCCACGACACTAGGCAGGCCTAAGGAGCAGACTAACGACTAGGGAGAAGACTGCAGAGCGGACTTGATACTGATGCAGATAATGATGCAGAGCGGACTTGATGGTTGCATGCAGGGCGCAGAGCAGAGCGGCCTCGGAAACTTAGGTCAGCTCTTAATGCAGGTCGGTAACTCCAGAGTGACATCTCATTGAAATTTGAAGGGGCCCCAAGCTGCGCACGGCCGGCTGCTGCATGGCCGTCGATGTGAGCTCGGGTGACTTTTTTTTTTTTATCATGAGCAGCGTGCGCAAGGCGCGATCGGTCAGCTGCTCTTGCAAGCTGTTGGCAATTTGCGTGGTTTGTAAGGGGTCATCCGGGGCCATTACGGCAACATAATCCGGAGGCCGTCTTTGAAGAGCCGCCGCAGCAGGAGGGGCCTCTTGATGAGGCTGGGCCAGCATGTCCAGGAGACCGCTACGCTGACTGCGACGGCGCGGGCTGCGACGGGACTGTGACAGGCTGCGACGGGCTACGCTGACTGCGACAGGACTGTGCCGGGGTTGTGACGGGAATGGCTACGCTGACTGCGACGGGACTGTGCCGGGATGGCAACGCTGACTGTGACGTGAATGGCTGTGCCAAAAAGAGAGGGTTTTCTTGATTTGCGGCAAAAGAAGGCAGAACAACCCTGAAGAGCCGCCAGGGGATTCGAGCCTGGGACCCCTGTTTTGCCACACCGGCTCCCGAAGACTGTCTTGAGTGGAACTGCCAACCCCCCCCGCCAACCCACGAATCACACTCCTCCCGACTCGCCGAGCAATGATGAACACAGATATGTGTATGGACACACATGAACCGTTCATGAACTCTTCCGCCCACTGACAGCATTTGTGGGAGGGCGCTGCACCTGGAAGAATAGTTTCCCTTTAGTACTTTTAGGAGGGAGAGTGAAGCCACCAATACTCACTGGAACAGAAGTCACAATGTTAAAACAGCAACGATATCGCTGATGAGCATTATTATGATGTATTGTTTGCAACATAGGCAAGGTGAACATGCTGGTGCATAGCACTACTTCAAGCCTCCAGATCCTACGGACAGCTGACTGATTACTCATTTTGCAGCATGTGTGTGTGTGTGTAACATCCTGCCCCCCTAGGTGCCGTGTTCGCGGGACGGAGGGTGAAGGCCACCTTGAAATATAATATGGCCTTTATATAATGGCTATATATCGTATTTGTATATCCCATTCATTCCGTGGGGGTGGTGGTGGGGGGGGGGTAGTGGAAGCCATCCTGGAATCAGAAAGCAAAGATGGTGAAGGTAGAACGCCACCACCTCCAAATCCACTTTTGCACCAGCAAAACCGGAGCGAAGCGAAGCCGTGAAGCCGTGCAGCCGCGAAGCAAATCGAGGCTTCACCGCAGCGGTGGCTGGGGCCATCACCTACGCAGTGGAGCGCACCGCCGTCACGGGGTCCACCAGTTTGATGCCGCTGATGAGCACCAACCTGCAGGAGGGCGAGGCGTGGAAATCGGTATCGGGGAGGTCGGGGGTCCCCCCGACCTGGCGAGGCGGACGAGTGATACCAAAAACATATGATAGGGCATACCAACAACCACCGCGGAGTCTTAATTTGGGTTTGTCTCAAAACACAAGTAATCATGGTCGTTCAACATCTATCCGGAAGCCTAATGCCAGATTGTAATGGTTTGCCTTGTGGAAATGGGATCCCCCATCTTGAACAACCCATGTCAATGGATACTGAAGCAGATACTCCGCAGATTGACATGGAACCCAAACTGCCAATTGAGGAATCTCCTTGTGGGGGACACCCGTTTTGTGTTCGTGAAGGGATACGGCTAACACGGAAGCCATCCGGCAAGCCTTGAAAGAGAAAGGGGCTCTTCCCACTAGGGCTGTCTCACGGCTCCATTTTCGGACGAAGGCTCTGGGTCGGCAGTGGAAACACACCGAGCTAAAACTGCACCGTCATTGCGCTTGTTTGCGTTTAGTGATCTAGAAGCAACGTCCGCAGCTTAAACTGACTATTTTATGGAAGCTTCACAATTCCACCTCGCAATGCCCCTCGGCAAAGAGCCTTAGCCAACGTGAGTCCAGAAGGCCCACTTCAGCGGCTTTCCGAAAACTTATCATGGTGCCAGTGAGGTATGTGTTGGTGTGAGGATATCCTTTTCAGGTTGGTTGACAGAGACACGTCTTTTTAGTAGGATCTCCCAATTTGGACATTCCCAGTCCTCAAACTCAGCTCATTCCGAACTGTGCAGTTGGTCAGCCGCTCATGACGTCTACCTCATAAAAGAATCTGCTTGCAGTCACAAGCGCATGCAGACAGGCCACAGCCAGCGGCTTCCATGGCCCCACGAAACGATTTGGCAGTGGGCTCAGGCAAGAAACAACGCAAAGCCAGTCTATGCATAAAGAGGTCGCGCCCTTGGGGTAACTGAAATGGGTTTGTGCCCGGTTTTGAGAATGCTCAAAGGGAAACAAGAGGAACCCGCGCCCTATTTTGCAGGTTCCCCACCACTTCCACATATGGAGACAAAACAACATGTGCCGATATCGCCGTACTCTCACCAAATGACCAACGTTCCTAATGGTACCACAGCTGAGAGGGGATACCAAGGACATACCAAAGGAAAAGGAATACCAAAGAAGAATACATCCCAATTTGCAGACGGCCCTTGTGGGATTTGGTGAGAGGGGTACATTAAAATGAACGTATGTGGGATTGCCTCCGAAAGCAATCCATCCCACAAAGGGGCTCCAGCTAGAAATCATATATGGCTATTGGCAACTCCATGAAAGCCGCGCTACCCCGTTGACGAGGAAGGCCCTCTTCCCAAGTCTATATTTGCCCGAGGAAGGGTGTCAAGGAAAACATATCAAGTCGTTGGATACCAAGAGGACGCCCAGTCTAATTCTTGTTCGGAGAAGCTTTCAGATTTCGGCCAGGGGGTAGACACGGAGTTCCCCATTTGTCGCCTCTTCGTGGACGTGGTCCTGGGGGTGATCTGCGGCGTGGCCGGGGGCGTGTGGGTCCGGTCACACGCCTACACGGCGGGGGTGCTGAAGCGCTGGCGGCTGCGAGAGGCGTTCGCGGGGTGAGGAGGGTGGATCCAACTGGGCCCAGCTGAAAGTGGTTGCAGTTTGGTGCATGTGCGAGGGTTCTCAACAGTTTCTCTTGGGAACCTGGTGGTTGCCCTTGGAAGAACCATTTTGAGGGGAGCTTTGAGGGTGTCGCTATTACTAATCTGGTCGATCAATACGGCGTGTTTCCTCAAAAAGTGAAGGATCCCCGTCAAAGTTGTTTTGCCTGAGGGTTACAGGCCAGAAATCGGCACTGGGTGTGGCTTGGGTCCCTGTGGCTTCTGTGTGAGCACTGCATTGCTGAGCTCGTCACTGATCCCCCTGAACAGCATCCAATCTCTTGGCTGGTTCAATACGCGATCCTGCTTCCTGGTTCAGCCAGGATGCTTCTGATGTCCAATAGTCGGCAGATGTCATTGTGTTTTGAGCGCAGCTTGGCTGAGTTGATGCGAATGGGCATAGCAGCGCCTGACCCAATGAGTCAGGAAAGCCTCTTCACCACATGGCCAAACCAGAGAGTCTTTAGTGAAAGAGGGGCATGTGTCCAAATGCCATGCATTCGAGTGCTGCAGTGCCCACCTTTGATCAGCGAACACTGCCCAGAGGCAAAGACAGGGGAAACCTAGGCAAACCCAACAAGGCCAGGAAACCCAGGGGAAACAACATGCAAACGCAGGGGAAACTCAAGGTTTTCAAACACACTAGTTGGGAGCTTTCGTAAGTTCTCGCGAGGCGGCGCCCACTGTGGTCGCAGAGAACGAGGAGCCTTTGCTGGGGCAGCAAAGGGTAGGCTGCCTGGGCCGTCTGAAGCGCTGCCTGGTAAAGCTTCTAGGCGCCTCCACGGAAGGGGGCGGGTGAGGGTGTTGTGTCTTGATTTTGCTTTGAGGGTACCATGGTTGGGTTGGATAAAACGGAAATCACCAGGAAAAACACATTTGTTTGCCCCCCTCACGATGTCAACATGACGGCGACTAGGCAATGGTAAAACAATGCTCCCGTTTTGTTTTCGGGGAAGGAATTATGCTTGTTCTCCTGCTGCAAAGCTCCATTGGGTTGGCCCCCCCTCTTTTCCCTTGTTTGGGGTATGGCGCATTATGTTGCTCTGTTCTGCGAAAACGGCCGTTGGTTAGCCTCTGCTTTAGACCTGCTGGCTTTCTTAGCCGCGATCAAAGAAGCCAGTTGGACATGGCCCAATCGCCAGATTGTGCGTTGAGTCCTTTGGCTCCTGTTGCACGTTCAGCGCTCATGAGCTCAGACGTCTGGCTCAGAGTCCTCTATTAACAAGACGGGCTTTGAGCTGGTCACAGATGGTTGGACATCAAGCCCCATGACGTCCACCAAGGGGGTCCATTCACATGTCCAATTCAGGACCATACCCATTTTCAGTGTGGAGGGCATAGGTGTCCTTTTAGGTTAGTGTGCTCAAAAATAGATGGCTAGGTTCAGATTGGGTTGTATTGCATACACCAGGGCCATCCATTTTTCCAAAAGGACACCTGTGGATGGACAAAATCCTGCAACAAGTTAAAGCCATGGGGAAACGATTGTTTGTTGGTATTTACAAGGGTATCATCATCCCATGGTTTCTTAGGTGGTGCGAAATGGATTTCGTCCGTCCACAGTACGGTGGAGGGAGTCCAACACTCTCGCCCCGCAGGGGGCAGCTGGCGAGATCTGGCCTTGGTGGCCACGGTGACGACCATCAACACGCTCTTTGCCGCTGCCTTGCCGCTGATGGGGAGCGAGCCGGCGGTTGTTCGAACACATGCACCGGGACCCCCCGCTCTTATACCACGTATAAGACATTTGTCCCTTAGTTTTGATCACCTGTTTAACCTTTTCCCAGTTGTTGAGTGGCCTGTTTCTTTTTTTTGTTTGCTGTGGGTTTTGGCACTCTGGCGTTGTGCTGCCTTTTGAAAGGGGTCCAGAACTTGGGTCCCTTGTTTTGCCCACTACTACCACTTACTAGCCCTAGGCAAATGAGGGATGTATGTCATGCAGGTGAGGGATGTATGCCATGCAGGATGGATATGAGCTTTCATGCAATATGCCGGTATCAGCTAAACAGTGCCATTGCCTCCTCGTCAAGAATACAACACCGGTTTCCTATTGCGTTTGCCAGGCAAGCTAAACTGTCATTCTAATCTCTCCGGAGTCTGATTTCGATCTCAACCGGTTTCGGTCGCACAGGCTGAAACAATCACGCTTAGCTCTTCCACTTGCCAGTATCGGATGCGAGTATGCCTCCAGTCCGACCCTTTGCTTCGCCCATGTACCCTTTCGCCCTGTAAGTGCCGGCTACGTTCGATTTGCCTAACTTGCCCACCGCCAGTTATTGCAGCAACTTCTGTTTCAATGTGTCGCTTGAGGCCTTTGAAATTCGGTCCTTGCTTCAGCCATGAAGGGCCAGAGTCCAAAGGGCTCGCTGCTAAGCGGGTGTGAGCGATTCGCAATGTTGAGCAAAGCATTACTTCACGGACGATGTCCTTGCGGACAGCCGCTGCTCATGCTTGAAGCCGCAGGTTTGCCGGCATTTCACTGCCGGGCTAAACGGTGCCCTTGGGTGGCCTGGGCCACTGCCAGGCAAGACGACTTAGCTTTGGTGGACACCGTCATGCAGATGCACGATCCCGGTTGGCACACTTGCCCAGCTCTGTGAGCCAGGAATCCGGAGTGAGGAATCTACAGGATGGTCGAACTCTCTGGAAAGCCGCAGGCCAGCTTTTCTCCAGCACCTGAAGGCTGCGAAGAGAAGCAGCAACATGCGCTATACGTGCGATAGACCAGCGCACGTGCTTGCAAGCTCATGTCTCGACGGACAGGGTAATCTCGACAACTTAAGATGACAGAGTTACCGGTAGCATCACGCAGTGCGAGTTTAGATCATATGCCAGCAATCCTTGGGGGGTGCTGAAATGGGGAATCCCCCACCGCAGCAATGTTTTGTCACGGCTGCTGGCAATGAGTGGTGTGGGAGGTGTGGGTAGAGCAAAGGTCAGACCACCAAAGTAGGGCAGGCAATGAGCAGACAAAACATCAATGCGGGTGATGCTCTGAATGCTGCAGATGGTCTCAGAAAGATGTAGTATATCAGGATCTTTACTTGTTGTGAGATGCCCATGACCAAAATGCTAATGATTTTGTGCTCCAGGAGCAAGCCTCAGCCCCTGCTGATTTCCACGGCCTTTGACAAGAACCTCATGTTGAATGACACCGAGGAGTGGGTCCTTCCCTGGGTGGCTTGGCTAGCGCGATTCAGGGGACTCATTGGCGGTGTTTTGCCTGTGCCACAGCACATCTTCGGCAAGGAGAGGTCAGGGTCAAGAACACAGCAAGACACACGCATGTTTGGCATGCTGGATGAGGATGAAGCCAGGCCGCAGGCAGTGGGTTCATTCAGGCCCAACGCTTTTACACGTTGCCTGCTGATGGCTGCGCTACTTGTGTACCAAATTGGGTGAAACATACTTCGAGGCACTGCCACGCAGTTTCAGCAATGTCATGTCATTCACGGGTCCCACTTAGTGACGTCAAGTTGATCCCAAGGTCATGAGACCTTGCACTTGTCAAACAAGCAGGGTGGGGCAATTGTTTGTTTAAGCCAGCAACCCCTGGTACCCGTTAAAGGGACACTTCGAAACATTGGTTTACATAGGCTGAACAAGGGGTTGGCCTACTGCAAACAAGTGTAAAGTGCTCAAGCTGAGGCCGGAGTGAATGGGACCATATTCCTTTGCTTCCTCATGAAGTGGACTATGACCATCATTGCGCTATCATCAGCCATCCCTGCTGGTGTGGTGGCTCCCGCTATGGTCATCGGCGGGCTTCTGGGCCGGGTCTATGGTCATATCCTGATACCAGAGTGGGTGGTGGAGACTTGCTAGCCTTGGGCATGCACCGGCTAAGGGCCATTTTGGGCGGGAAGCTGCTTGGTGTGTAGCAGCGTTCAGCGGTTTGCACGGCCTAGACTCATGCATAGTTTCCGACATGGCCTCGTGCCTCTCTATGCCCATTTCCAAGGAAGTACTTCTTAGCAAGAATGGGCAGCCTGCCTCTGATGAAGACACTCAGCTGCAGTCGTTGGATGCTGGAGCCACAGGTTGCTGACAGAGCAATCTTGCGGGGTTGTTGAAAATCAATCCTTAATCCTCAGGCCAGATGGTAGTGGTTTCCGTTGTTATAGTGATTTCCCACCACGGGTTATACCCACACGTTGAACAACCCATTTTGTGTTCTCGTATCACAGGTGCTGTCAAATGCACGGTGAAACGGCGGATTTGCTCGGACGACGGCCGACCCTGGAGCATTTGCGAGCCAGATTCTTTCATGCCGAAGTAGTCCAGCTTTTCCCAGAAGGCTAGGCAAGCTACGCTGAATCATGAGCAAAATCCTTGCTGCCACGGAAGCACCTGCCAGCCTGCCACTCTTTTTGTTGGCACACAACCTTTGTGGTTTCAACCACAGGGGGAAGAGTAGTGCTGTGCTTGTTTGGGGCGACAGGTAGAAATACCTGGCTCCCCTAGATTCGGCCAACATGGGTGTGAAGACGGACAAAGCAAGATCCTGCACGCACAGTTCCACTGTGATGCATTCCAGGCGAAACACGTGGTTCCAGCAAGTGCTCAATGGCACTAGGAAGCGGTCAAGGCTTCAAGCAAAGCTTGCACGATGCCCTGGCGGTTTGTTTTGCCAAGGAACATAGGGACCTCTTTAGAATGCATTGAGTCCCTGAGCAAGCGTTCAAGAATTCAAAAGGCTTCAGAGGTACAGGTATCTTCATCAACAACAATAGGTTCACTTGCGAGAAGTCTGCACAGGGCATTCAGGAACTCCCAAAAACTCCATCACGATTTCCCGACTTCCCTGATTTCGATCCAAGATTAGTTTTTTTGGACCCGCAAAAAAAGCAAAGCATCGCCGGTGTGTGTGTCTCGGATTTTGTTCGGCTGCGGAAGTTTTAGCCGAGCCGAGGCGAAGGGCGCCTTCTTCGCGCGCTGCGCCATCATCGGCGCCTCCGCCTTCTGCGCGGCGGTGTGCCGCGCCTTCGCGATGGCCATCACCGTCTTCGAGGCGACTCGCCCGGCTTCGGGCGGCGGGGAGATCTAGGGATGCGTGTGTTGGATTGGAGGCCCTGGCTGCCCTGTATTCTGTGATGTATCTCTATATATATATATACACACTTGAAAACAATTCAATCAACAAACAATAAGTACAAATCCAATGTTTGATTGGTTAAACAAAACACATATGTCATGGTTGTTTTGGTTTGGGGTTGTCCCCCTTTCAGCCATTTCAAATAGACGGAATGAAAAAATCAAGTCTTTTCACTTTTTCTTCTGAAAATTTGGCCCTGAATTGAACAGGGCAAATGTCCCCTTGGGGGAATCCGAATCATATTTTCATCTGGAACTTTGTTTTTTGTTGCTGTTTCCGTAGGTCAAATCCAGCAATTGGGATTGTTTCCCCTTCGGGGCTGACTTTGATGATGGTAAAATAGTGAGGGAGTCCTCTTGCTGGTTCTCAGCAGGGAATGAGCTAATGACCCTATCAGCCATCTTTTGTGGTTTCCTTCACCCGCTGTGGATGGACACATCCACAAAAAGCACTTTGGACCAATGTTCCTTGCTTTGGTTGAGTGGGGGGCTTCCCCCATTGGGAACCTTGGACGACGTGCATGTTGACGTAAGGATGGACAGACATGCTGCAAGACCTTGGCATACGCAAAGGGAAGCAAAAAGAACACCAATATTGTACCCTTGAATTCTGAGGGTTTGCTGGAGGCTACCATCCCGACGAGATTCTTGGCAGCTGCCGTGCCTTTTCTTTGGGGGTTGTTCCATGTTGTTCTCATGATTGGGCCCAGGCACGAGCCGCCCGCAAAAAAGACGGGATCCGCTGTTGAGGTTTCGTCTGACTGTTCAGGATGGACATGAGGCCCTCATTAAGGTTATTCAGCTGAGAAAGGTCTGCTGTTGATTACGAGGAATGTAACCCGGGCTCATCGCAGAGGCAACGAACATGTGCACTGATCTTGTTCTGCGGTTCATTCTGTTTCCTTCAAAGATGGAAGAGCTGGCACAACCCTTTTCGGAAGAAACGCGCCACACCATGCCCCAGTTGTTCAGTGGCACTCTAAATCCCTGTTTGCTTGGTGGGTTCTCTTTTACGAGGGTAGAGAGGAACGAGGTCCGTTTGGCACATGTGGGTTCCGGAACATCTGAGTTTGTCTCCCCTTCAAAGTCCCATTGGTTTCCCTCACCCCTGATATAATCATCAGAAAAGTATTTCCCCCACCGCCAGCGTTGCCCCGGTGATTTTCCGCGGCTGCGCTTTGGCTCGACTTTCGCTGGGCGTTTGCGCTCGAGGTCCTGGCGCTGCCCAACTCGGTGCTGCCGCTGTGCAGCTCCACGCTGGCGGCCATCTTCGTGGCCAACCGCATCTCGCTGCCCTTCTTCGACGCCAACTTGGCCACCAGGACCCCGGAGCCGGTAACCCAACGGTCGAATGGAACCCAACGAAGTCGAGTTGAGTCGTGCAAGTGGGTTTTGTCCCAGTGTTTCCTCCAACTGGTGCTGGAGGTTGTGAATCCTGAGGGTTGGGCAGGTCCCTGAAAGGATGCACTGGGTCCATTTTCCTTCTGAGCGATTCCTGGTGCGGTTCGGAATGAACTGGGTCCGGCAAAGTGACATCCTCAAATGCCTCCTGGGGAAACTACCGGGTCCAACACATGATCTTTGAAACCCCCTGTGTGGGTGAGTGTGGGTGAGCGTGTGGGTGAGTGGGTTGGTGGCTGGGCTTGGTTGCTGGGTGGCTGGGTGGGTGGGTGGCTGGGTGGCTGGGTGGCTGGGTGGCTGGGTGGGTGTGTGGGTGTGTGGGTGTGTGGGTGCAGACGACTGCCTGTGAACCCAACCTAAACCAGATGGCTTGCAGCATCCTCTGAGTGATCCCTGCGTGGAACTGCGGCCCGCAGTGCAACCACAGGGGCGGTAGTTTCTTTCGGATGGTTTAAATACTTTTTGGCCAGGAATCTGGGCGGAATCCCCGCGATCACCTTCTCAGACAAGGCGATCGAGCCGGTGATGAAGGTCATGGAGGTGGCGGACATGGGCGAAGTTTTGCCTACACGGGCCGCTCAGCGGTCACCTGCGGGGTCAAAAATTGGGTTCCTTTTGGAATGGTGACAGAATCACTGGCAAGAGGGGGTTCCATAGCTGTCCACGATCGTGACAGCCTGTCAGGCATTTCAGGGTCAAAGGATTCCCTCTGTGTTCGAGCAACTGCTTCTTTAGAACCCTTCTGCTTGTTCTGAGCCTAGTTGTTTTGCTTGGAAGCCCACATCTTCAGTGATCGCCATAGTGACTGAGAGCTGTTACAGTGTTGCATCAGGTTTCTTTTGATACCTGTCGGGTTCAAAAACGTCATCCTACCAGCCACTAGATTCTGTAGATATTGTGGCTTCCTTCTACATGGTGCTGATTCAACAAATCGGCTGATTTTTGGCTCTCATATCTGCCGTTGACGCCCATTCGCAAGTCTCATCTTAAACTTGCACTACTATAGAGTACTCACTCAAATTTGCAGCAACGGTCAACGGATAGGATTCCCTCTTGGCCTTTGTCTTATCTTTTCATGCTTTTGAGATGATGACAGGCTGCAGTTGAGGCGAACCATGGGAGTCATGGCATGGATCCACTGGCCTGCTAGGACCTGCCGCTGTCTTGCTGACCCTGGATTCATAAACTAGGTCCCCCAGTAGTGCCCTTTTACCGATTCTTTTTTGGGGGAGGTTCCCTACTGAAAATAGACTACAGAAAAAGGGTACCCCTATTCCAACCTGTCTACTGGACCTAGTAAACCTTGAGGAAAGCGAGTTTATTCCCCTTCCAAAAAGCGAGTGCAGGCGCCGCTTTTGAATCCTATTCCCTCGAATCCCCTTCAACCGGACATCCTGAGGTGACGCTGCGGATCCTGCTGGCACGGATCAGCCGCACCAAGTTGGAGCTCTTCGCCATTGTCAAGCCTCTGAAGTGGGACAAGAGCGGCCAGGGCTTGCTGGAGGCCTGACGTGCACCCCTTTTTTGCTTGGGAGCAACCCTGCATGGGTGGAGTTGCCAAGATTGTATGCCTTGTTCGGTGACCCTGGATATTCTATGAGGCCCAAGTGGTGTGTGTGTGTGTGTGTGCCCCCTGTTTCTAAGGGGTCTTCGGGTTTTTGCTTGGTTTTTCGGAGTCGGACGCCACCACAGCAAGCGACTTGACGTTCAGTACCTTCGCTAGCCGCTGGCGTCCCTGACGAGGAGGGCTAGCGAAGGAGAAGACGATCAAGCGTGGGCTGTGCCGAAACTCCTTTGAGTTCCCTTTGAGTTTCTTTTTCAGTTGCCTGGGGTGCGCCTTCGCAGTTTCGATGTCTTCCATCAAGTGTGTACCGGCACTGCTTCCGAGCCGCGGTCAGTGTCGTGAACCCTTCGTGGCATTCGATTTGCCTCATGCACAGACCTTTCCTGTGACCTTTACCGACTGACCTTTACCGCTGACCCTGGTGACCATTACCGCTGAACTTTTTCTGCTGATTTTGGCCCTCACCGGATCACTACCAGAGGCCAGTCAGATCATCGGCCTCTCTTGGCTGGTTGATGCCGATCCACCCGCGAGCCTTCTTCATCGCCATTGAACCGACCATCGCCATTGAGCCGACCTTGCAATCACCCCTGGACAACTGCAACTGCAATTGGGGGGATCCTGTGCTACCCTGCCTCTTTGATGATGCTTTGCGAGAACCGGAATAGCAGATATCTTTACAGCGATACACTATTTACCTCTTCGCCGCGCAGAGTCCATTTTGCGACAAAAAAGTACGCTCGGCCGCTCACGTACAACTTTTCTTTTTGGTGTGTGGGTTTTCTGTCTTTTTCTTTCCTTCTCCTGTTCCTTTTTCTTCTTTTCCCTTTCCTTTCTCTCTTTTCCTTCCTGTCTTGCTCTTTTTTCTTCCTTTATATTTTCCCTTCGTTTTCTTTTTTTCCTTTTCTTCTTCCTTTCTTTTCCTTTTTCTTTTTCTTTTTCTTTTTCCTTTTTCTTTTTCTTTTTCTGTTTTTTTTTTCTTTTTCGTTTTCTTTTTCTTGTTCTTTTTCTTGTTCTTTTCCTTGTTCTTTTCCTTGTCCTTTTCCTTTTCCTTTTCCTTTTTCTTATTTTTTGTCTTTTTCTTTTTCTTTGTCTTTGTCTTTGTCTTTTTCTTTTTCTTGTTCTTGTTCTTGTTCTTTTTCTTTGTCCTTTTCCTTTTCCTTCCTCTTCTTGGTTTCTTTTCCTTTTTCCCTTCCTTCCTCCTTTTTTCTTGCCTGTTCTGGTTCACCCTCGCCGTCACAACAACCTCTTCTTCACCTATGCTATCACCTATGCTATCATCACCTGCTGCAGTGCCTGGCGACCAGAAGCCTTCCCTCATGGCAACCATGGATTCGGATGAGTCGTTAGAGGACATTTACTTGGCCGTCAAGCTGTGCTGCCCCTCCTTCCAGCACCCGCTCTACAGCTATGTCCTCTGATGCTATGGATCAGGCCCCTATGCGACCTGGCCTCTCCAGGCAGCCACCATGTCCACCGCTGCTACCACCTCTTCCCGAAGCAGCCATCAACCATACTGCCCGGCACCTTCACTCTCGGCTGATGCGGATTGTGTTTTGCGTTTGCCTGCTCTATGGCGTCTACACGCCAAGACGGTGTCCAGCGCTACCGGCCTTATGAGCCTTCTTCGAGCGAATCCAACTGAGCAGTAGGCGCGAAAGAGGAAAAAGGCCAAAATTTCATCTCACGGAATGACGAAGGCGCGGTTCCCTTTTTGTTTCTCGGGTTTTGGTCTGTTCTGGGCTTCCTTTCTTTTCCTTGGCTCGGCTGCCCTGTGTTCCCCCTTCGGTGTGTGTGCGCCCCCTGCTTCGGGTTTTTGCTTGGTTTCTCAAAGTCGGACGCCACCACAGCAAACGACTTGACGTTCAGTACCTTCGCTAGCCGCTGGCGTCCCTGACGAGGAGGGCTAGCGAAGGAGAAGACGATCAAGCGTGGGCTGTGCCGAAACTCCTTTGAGTTCCCTTTGAGTTTCTTTTTCAGTTGCCTGGGGTGCGCCTTCGCAGTTTCGAGTGCATAACGGCCTCATCTTTCCAAATCATGTTTGTTTCGGTAAACCAATCCCTGGCAATGTCAACCCTTGATCAATCAAATTCCCACCAAAAACGGACCTTTATTGTTTGGGGGTCAACGTGGTGCGCACACAATAATTGTAAGGGACAAAATCAATACAAGCTTTGTTCTTCCATGCGCATGAGGTAACTTGGGTTATTACCCCGCAAACCCATTCTGAATATTTAGGCCCTTTACGATTGCTTTCGGAACCAGGGCACGATCACGCGGAAGAACGTGGAGCGCTTGCTCCAGCTGGAGGACCCCAACGCGGAGACGCCGGAAAGAGAGATCGATCTGATGGACCCTCGGTGCAATGCAGCTACCCCCCTTCCTTTTCCCTCGAACAAAGGCTTGGACGAAACGTGCCTGGTTTCCCATATAGCAGTGAGCAAGTTAATGGTAACAACTTCTTGAGGTTACACGGGGAGTTGTGTCCACCGTTTTTGAGCGTTCAAGCGATTTGGCCATCTACGTTCTGCTTCCACGGAGAAGAGCCACCTGCCTTGCAATTTGGCCCCGATACTTGTAACAGGTCTTGAGACAGTGCGGGCCTGGTGATTCATGCAGTAAAATGCCAAGGGAACCTACTAGGTGAGAAAGTGTGGGGGATAGCCCACGGAAAAGCTTGAGGTGCCTTTGCGGAGACATGCAATACTGTGGATACGGGACGCCGGAAAACCCTGTGCCTTTCTAACAGTTCTAGTCCATGTGCAATGGACGGAAGATGGGTGTTGTTTGAAAAAGCACACTGCAGAAGAACAAACCAGCGCAAGAGTCCAGAACTGTGATGTGGAAGGCGCAGCATCATCCAAAGGTGCACCCATTGCACAACGATATCTTAACCGATACCCAACCGATCAGGTGACCGATACCCTTAGTAGTCCCATGTGGCCAGGAGCCCAGCTCGCATTTGGGAGTTAGGCTACTGCATTGGCAGTATTTGGTTGTAGCTTCATTTGCCTATTTGTTGGAAGCGTACTTTCGAGCAAGCGTACTTTGCGTACCGCGCTTGGACTGGATAGTCGCGATTTGTGAGCCGGAGCTGCCAAGTATACTTCATGTTTCACACCGCTTCCGATGCAACCTTATCCGCGTGATGTGTTTTGCAAAGCGCTGAGAACCGATATCTCTCTCTCTATATATATATATATATACGATAGGGGATGCCCCAATTTGCCGACGTCCTGTACGCAGACATGACATTTTGCCTGTTACCGTAGCAGAACCCCCAAAATCGAAGGTTTTCCTTTGTCCGGTTAAACCAACATGGAAAGGGGACCAACCCCCACAACACAAGCACGCGCCATCTCATTTGGACTGAGGATCCCCAGTATCAAGCACCCCCTGACGGCAGCCTCCCCTTGGTGGAGGGATCCCCGGTGCGCGTCTCGCCGGACTGCACTGTGAAGGATGTCTATTTGCTCATGAAGGTGTGCGTTATTGAACAACCCCCGGGTTGAACGCAAAAGAATAGGTTGTTGAACTGTTATAAGCAAAAGCAAAACAATCAACGTTGAGCTAATATTAATGTTGCTGGTATTTTGTAAAAAAATGAATATCATCATGCTGTTCTTTTAAACAGCAACACCCAACGACGGTGAGTGATTTCTGTGGATGAATGGGGACCGGTGTGCTGGCCTGATGTTAGCTTCCCGCAGTGGGTTCCTGACAATTGCACTTGGATCTGGCACAGGTTGCCGAAAGCGATGGCACTGTATATGTCACGGACAAGGGCATTTTGCAGGGCTCTATTACCCTCTCGACGTTGATGAGTCGCAAGATTTGAGCACCTGTACAGCGGCCCCAGCCGGGGTCTGTCTTTCCGAGGTTGCTTTCGGCCTAACAGCTGGCCATTCTGTTCCTGCAGTCAGCCTGGGACTGTATGTGATTGTGAATTTTGATGGGCAGCTCGCCTGAAAAGTGGCACCTCAACGATGTCCACCAAAGGGTGCCCGACTAAAATTCATAGCCATGTAACAAAATTGGTGTGCTGCCACCAGCGCATTGCACGACTGGCCAATGATCACACTCGCAAAGTTGTTTGCATGCAAAAAGAATCAAAAAGAGCGCCGTTTGGGCCGAGACAGTACGACATGTCCAGCTATCGTCCCTTTCTGAGCCTGCGAGCCTGTTTGGCATTGGTGAAATCACTGCAGTATTTGTTTCTTGCATTGCATTGGGTTCTAACTTGACTTAAGACTCCGGCTTGAAAGGACAACACTATAGTCGGGTTGTTGACTTGTTCAGGTGCCGACCCTTTGTCAGGGCAAAGCCTATAGCAGAGACCAATCTAACTATGGAGTGGCAAGTGATCTGAGTCTAAATTTAGCTCCTGTCCTTAAATTGATAGCCTGCTTATACAAGCCGTCAGGGAAAGACAAAGGAGAGGAAAGAGAAGCGAAAGCAGGAGAAAGTGAATCAGAAGGTTCAAGAGCAGGAGGTGAGGGAAGAGGTGCGGAGACGTAGCATTTTTTGCCATACATCCAGAAAGGAGGCCCCGCGAGTGCACTCTTGTGCACAGCGTCCTGCTCTCTCTCTCTCTCGATCTCTCTCTCTCTCTCTCTCTCCCTCTCTCTGTCTCTGTCTCTGTCTCTGTCTTTGTCTCTGTCTCTGTCTAGATATATGGTCACCCCCCAAATCTACCTTCCCTTTACCTCCTTGAACAAATGCCAACACACTCGAGTTGATGTTCTGTTTTGTGTTGGGGTGGCGGGGGGGGGGGGGGGGGGGTGTTTGCTTTTTTGCTTTCACAGTGTATTTGATGGTTGACCCAACGAAGAAACACACCAAACTCACACACACACACACAGTTTTGCATGGTGTTGCTTGTCGGAGGCAAACAAGAACTCTTTTTGTAAATGTTAAACACGTCTGAACATGGTTTCTTGTACTTGGCTATCAAGCTACTAAACATGTGAAAACACACCAACCAAAGCCCACACACAAAACTGATATAGTCATTTGTTGCCATTTTTTTTCTTCTTCTCCATGTTTGGTTTTTTGTTTCCCTCATGTGTCTTGCTTTTGTTTTAGCCATCCAAAAACCGAAGAAGCTCGAGGTTGGTGAGAACCGTATCAGTTTGATTTTTGGTGAGTATCAGCCAGAAAAACCTAAAGCTGATTTTTGTGCTTCGTATTTGTTCAGCAGAATTTAAAGAAGCACAATCACCAAAAAGGACAAATACACCTCGAGTGTTCTTGTTTTTGAAGGGACAAAGCAAACACAACAGAACAACTGAGGGAACATCAAACAACCTAAACGCCTTGAGTCACCCTTAAAAAAGAGAGCAGGATGCTGTGAGCGTGCGCTTTTTCACTTTTTGAGTTGAAACTCGATTTGAACTATGTTTGCGTAGTATGTGGCTAAATGTTAACTGAATTGTAAAGAAATTTGATGGGAAAGACCATACTGCGTAAATTATCATTTGAAAGCATCTAAATTCTAAATGTAAGATGTGATTTCCAGTAGGATTCTGATCGAGTGTTTCCTTATTGAATCCCAATTAAATCCTATTTAATTTCGGTGTTTTTTGACCATGTCAGTGCTGGGGCTGGTAAACAACACCAAACACGATTTCGGAACCTCTGAGTTCTTTCCTTCTGAAATCTACTTAATATCTTTAGCAAATTCTACTCAATGTCTAACTGAATGACATGGAAATTGTTAAGGGAAAACTTCAATCGAATGTTCTGTTTTAAATTAGATTTTCAAGAAATGTTTATTCTATTTCAAAATAGATGCTACACGGAAGTGGCTTTCCAACAGAGTTGCGCTTACAAATCAGTAAGCATCTAATCAACATGCATGAAACATTTTCTGGACCTCTAACTTTTTCCTTATGTTTTTTTTGTTTAATCAAGTTCTACTTAATTGTGTCTCACATGAAATAGAATTTAACAAGACATAATACAAAAAAATAGTTTAAAGGACAATTTAAGTAATGAGTATTCTAGTTCAAAAGACATGCTACACTGGATCTCTTTCCCAATAGAATTGTCGTTGCAAATCAATAGACATTTAAACAACATGTGTTTAACAATTTTGGGACCGCTCATGTCTTTCTTATGAACTCTACTCAATATATTTATCAAGTTCTACTTGTATAGCTCTAAGCAAAATTAAGAAGAATGTAATAAGGAACGAGGCTTACTGCACCAGGGCTTGGAGGTGCACTACACCAGCGCACTTAATCACGGAAGCTCTTGCAAACAGGCCGGAGACGGCGCAGTACAAAAATCAACTCGAGACAACCAAAACAAAACATATTATGCCTCCCCCCCCCAAAGTCAGAACAGCTGATAGAGTCCTTTTCCAAAGACATGCAACACACCTCGATTTAAACAACAGCAACAACAACAACAACAACAACAACAACAACAACAACAACAACAACAACAACAACAACAACAACAACAACAACAACAACAACAACAACAAACAAAAAGACTACCCCACCCCACCCCCCAAGTCAGGACAGCTGACATAGTATTGTTTTTGTTGTTCTTTGTTTTTCTCGAAAGAAATGCAAACAACATATGTGCTTTCCTGGGAAAAAAAAACAACATCATCACAAAACAAAGCACACGCTCAGGGCGTCCTGTTCTAAAAATGACTCAGAGGAGAAGCGTTGGTTTTGCCACACGTTTCGTTTTGATTGGTTCGCTCGAGTTTGTTTTTTCCTCAGTTATGTGTTTTTCGCCGTATTATCCCTCCAAAAAACAAAAAGCTCAAGTCTTTTGTGGTGAGTGTCAGCCGCTTTACAAACACGTGTGCTCTTTTGATTTTCTGCTGGAGGGACAAAGGGACAACCAAGAATGAACGAAATGAATAACAGTGATAAACGAGCGACCTTGAGAACACAACAATTGTTTTGGCAAAGCCAAAACTGTTGGCAAAGCCAACACTTCTCCTTCAAGTTTTGACTTGTTGGGTTTCTCGTAGTTTTTGTTTACTCTTATTATGTGTTTTTATTCAGTCTCTTGTGATCTTTGAAGTGTATCACCAAAACACAAACAACAATTAGTGCTTTAGTTAAAGAACAACTATGGATACACTCGAGAAGGGCAGGATTTCGCTTTAACTTAGAATTCAACACTTGGCTTTCGAGTTTTGACTGAAGCTGGTATAAAGCTCCTTCAAAGGATCCTTATAAAGCTCTTATATCGCTACTTAAGCTCCTTATACAGCTCCTTTGAAGACGTCTTAAACAAATCCTTGATGAAAAGGCTGCATGTAAGGCTCCTTGTCCAACTCCTTATAAAGCTGCTTGCAAAGGTCCTTTTGAAGCTTACGTGTAAAGCTGCGTATGAGACTTCTTATAATATGAATCCCTTATAATCAGATATGAGTAAACGTTTAATTCGATTTGTGGTCGAATTGAAGGACATAATTGCATTTTAATCTCGATTCTAATTCAGAATTTAAGTAGGACATCCTTTTCCTTTTCAGTATAAATGGAATTTGAATGTCTATGTTGATTGAGAATTTACGAGGATTTCCTTTCCAAAGATAATGTTAATCAAAGTTACTTGCATTTTAAAGGCATGTGGAAAGGAACGGGATAGTAGCAGATGAGCAGCGGAGCAAGAATGGTGTGTGTGTGTGTGTGTGCGCGAGCATCTGTATATATATATATACACATAGTGAGCATATATATATATATATAGATATACATATGTATGCAATGTTTGTTGGTTTTCTGCCACACACTATCCCAAAACATGTGCAAACATGTGCACTCCCACGGCGGCCCCTTCTATACATATATATGTATATATTCATACATATGTGTGTGTGTGTAGCTTTGCATCTTGTTGTGTTTCAGGTTGGCTTTTAAACAGAAGCGCTACTTCATATTGGCCAGCAAACTAGCGACTCGATGCACTCAGAGCCCCATTGGTGTGGAGCACGTGGCTCGGCAATCTTTGCCATTGCTTCTGTGGATTGACCCATGCTTACAATACCCCATCTGAGGAATTCTGCTTCTCAGCGATTGCATGTTGAGCGGACCGGAGGAGATTGTGAAGAAGAAAAAGAAGAAGAAACATCAGGAGGTGGGAAAGTAGCTGTACACAGGTTGGGCTTGCTTCACTTCGAAGACCATGCTTTGTTTGGAAGACGTGGAGTTACGCGTTTGCAGCCTCAGCCGGGTTTGTTTGCCAAGTAACTTTGCAGACTAAAGATGAGAATAGCGTCTTGCTGATAATGCTCAAAAACTGACCGTGATATATTGATGCCTTGGCTTCAAAATACGCGTGGGACCTCTCCAAGTATGGCCCTCAACAGATCAACAACACGGCTGGTTTGGGTCCCTTGGCCTTTTGGACTCGCAAGATCCTTTGGAGTATCTGTACTCACCGGAGGTCCGAACTGTTTCAAGAGTCATGTTTCAGCACATGTCCTTTGACTTGAGCACGTTGTACTGGCTTCATGGGGGCCGGACTCTCCTGTAGGAGCCGCAGCCAGAGCCGGTTCAGGAGCGTGTCAGCTCTGGGGTGCTTGAGAGCTTCAGGGAGGGGACGCGTTGCGCAGTGAGATACCGCCAAAGGAACTTGGGTGTGCAGTGAAAATGGGGAGCTGTTGCCGAATCGCGAGCCTCCATCTCGCAAGTTTTGGACTTTTTTGGGCACGGTGATGCTGGGCATGCTGCTACCCCGTTTTCCGAGGGTTTGGAGAGGGAACTGCCGGCATGAGCATATAGGGATTTGCATGTCCTCCCCCACCTCATGGTTTGTTCTTGTCTCACCGGCGTGAAATTGAGTCGTGGGCTTTGCTAACATCCTTCAGGAGCCAAAGAAGAGAAGAAAGCTCGAAGAAAAGCGACCAGCTGAGGACGTGGTCAATACTTTATTGAGAGCGCCCAAGTGGACAAGAGGTTTGTTGCCAAAGAGAGTGTCAGCTGCCTGATGAACGGGGCAGTCTACCCATGAGAGCGATCGCACGATCACACGACAGCATATCTCTGGGTTATCATTGTTTGTTCTACATCCCAATCGAGTAGCGTTGGTACAGTCCTGTGGAATCCGAGTCGTGTGGTGTTTGCCTTGCGAAGTCTCTTGGCTGCGTCTCAGAGCAGCTCGGCGAGCGAGGAGCCCAGAGAAAAGAAGTCAAAAAAGGCCGCATGCCCAGTCCACAAGGCGGAATCCTACGCGCTTGAAAAAATACCAGGCCAAGAAACTCACCTGTTTCAAAGAATGGAAGTGGACAGGGGAGAGGACTGAGGTCTTCGAACTCCCCTCCCGTCAGCTTCAATTTTGGAAAGAGGCTAAGTCTGGAAAGCACATCTAAGATTGAAACGGGCGACACGCCATTCCCAGGCTAAGGCGCCATCCGAAGCGGAACCCGAGCCGCAAGAGGAGACCTGCTTTTGGATGTGGGTGCTTTGGGATGGTGGAGGCTCAATGTAGACCTACATGCAGACTGCAGAAGCTCACGTACAAGTGTGAGAGGTGTTTCAGAGTATTCCCAGCTCTTTTGTACCAGCTGGCGGAGTGCTGCCGGTGTGCGAGTACTTTTCAGCTGAAACATGAGCTGGTGATTCTGCCTGGGAACCTGACCTGGTTTGACAAATGTTGCCAACGAAGGGCTTCACCAAGCGAAACCACTGATTTCACCACGGGAAACCTTGGCTGGGGCACTTGACCTTCCCACGGAAAGCTTGTTTTGATTTGCGAAGGTACCCCGGCTTCACCAAGGGACACCGTTTACATCACCAGAGGAAGCCGTTGATTTGGGGCTCGGCCATGATCCCCGAGGAGCCTGAGAAGCCAGAGGAGCTGAGTTTCGAGAGATTTCTGTGGTGCACTTGTCCGAGAGCTGCTTTGAAATGACTGAAGTTACCCGAAATACTGTGCATGGACGAAGCTCTTTTTGCACCTGTTGGGTACTGGGGTAGGCAACCTACCAACTGGTGTGGGATTTTGCACGGCACAACATGTCTCTTTGTTTTGTTTTTGCTTTTTTGGGGGGGTGCGGTCCGTGCGTGACGATTTGTTTTGGGGTCGGATCAGTTTGGCCAAGCCCTTTGGCGGGTTGTTCAGCGGTCAGACTCACATACACTTGCTGTGGGAAATACATGATTTTGAACGTCAGTTCGCCAATCCGCCAATTCACAAATCACGCGCACAAGACGCACGTTCTTGCTTTCCCAGGATCAGAGGAAAAGGAGAAAGAAGCGTGGGCGAAAGAAGGCGGACCGAAGAAACAAACCCGCTGATGACATACTTGTCCAGTGGGGGGGGCATTCAAACTTTGCAATCTTGCTTGGATCATCCCCTAAAATGGAATTGGGGGAGGGAGTTGGCAATTGGAATTCCATTTATGGTTCCATTTCCCTTGCGTGGGGAAGACTGGAAAGATGGACTTGGGGCAACTGGGCCTGCTTTGGGGTGCTCACTACGTATCGAGCCTTGGGCGTAGGTGTCATTTTCAGGTCAGCTTGGTTGGACATTGATGGTCTTTGTTTGCTTCCAATCATTTATTTACCAGTGCCATTTTTCTCGAAAGGAGATCCTCGAGGCTTGGGTCTTCCTTTTCCATCCACTGCATGGTTTGCAATCGCTCATTGTACTCTGAGTAGGCGTCCATGCGGGATCCCAAGTGGTTTTTGCTTTTAGGCCTCATCCTCCTCCTTGGAAGGGAGAACAACACATTTAGTCTCCAAGCCGACCTGTTGACCTTTTGGTTTTCCCGTTTTTTGGTCCATTCGTAGTCATGGCCCCAACAGGTTAACCTTTTAGGTCCTTTGGGCAACTGAGGCAACGATTGTCAGTTGTTTGAAGGCATCGTGCTGATGCCATATGGCTGTGGTTGTCCAAACCGTTTTGGGATCCCATTTTGGGTAGGTGCACCTCCATTTTAGTCTGTTTTAGTGGGGAATGGGATGTTCACTGGGGGTACGGGGTTTTGACCCATGGCCATATATCATGATATACGAGTTGCCAGCAAATCCACTAGAATAATACATATATATATGTATATATATAAGTATTGATACATCTGCTTCAACAGATTCAGTCAGTATGTCCACATGCAATCCCTGTCCTTTTTTCATACCCATTGAGCAGTGCCTCGTTGTTTAGCTCATGACTCAGGAGCGCCAAGTATCCAGCAGCCAGCTGGGAGCCCAGGCTGCGCAAAGCCTCAAAGGAACTCATGGGCAAAACAGCCGGAGATCGAGGGAAAACCCGAAAGCAGAGTTTTGTTGAGCCACTGTTTCGGCATGTTTTTTGAGCCAGCCCAACCGGGCAAAGCAGAGCCGGACTTGCGGCCGAATCCCTTGGCATTGGCATGCAGCTGCGAATCCCAGCCGCCTCCCCCTTCTCAGGTCTACGCCGCGAAAGAGGCGCAAGCCAAAGTCGCAGGCAGCGCTTTCGACAGATCTTGGCATGGTGATGTTTGTTCTAAGAGAGTAGTTGAGGGGTGTTCGGACAGGTCCAAGATTTAGTTTCAACCTCGCATCCGTGTGCTGGGTGCAACACTAGACGCAACATGACAGGCTACATCGTCCCGACGTTCTGCAAGTTTGAAGCGGCACTCACAAGATTAAAATATTGTACACAATGCCGCCGAATGATTGCTAGTAAGGTGTAGGCGCGAGGCACCCTATGTACCTTCTGGACAACAAATCTTGCAAGATTGAAGCAAGGGATCTCCCGCGCGCGCGCACACACAGACACAAGTTGTTTTGTCTAGAACGGCGCAGCACTTATCAATCCTTGTGCACGAGAACCCCTTTTGCATGACGTGAAATGTCTACTTGAAGGAAACATGGTACTATTGGGTGAGGACACACATCCAGAATTGTTTCTTCAGCCGACGGCTGCCATTTGCCAAAATCTCACCAGGCACGCCTTGTCGGGAGAGATCACGCTAAGAAAATTGAGATGTTCAGCCATTTCAACTCCATTCATGGGCATCCAATCAGACCAGATTTGCATTTCCAGATTTTGTACACCTTGAGGCTCACCGACTCAGAGTGCATGATTCCAGCCCCACAGGGAATCAGCACAAAAAGAGAATTGCCTGGTCCAGGTGAAGCATGGTTGAGCATATTATGGATTTGTGTTTCTTTGACTTGTGCCTGCAGTGCCGTTGCCAGGAGCGTCCTGGCCGGAAGGTGCGGCAACAGAGACTTCCTGCGACTCTTGTGACACATTTTTACGCTCAGGAATCCAAGGAAGCACCAAGTCACAGCGCAATGGGATTGTTGCAAGCCTTTTGGTGTACCGTTCACATGCTGATCCTTTGATTTCGTTGTGGTTTGCTGCTTCAGCGATTTTTAAGTCCACGAGAAGCTGTACCCTTGAAGTGTGATTTCGTTCAGAAGTGGAAGTCCCGTGCGCTTGACTTCCGTGCGAGTCAATGGCCAGGACCCTCGAAAGCGGGCCCAGCACCCAATGGCTCGGACCCCGGTCGGGCGGTCAGCTGCTCTCAGGCAAGGCTTGCACCCAGGTACGCATGAATTAGAATGTGACGCCCCCTTCCATGGGCATTTCTGTCCACCAAGCCTTTTTGGCGGGGGTTCTCCATGAAAAGTCTTGCCCAAGCTGTGGCAATGTCTAGCTCTCGGCCTGTCACAAGCTCAGGCGATGCTCCATGGGCCCAAGGCAGGGTTTGGTGACACACCCTGCAGCCAAGGGTTCGATGCCTCGTGTGTTTCTGATTGTGGGGATGTGCAAAATCCGAACATTGCGGTCGCAGATCGGTGGTCTTCAAACTCACAAGACATGCATGGTGGTTGTTTCTGTGCCTTTCAAGCCTGTGAAGTGGCTTTAGCCGTGAGGTTGCATTTGGCAACCTCTGGTTGCAAGTTGCTGTTGCAGTTGTGCATTGCTTACTGTATATCAAACCCTCACATCCAGATGCAGTCCACTACTCGACAAGATTATTGGTGGTCTACTGCTGGTTTAGGGAGGACATGGAGACTACAGCATTGCCCGGTCAATTGACAGAAAAAAAGCAAGGGCTATCGGTGGGGGTGATCTAAATGACAAGTTTTGAATTATGTAAGGGGTGGTCCTGAAGTGCTGCCGCCAAAGGAACACTCTGCGCCGAGAAAGGCCGGCGAAAGGAGCGCGAAATGACGAACACGGACAACAAGTAGTTACATAATTATGTGTGTTTTGGTGTGTTGCAGTTTTTTTTTTCCTGTGGAGTTGCGCCGACCAAATCCGAGTTTCACCGATAAAATCCACGAAAGGAACGCGAAAGGACCGCGAAACGGTAAGCTCTCAAAGTGGGGCCTAGCCCTTCGACCAGCAGCTCATCGTGTGGCTCAACTGCTTTTGAAGAAGCCGAGAACACAATTGCTCGAAATCGAGCTTTTCAAGACTGATCGGCCCCACGAAAGGAAAACTGCGGGCCGCGAAAGGAAGGCGAAAGGAAGGTGAAGGGGAAGTTTTCAGGCACCTTTATTTGAATATCCGCCCCCTGTGAGGCGCTGCCAATGATGCCAGCCCATATGGCTGGGCACCAAGGTCGAGCATGGGGCACATGCGAGAGGTACCATCTAAAACTAATTGAAACCTCCAGGATACACTGTAGTGAACTAGCCAAGGCACCCATTGAAGATGGCTTGGACTGCTTTAAGGCTTTAGACGTAATGCTCCGAGGTCAAATTGCTATTGTTGAAGCTGTTTGTTGCCTCAAAAGCGGGCTTTCAATTTGGAGGAAACGCTAGCATCGAGAGGGTTCAACCTGATCGAGCTGCCAGGCAATGTGGCATTCCACGCTGAGCCATACCTGTTTTGCTTGGTTTTGCTACAGACAGTCTTGCTGCTATTGACGGCATGCTCGCTCAAGCCGTAGCTCAGTTTAGCCTGCACTGACATGAAGTATGGACTGCTTTGGAATACCCCTGCATAGCATATTTTGCTTTTAGAGAGAAACGCGCCAGCATGCCCGAAATAAGCACGCCGCCGACTTGTGGAACGCGAGTGGGCCCAACAGTATTGTTGCTGTTGCTGGCGTATGTCCATCTTTCTTCCTCTTCCTCTATGTTTTTTCTTCTTCTTTTTTTTCTCTGTCCCTTGCTCCGTATATTCCTTCAGTCTCCTGGGTCCCTAAAATCACTTAAATCGCTGTTGGGGGTACTCTCTCAACTTCCAAAAGCACAAACAATCGAGCCAGCCTTGCCTTCCGATGGGTGCCGATGGGCAGCGGGGCCTCGGCGAGCGCGCTGACACATGCAGCGCAAGCAGGGGATTCCGACCAGGTGCAGGCGCCAAAGCGCGCGATGGGTCCGTTCAAGTGACGATGTGAGGGGTTCTCAAAAATTCTTTGGAGTGCTGTTTCCCTTCAAATCCAGAGAGAAATTTAAAGAGAGTAGCACTTTTAGCACTTAGAAGGGAACCCATTTTGAGATTGGCATGTTTTAGTGCACCCAGCGGCTTGCTTTGTCGATGATTGAAGGGCGCCCTCCAAGTCGAGGCGGACGGCGATGAATTTTGTCCTAAACAGTGGTGTTTTCAGGCCAAAGGGGGGCAAGGTATCCTTGTGAATCAAAGGACTCGAGCCCCTTTTCATGCTCCTGTTGAAGTTCTCAGAAAAATCGTTACCATGAGATCCACCCATTGACCTCTCACTCTAAGTCACAATCAGATGGCTGTGGGTCAAATTAAACCACCAGGGGACCGCAGGTTCTAGTCCGTGTTTCCTTTTACCAGAGTTCTATTTTGGGTACGTGTGTTTGACACACAACCAGATTGGGCTGCGCGCCGTTGCAGATCCTCCTGTCCCGTGGCGCTGGCAAAGATGACAAAGATGCCGCAGGCCAGGCAGCCTCGCACCGCTGTTCAGAGCTGCCACCTGAATTGGCTCAAAGCATTTCGCTGCTTATCAACTGCTGAAATCCACACGTTGGCAAGCCACAATCCAAATCAGGGTAGATGAAGGTTAGCAGCAGTACGTAGCTGCGGTGTAGGAGCATTCCTGAGCATACATAGCTGCGGGTGCTCTTGTTTTTCTTCTTTACATGTTTTTGGGTAGACCACTTTAATACGAAGCATTGACATGACTGTGGCAATGTTACGGAAGCATGCGATTTTGGGTGCTCGCTGTTGGCCAAGCGGGATTGGTCAATTTGAGATGCTTGGGTAGGATGTTGAGTGCAGCTGTTTGTGACAATGGGCAGACCAAGCAAGGACTTGCGAAAAGGACAGCAAGTATTTGCTCAGCTGTGAATTCTTCCGTGGTCATGCGGCGGCAGACTCAAGGTGATTGAACATTGACAAGCCAAAGCATGTATGTCTCACTTCCATCATGGCAACCAGAGAAAGACATTAATCGTGCGTTCTGCATTATGTCCGCTTGGGCGAGACACGCTTCCTGACAGCTATCGCTTGCGGTCTGCAGCACTGCAGCCAACCAAGTGTGGTCTCGCCTCCTTGTTTTTCTCAATGCCCACCCATCCGCTTGTGGTAACCTTACAGCAAGTTTCAGGGGAAAACCAGGCCTCGCGGTGCAGCACAATCATTCCCCCGAAAAGTAACAATCCCCCCTAACAGTCCCAGCAATCAAGAATTGCTTTTTCCAAATTGGAGGGGGAGGGCGCGTTTTGTTATTCGGGGGAAGGCACCATTCACATCCTTTTCCTTCGGCCGCCCTCGAACAAAAGCCAAAGGTCAGACAGCACTGCACCATGCCTCCAGCGGCCTTGCAGCCAAAGCACTGCTGCACGCCTGGGCAGATGTGACTCGGCCTGGAACTTCCTCAGGGTGTAGCGATATTTCGGCAAATGCCTCCCCCTTTTGATCCTTTGGTGTTTAGGGTTGGATTTTGATCCGTTGGTTTAGGTTCCTGAAGACCCATACCATCAAGAGGGGAGGGGGTGAGAACCAGCGCAACGAGGTCAATGCACTCGACTTGCGGGGCCAGCGGCCGCTGCACTGCGCGGTGGTGGCAAGGAATAAGGAGGCAGTGGGTCTGGGGAGGATGCTGGGATGTGTTTGCTGCGCATATGGGCGTGTGTTTCTTGGCATTGCGGCCGCTAGTTTTCTCAAATCACACCTTTTACTCTGTTCGCACCATTTACGCGGTTTAGACCGTTTACACTGCCTGCATCGATTGCATCTTGTACACTGCCGAACCTGCTTACGCCGCTTGTGCATTTCGCTGTACGTCCAAACAGTGCAGGCAGCGCAAGCAGCGCCGGCAGCATAAACAGCGGAGGAGGCGTAAACAGCGCAGGCAGCGTAAATAGTACAGGAAGCAGCAGGCTGGTTGACAGCGTGAAACCTTACGGTGAGCGGAACAGCTTGGCAACAGGTGCTGATGCTTCTTGTTGTTTGGTTTCCACTTTCCTTTTAAAAGGCCCCCGCAGGACTTGAGTATGGACTTTTGGTTTGCCTCCGTTTGCTCTTGTTCTTTTCCCAAGTTGCGCGATTTCCTCTGTCATTTTGGAAGTATCCCACAAGACAGGAGTAGAGACCTTTCGTTTGATCCCGTTTGCTCATGTGTTCCAGGCACGTCGAAAGGGGACCGTATTGGAATCACCCAGTGGAGGCCACCCCTCCCGCCTGGCAAAGTCAAGGTTCATCCCTAAGAAAACATGTTGGACGAACCAAACGTCTCCGCATTCGGGGAATGTGTTCGCTAGGTGGTGGCTGAACTGCTGAAGGCTGAGGCAGATGTGGATGCGCGGCAAGTGCAGCTAAAGCGGCTTGAGGCAGGACTGTAGCAAAAGCGGGCGTAGTTGTGGAAGCTCGGCTTTAGGGCCGCTTTCTGTGCAACGGGAAGCCTCTTGCTGACAGTATAGCTCTAGGGGTGGCCCGCTTTGGCATCACAAGCTTCTGTTCCCACCGTGAAAGCGGGTGCCAATGGTGGCAGTGGTGGCAGTGGTGGCAGTGGTGGCAGTGGTGGCAGTGACGGCAATGGTGGTTGCAGATCTTGCAGATGTCGTGTCGGGTTCTGCAAACTTCCCTCCCTCCAATAATCATCGAAGATGGCGCGGCGGACAAGCTACTGACAGGGTTCGGCAATTGATCCGGGCAAATTACAACGAGCTTGCCTTGGGGCAGAACGAGTTCCTGTACTTGGAGATGTCTTCTTGCGGTTTGTGAATTCATGTTTTCCAACAATGATGGCATGGTGGCTTGCAACGAATGCAGTGGTTGCTGTGATTTGTTGTAGTGATGGGTCGTGTCAGGCTTTGGTGTTCTAGAGCTCACTTCTCAGAATCATTTGCGACACATGGAAGACTCAAGCGGGATACTGCTTGCAAGTCCAACATATCAACAGCTGGCCAGTGCTTGGCCCAGAAAGCAGCTGCCGTGTAACGCGCATTGCTCTTGGTGCCTCCCTCTATACTTGCCACCTTTCTTAGTGTGCGCAAGTGTGGACACTTTCTCCTCTTTGAGCTGTTATCTCCAAAGGAGGTTCCCCTTCAAAATCGCGCGCCAGAACAGAATGGTGGCCCTTTCTTTCGTGGGCACTGGCCCCGGGGACCACGTTGACCTTTGCTCTGCCAAAAAATCAAACGCCAAACTTGACTGAGGTGAGGTTGGAGCGACCGAACTTGCAGCAGGCGGCGAGAATGGGGCTGCACAGATGTGGGATAGTGCCTTGGGATTAGGACACTAACGGTGGTTCGTCACGGGAACAGCAAAGTTCATACAGTTGATAGACTACCCCATCAAGGCCCACCTTGATCAGTTGGCCACGATGCGACTAGACTTTGAGATCAGCATGATGTTTGCCTAGTTCACAGGGAAGATCCTTTTGCCGACGTAGACCCTTGAGAATTACAACAAGCGTCGACGGTTGGCAAAGAACTCCGCAGATGCTATCTATCAAGCCTTCGGCATTTGGCAGAATCCCCAGACTTTGCACGTTCTGATGCTCAGACCAGAATGGATACGGCTTGTACCAACTATTGATCAGGATGTCAATGAACTCGCAACAGTTCAACAAGTTGATCATACATTCTATGGTGCTGGATGTTCTCCATCAAGAAGAGGCAACAAGCATTCCCGTGGATCATGTGTGGGTGGACGAAGTGGCATTGCATTGACAATGTAAAGTGTGTGACGCCCAACAGAATCCATGATGATGGCCGTGTCAACAGGCATGCTAGCGTCACGCACGCACAAGCACACCAAATCAACATTGGCGAAAGCGCAGTGATTCTTCGGTTCTCAGTCAGTGAATCTTCAGAAGGTTCACGCAGCATGTGCGGCCAGCAAAGCGGTTTGGAGCAGGTGGGTGCTCCCAATCCAAAGTTAATCGGGGTGGTGATTTCGATGATGATCAATCCCAACACTGGTGGCATGCCATTGTCTCTTACTTTTTGTAGCACTGGAATGCACCGCAGCTCTAATCCGAGGAGATGTCTCAACATCCGCTATCTCACGATGGGGGATGATTTTTAACAGCCGGGCACCGGTGTGTCAGAACGTTTGAAGGGGGCTCACAACGTATTTGAGTCGTACGTTTGAACTGATTGGCAAGGAAAGGCAGCAATTATTTGGATGGGGAAGCCGAGTGGTTGCAAGCCTGGCAGCTACGGGGTTGACTGGCGGCTTACAGCAGATATATTTCCGAGCACTCAGCAAATTCCTCGCCTGTTTGAGTACTGTTTTTTCTGAGATGATGGACCCGCTTTATGGATCAAGGGAAACAATTGCTAAAGACGACATTTGGATGCATCTGTATGCAAAAAAGGACGCTCAAAGGAACAATGGTCCCGCGCCATCTTTTTGGGAACTCATGGGACATGTTAGGCTACGTGGCAATGGATGATCACGTCAAAACCGGCAAAGCCAGGCATTTGTGCTTGAAGGTTTCCTCAAACAGATGGCAAAACACCCACACCTTGGTTTGGGACATCTTCCAATTTTCAGAGAGCCGTCGGGCCCAGAGGCTTCGAGAGGCACCGCCGAAGGTCTGGGGCTTTCAGTGGCAGAAGCCGCTGCTCCTGCGACAGCGCCGGTGTGTCGAGGCCATTCTGCCCAACTCCCCGGCCAGCGGCTCGCGCGCGGAAGGGCATGGGGGCAGGACGTGATGTTTTGGAGTTGGTACCCTTTTGGGGGCTTTAAAGGGACAGGCCCAATGAAACATGGTGTGGCTCCCCTTTCGCTTCAGGTTCGGCAACTACCCTGTGTTTGGGGAGCTTAAAGGGAAGCCATAGAGAAACCACCCCATCATCCATCTATTCCGAATTTCGAGGGGTCTCCTACTTTGAGACGAACCCACATGGGTTGGGCGAAGTGGTTGATGACCATGATGACCATCTTCTGGGTAAAATGGAGGCTTGGGTGGAAGTAGCTGGACGAGCCGAGGTATTGGTCGCAAAGTCAGCAGTGTGCCATCCCACGCGTCAGCTGTATATCGCAGGTTCCTAACAGTTGCTCCCCTGATGAACATGGAACCAAACAGCCCACCCTCACTTTGGATTCCATGAGTTAACTTGCAGGGGAGTATGATTTGAATTCAATGCATTCAGATTGGGTTGCTTTTGCCAATTCAGCCACTACGCGGCTTCGCCTTCGCAGTGGCAGCTACATGCCCAGAACGTAGCCTCACTCCTCGAGGTTGGGTGTCTTTTCTTTTGAAAACCATTTCCGCGGCAAACAGAGCAGCGAGCTGGCACTCAGGAAGTGACTAGTAAACTCGGCAGTGACTAGTAAACTCGGCATTGAAAGGATTTAATCATTTGGAAGCAGACCTGGTTTAGCCTGTCGGGGATTCTTGAAGGGTCCTGCGGGCTGAGGAGCTTGAGGGACGCAGACTGTGCTTCAAGTCATAGCCAGTTTTCAGAGAGAGGTTGAGGAACAGGAACCCTGTTGTGTCATTAGCCACAAGTCAAAACTGGTATTCTTGCGTCCAACTCTTGAAAATAGACAACATGCTACGCGAGCAAATCCACCCTCCTTGTGTATGTACACCGCGGGGATGCCCAGAAAGGTATTTCGGCAAAACCACTAATGCATTCGCTCAATAAATATACTTATGTAAATCATTGATCCATGGAAGCATGCGATGCTGTATGCCCGCCTTGTTATGATCGACGGAGAACAAACAAGCCCTGTAATTTACTGGTTCTACTATATAGACATCAAACAACAACACATCCAGGGAATCAGCCGGAGCGTGCACCAAGGCCGCTGGAACGAAGAGCGGGCTGCTGGAAGTGAGATGCTGAAGCCAGGCCGGAGCCAAGATTGCGCGCCATTGATCCATGTGATTCAGTGATTCAGGAGGACCACCATGCGAAATGGATTTGAACAGGCAGTTCCTTGCCCTTCGAGTAGTTGGCCTACAAAACAGCGTCCTTGTATATGAAAATCCCAACCAGCATTGGGTTTACTTTTGTTCTTGTCTTATGTTGCTCATTGAACATACTCGCAACAAACAGCACATGGTCTTCAAGTGCGATAGGGCCAAACCTACTGCGGGGCAGGTTTGCTTCGAGTGGATGTTGTTTTCATACTCTTGTTCCTGCCGTTGCGCTGCACGCTGCATAGGCGTAGTGCCTTGGGTGGATTCGGGGTGATGGGCGGAAAAGTGCGTAGTTTACAGTGGGCTTTGCACTCACGCAAATCAGGTTCAGTCCCTAGCTTCAAGGAGGTCCTGGCTGGAAAGCCGAGAAGCCAAGCATAGAGTAGTGTACATGCGAGTACAAAGCACAAGATCAAGGAAACGCAAAGGACCTACAAGCACATGATCATCACGACTGCTCTCTAAAGTCCAAAGCAAGGTGTCTGGCGGCAGAATGGTGAACTTTAGCAAGGACCTTTTGTTGTCACAGCTATAGTCTTGTTTTGTCACCGCCATAGTGATTTCCTTGCGTGTCCTGGCCAATGCAAATGCATTGTTTAGCATGTGGGAGGCAAGCAGGGGGCCAACTAGAAGTACAGTAACTAGCATGCAGTTTGTAAGCTTCGAGGAATGAATTGAAGGGCATATGCTAGCCAAGAGGACCAACCCAGGCGACGGTTGAGAACTTGATTCCTCTTTGAGGCCAACAGACCAACGCACGTTGATTTTTGTTGCTGTTTCGTTCCACTACAAAGGGGCTGGGTCCAGTGGTTGTGGTTGGGTGAAAGTAGATTGCGCAATTCCCCGCGGCCGCTTTTGTCATCCTCTTTACTTCCGCACAAGGGGATCGCGCCATGTCTCGCGCAAAAGGGGGCCCAAAAAGCTCAAAGACATGATGCCTCATATGAACACATTTGTCTTTTCCCTTTCCATTTCTATCTGCCATGGTTTTTGGGTTGTCGTTCTGGTCTGAACCTCGGGTCCGGTGAGGCGCCGAGCTGCTGGAGGTGCGGGCGCCGGGCAGCGCCCAGGAGGCGCTGCGGGGCGCGCGGAAGCTGCGCCTCGTCTTCGGGCAAGGCGAGGGAGCTGCGAGGGGAACGAGCGGACCGGCCAAGTGGACGGGGGCGGTGGGGTGGGGTTTGGGTTTTGGGTTTTGGGGCGGGGGGGTGGGGAGTGACCCAAGTGCTGGTTTTGGTTTTGATTAGTGTTCAACATGTTGCATGTTGGATGATTCCATGGTCAAGGGTACTTTGAGGGTTGGGTGAGCCCATTGTTGAGGGTGCTTTGAGGGTCCAGGTAGAAGCAATCTGGACCTATGATGGTAGGTAGAATTGTTTGAGTGGCAAGGTGGGGAAGCAAGACAATATCCACCCCAGATTAATCAACTTGGTGAATCAATGGAAGAGTGAAATAATCTGCTTAACGAGGATACCATATGAATCAGCCACCCAAGATCCACTTCAGAACCCGCAAGGCGCAATTTCTGAGAGCGAGTCAGGCAGTTTGATTTATGGATAGGAGGAGCGAGACATGTTAATTCTAGCAAAATCCTGTACCAGATGGGATGGATGAAACCCTATGAATACTGGACAAGACAACCTGTGTGCCAGCGTTCGACGAAGATGTGCGATTGTTAAGGGGACATGTTAGCCCTGCCTGTTCAGTTGCGATGCCTGTTGTCCGTTGCATCTCACGCCGACAGAATGTGCAGGCGCAGATGTTGGCGATTCGCCCGTGCACTTGGCCGTGCGACAAGGCTGGCAGGGGGCAGGGCCGGTGTGCTTTGTCCCGTCTAGGTATGGCTAAAGAAGATTAGCCGCAATTCTTCTGTTATGTTACTTCGCCTTGCGCGCCTGTACGGGCTTTGGGGAGTTCATGACTGCTTGTGTGGGGTGGCCAGTCTGGGGCCTTGAACTCCAACCGGAGGGTGGCCGATGACATGTATCGGAGGCTGCTCTGCGATGGAGGGAGGGACGGTTTCCGTTGGCTGCAGAGCCCTGCAGGCTGCTCGATCCGTCCGTCCGTCTATCCATCCATCCATCCTTCTGTTATGTTGACATGGGGAATAGGCAATGCGGCACTGACCCACCATCAGACGTGCTTGAACACAATTGTCTATCGAACTTGAATTGGGATGTTTCGACATGTTGAACCCCTTTTGGGCTGCTTTCAGGGAAAACAATGGGGTGCTGTAAAGCGCACTTCTGCCCAATGTGAGCACGGGACACGAAAAAGGAGCCAATCACGGAAACCATTTGCACCTCAGGTGAAGATCAGAAGGGACAGCTTGCCAAAGTAGTGCCTCCCACTTAGAATAAGCGAGTAAGGACTTCCTTTTGTTGCCCAGAGGACGCAGGAGGGGATTGCTCAACATGATCGGGTTGCCGTGCGGGCTCAAACAGAGCCGACAAAAAATGCTGCTGCAAAGGTCAGAATGCTACTGCTAAGATATTGTAGGTCTTTTGAGCCTTGCATAATGCAAGGAGTGTGAGCAATCCCAGATCCAGACCTGTGACCGCTGTTGTTTCCACCCTTTGGTGGCTGCCATCTGAGCTAGAAGGGATTGAACACTCTCATGGGGCCGCCTTTTTGAAGCAGCAGAACATGGGGCCCCTTGGACCACGTGTTGTGCCGCTGTCCTCAAACTGGTCACCCAGATGTGTGCCTGTTCTTTTCTGTGGGGAGATAGGTGACGTGCCGCTCCTGACCATGCTGCTGCACGCGCGGGCGGATAGCAACCTGCTTGGAGCAGATGGCACCACGGCACGGGGCTTAGGTCCATGATGAGGGCTAGGGCGGGGTTGACTACTGGCAGGGTGGCTCAAATTGGCCTGAGTCCTCAAAATTACTTGGGTGGTGTCCCTTTGTGGCAGGAAGCAGTTGGTAATTCGTGTCAATGTAGCGCTGCGATGTTTCAATGGGGGGAGCACAATCCAAAATGATGGGCTGGCAGAATTTGCCATGCAAATGATGTTCAAGGGTCCTCACTGCAATGATTTCTAATGCATTTGGCATGCGAAGGAGGCAGCGTCTGTCAGCCTCCCAAAGGTTTACCAAAAGAACAGCTGGGCCTGACTGGGTGGAGCTGATCACCAGGTTGAGAGGAGAGGAGTGGCTAGCGCCTGATCTGCAGGCGTTTGAGCTTGCAGAGCACCAGCCAGAGCTGCTGGAAGTGCTGCTTGGCAGCGGCTGTAAAGTGACGTGATTCGTCCTTTGGCTTGGAACAAGTCGCCAGGAAGCTAAGTCATGATGTTGGCGGACGCACGAGCTTGAGATCTGTCATCAGTAGCCGAAGCCATTCTCTGAATGAAATCACGACCAAGCCCATGAGTCAAAGGAACGCTTCCAAAGGAGCGGCAGGAAATGAGAGGGAGGACTCTTTGGGGTGAATGAGTCTGGTGATGCGAACTTTGCCCCTCAGGCTCATGCTGGTCACCTCTGCACCGGAGGCACGCGCGCTGGGAGTTTTGACGTACACCCAGGACCCGAGCCTGTCCTCCGGACTGCCGATTTCTCTCATGCCAAAGGAGCGGCACAACAGAGTGGATCTGTTGTTTGCTTTGGTCGCACAATCTTGTCAGCATCCTTAGCAGACAAACAAACAAGCAGAAATGCGGGGGGGAAGCGGGGATGTGGGCATATGTTCCGGGTAATTTCTAGAATGGTGTCCTTTACAGATAATCCCCGCACATCCCCGCTTCCCCCGTATCCCCGCTTATTTATTTTCCCCATCCTTGAAGTCTTACAGTCGCGCATGTAAATTGTGGCACTTAGGATATATTCCCTGTGAGGCGTAAACTGTGGATCCTCCGTTCGGACTCGGGGTGCATTTTCATTGCTGCACAGGTGTGATCAAGAATCCGATGGATTACAAAGGGCTGTGGTATCCGTCTGGGTGAATTATAACGACCTCACACGACCTCACCCCAAATGGTGGTTTATGTGGGGAATATCCCTCCAACCACCTTATTTCAGGCTGATGAAGTATTATAATTCACCCAGATCCGTTTGGAGAGAAATGTCCCGCCTGAAGTCTGCCGCTAGGCCTTCACCCCCAGGCGAAGGCTCAGCGCGGGGTAGCCATGTGGGGCAATTTGCAACCACCCCGCTCCGGGGCCAAGCAACCTCAGCCATGGCGGGCCATGGCGGGCCATGGCGGGTGAGTACTTGCCACTCATCCATCTCATACTTGAAATTGAATGTGCTTCTTCATTCTTGGACCCGAAGCCACTCAAACTCACATTTGGGGGGAGATACAGAGGGGTCAACTAACCTGTGAATTTTATGTGCAATCTCCATCAGGTCTTGCCGACCTGAGTCGTGCGGCCATTTGTACTCTTACATTTTCCTTCCGGAGGCAATTCCCTTCAGCCGTGCCTCCTGTAATTGCGGCATTGTCGCTCCCCGTGCCATGCTTGTTCTGAAAGGACAGCGACCTTGTATTGACTCAGTTGTTCAGGGGCACCCTTTTTCCTTTTTTTTGGTGGCTGCCCCACTAAAAATCCCCAAAAAGGTTCCCTTTTTTTCAGGGTCACTGAACAACTGAGTTGACGATTGTATGATTCTATGTGACATCATGAACAGGTGAGGCCTTTGCTCTCTGGGATCTTGCTCTTAGGCAGTGTCCGCAGACCCAAATTGAATATCGTGAGAGTGCCAGCTTCATTCGTTTCAGGGAAGGGGCGTTGGCCAGAGATGTGTATACCTGTATACCCTTGAAAGCGCCTCCTTGGTATACAATGTGCTAACCGGCAGCTCTTGACGAGGGCACTGTTTGCCACACAGACATTGAGAACAATCAAATGGCAGGCAGCAGATCATGCGGCCGGTCTTTGACGATGAGGCCAGGAACATTTGATGTCGACGGATTTGGTAATCAGAAAGCCGAACAAGTGCCTAGCTCCGGAGATATTGTCAACCTCGAGCGGCCGATGTAAGCACCTAACCTGAAAGCAGTTTTGAGCTGGGTACATGTGAAACAGGGGGGCCTCCCCCCAAAAAAATGATAAACTGGGTTTTCGTGTTGGCCCCTTGACGCTCAACAAAACGGGCAAGGATCATTTCAAGTGCTCGCCGATTCGAGTTCCAGGCCCGGCTGAGTCTACACCGCGCAGCTGAGAGAGGGGACCTGCAAGAGGTTGACTCTAGACCTGCAAGCGGAGGGAAGGAGCTCGATGTTTTAAGATGGATAATGGGCCAGCCTGGCAAAAGCCAGGAGCACGTGCATAAGCCTGTGCACAGAGTAATTATACTTTTCCATTTCTCTGGGGATGAAAGAACACTGAATGGCAGGCCTCTCTTTTGGGTCGCTTGCCTACAGGCATGTGAGTTCTGGTCCGAATTTCCAGTAGTGCATGGTGGGAGGGACATGCGGGGCTCTGTAAAAATCAACCACAAAGACCAGTAGGAAAGCAATAAATGTTGACCGAGGCTCAAGGAAATAACCACCAACACCATTTCACCATGAGAGCGGAGCAACACGCCCGGCCATCCAAGACAGGTTTGTCAAGAAAGGATGAAAGGAAAAAAGGGGTTCAAGAAAATGCATGGAGTCTTTCTCGCACGGGAATGATTGCAAGAGCTAAGCCAGATCTCACGATGTGTTTGTCATGTTTGCTTTAGCTTTCCCCCTTTTGAGACCTCGAACTCTGCGAAGATGGTGCGGCCGCGGCTTTGGCTTGCGGCGGTTCCGTGGCTTTCAGCCGCCTTCGCTCTTTGCGCGCATGCGCCGTCTCGGCATATGCGACCTGCCAGTGGAACCAGCGCGCGAGAGATCACGCGGCATGGCCAGACTGTCAGCGCCTTTTTGCCTTTGCGCACATTCTTCTCAAACTCCTTCAGTTTATGAGATTTTGGGTGTCCCTTTTTGGGTTTCCTTAATCATTTCACCAGTTGCAAGTGATCACTGATTTGTGAGGCGGAAGATCATGCAGGCGGCCTCTGCTTCGCAGGTTCTGGGGGGCATGAGGAGCGGGCAGAATTTGAAGCAACGTGACCCTGGCTCCCCGGTGAGTTGGTTGAAACCAGAATGGTTTGAAGAGGACAGGGGTCCTAAAAAAGGATTTTGTTTTTTCAGCATCATTCATTGCGCCGCTTGAACCTGGGCTTCCTTTTGGGGTGATGTTTCAAAGGGAGTTTCAGGAACTCTGGAGGAGGGAGCAGAGGAATCCACACCTGGATTTTATCGCCATGTCGGCTGCTTGGGCAAAGATTGCAAAGACGCACCGCAGCATCAAGAAAGACGTGCTGAGCGACCCGTTTCTCTGGGACTTCATTGCATTGACGCAGGAAGGTGCCAATACAGCAATATTTGACGCCAAAAGGAATCAACGAGCCTTGTCCAGCGTGGTTTGGGCAGTGGCGAAGCTTTACGCACCGCTATCTTCGCAGCTGGATGGGCTGAAGGAGAGATTGGCATGCGCAGCTGAGCAAACCGTGATTTACATGGACGCACAGGCCATTGCCAATACGATTTGGGCCGCAGCCAAGCTTTCAGAGTCGGGAGACAGCTCTCTATTGGGCCTGCTACCGAGCTTGGCAAGCAGGTTTAAGCAAGTGAGATCAGGCATGAATGCCCAAGAAGTTGCCAATACAATTTGGGCAGCAGCCAAGCTGTCGGAGCTGGGAGATAGCACCCTAACCACCTTGCTGCCGACCCTAGCCAACAGGGCCAAACAAGTGAAATCACGCATGAACGCGCAAGATGTGGCCAATACAATTTGGGCGGCGGCGAAGCTTTTGGAGTCAGGGGATAGCTCCCTTGTGCCTCTGATGCAAATCCTAGCGGACAGAGCCAGGCGTGTGAAGTCTGACATGAATGCGCAGCATGTTGCGAACACGATCTGGGCCACGGCAAAGCTGTCAGAGTCCGGGGACAGCTCTCTTGTGCCCTTGGTCTCGACTCTGGAGGGTCGGCTTGGGCAAGTTAGGTCAGAGATGAACTCCCAAGAAGTTGCCAACGCAATGTTGGCTGCGGCAAAGCTTTCAGAGTCGGAGGATATGTCCTTGGTGTCTCTGTTGCCGACCTTGGCAGACAGGGTCAGGGAAGTGGGCCTGATGGCCATGTTCCCAACATAGCGAGCAAGGGAGATGAGCGGCAATCATTCCAGTCTCAAGCTCTGCCGGGGCGCCCTCATTGAGACGAGTGCGCAGGAAGCTTCAGCTGACCGCAAAGCATGGAGTCAGATTATTTGCAAGGCTCGCTGGCAGCCGCTCGCAAGACAGTTCTCAACATGAGGAGTTGGATGGCTTTGCGATGCCCTGTTTCCCCCCTGCGTCCACTCTGCTGACGCAACTGACCTTCCTGCTGGACGGACCGTATCGCGATCCTGGCCTCTTTAGCTCGCCAAGTGTGCCGTTGATTCATCAAAAGATCAAGTGCTACGTGGAGACATGACGATTCCTTCCAGGAACAAGTTGATATGCCCAATGCAGCTCGTTTGTGTCAGTCAAGTATGTATCATGAGAGCATTGTGACCGGCACGAACTGCGAGTGACAGCGGGAAAGTAGGGCTTTCCGCGAAGAAGTGCTCGTCGCTTCAGTGCAATGGTTGAAAAGACACCACATGCTTGTGGTCCTGGCAGGGCTTCGGTCTCGAAGCATTGTTGCAATTGTGTTTGCCATGGGGCGCTGAAGCCATGGGGCGTTTGGGATTATCAATTGTCGCTGTGACTGTGACTGCTGCTGTTGTGGCCGGGGCGGCTGTAGCTTCCATTTTGTCAAAGGGCACAGCAGTGACTGCAGACACAAATCGCAATCACAATCTGAGATCGTTTTGGCTGCTATCTTTTGCGGACATTATTCTTTCAGGATCATGAGGCTAGGTTTCAGGTTACCCTACACGTCGCATTCCAATTACTGGGCCCTTAAAGTGCACTTACAAGCACAAGCAGAGCCGCACAAAATTTAACAATGGAGGCAATGATTCAATGAGACCTCAGCAAGCCCTCTTGGCCAGGTCTTGACTGGGTAAGACTCGACTCTGATGAATGTTCATGGCAACCTCAAGGGCAAGGCAGTTGGGTGCGCTTAAACAGGGACCCCCGTTTGAAACGGAAGCACCGACAAGAAGGGCTAATTCGGCACAAACACTCATTTGCGAGTGAATTGGAGACCGTTGATGGACGTCATTTGCATCGATTTTTGTACACCCATGTGTTCCATCGAATCATAACCATATCTAGGCTAGGTCCCACTGGTGGTTGAAGGAAAGCCAAAAGGAAAACCTACAGTTTCTCGGTCTGATCCTGAACCTGCTTGCTTGCGTTTGGGACGGTCATGGACTTCAGGAGAGACAGCCATTGTGAGGGCACCATAGCCCTCAGAGTTTGGACCACGTAAAATTTCAACCACAACCTGGAAGCCACCTCCCCCACTTTTCCCATCTCCTTCTTGGAGAAGCACATTTTGTCAGTCACAGATTGAGTCACAACATCAGTCTGTGGTCCCAAATAGGAGGGACCACAGAAGTCATGGAGACTCACATGTTTGTCCAAGTCTTCGATCGCATATCATGACCTTGAGAAGGGATTTAGACAAACGGGGTTACTAACTTGACTGCTATTGGGCTAGCTGGATCTTTAGACTTTGACTTTTGGGAAATAATGGTGTTTTCTACTAAACCCCAAAAAGTTAAACTTCTTGCAGGGGGGTCAAGAGCAACCAAGCTAAGAGCACCACGATGCCCCCCTACAGGCGGGGGGGCTTGGACGTTTGGTCCGGTCGTGTTCTCGGGTCCGAGGAGCAGCTCCTCCTCACTGTGGACGCGGACGCGGCGATGGAGCGTGAGCTGGAGCTCACCTTGCAGCGCCGGCCAGGCGAGAAGGGCGGCGGAGTGGGGCGGAGCGGAGAGGGCCAGTTGGGAGGAAGTTCTGAACTTGGGTGCATTTTGCCAGTTGTCCAGTGGTGCCCTTTTTTCCTGTTTTTGGGGAAGGGTTCCCCGTTAAACTCAACCAACCAAAAAAGGGTGCCCTTGTTTCGCATATTAGGACTTTAGCTTTTTGCCAACTAATGGGTTTCCGTATTAAACCACTAGAAGTCAAAACTTTTTCCAGGGGAGCAGAAAGCAGCCGAGTGAAGTATTCCAAGCGTACTTTCACGCAAGCGAAGGTTAAGGGACAGTCCCAGCAGGTGCGTGTATCAGGCACCGATGAGTATTTACATTTGTAGACTCGGCGGTGCATTAAGCTGCTCCTATCACGCCTCCAAACATACCAATCCCAGTTTCGGGGTTCCAGTGAGTCAGCTTGACTCTGGCGGTCATCAAAGTTCGAACCTGGTTGGTGTTTGCCCTTCAAGCAACCACTTGTGGGATGACTTTGACAAGATAGTCCCGTACCCGTCAAACACACCGCTCCCAGCAAGGCGAGGAGCTTTGGGGCTTCGAGTGGAATGACTTCCACGACCATCGCCAGCGCTTCGGCAGAAATCCACTTGTGGCGTAGGCTCAAAGGCCAGGGGTGTGTGGTTTCCTTTTGTCGCAAAAGCTTGACCTTGTGCTGGTTTTTCATGTTTCATGCTGTGGATGGTTGAACGATCTTCCTTGTAAGGTGGTGCCCTTGCGAAAGGGGTTTGCACCAGGCTCCGGTGCCGTACTGGGCGTTGCACGGGTAAAGGGAGAGGGAGAGAGAGAGAGAGAGAGGGAAAGAGATGTGTTGAGCGCGAAGGATCAACAAGACAACCTAAGTCCCAGGCGAAGGGTCATTGAGTCCATCCTGATAGAGAGCCCTGCGGGCGCCTGGAACACAGAGCTGCTTGGCGACAGAAAGAGAAAGGTGGTGTTTTTTTAGCATTGTGCTGCTTTTGCTTTGCTTCTGCTTTCCCTGATCTTGGCAATTAGCAGCGTGCAGCGGCAAGCGTGTGACATTCTTCATAACATGCAGTAAGACGCCAGGATGTACGCGTTCAGCTAGGCGGTGATTTGCGTATGTGTTTTTGAAGGCGCCCTTTTCGGGTTTGCAAAATGAGGAATCCAAACGGAAAACCAACAATTTGAGGGTCCCGCTATTTTGACACATACCCATTCGCTGCAGCGCAGAGATGTCAGAGGTCCACTGAGGGTGTGACAAGTTGTTTGACACAGTGTGGGAGTTGAAGAGCCACATGTACATGAAGTGGGTGGCCGGCAATGTCGATCCCTACAATTTGTGCCCCCAAGAAATCGAGTTGACCTTCTGATGAGACATGTATCGACCAGGGCCTGATGAATCTTGAGTTCCCGTTGATTGCAGGCAGGTGGGTTTCCGCTGAAGTCTCCGTTCGGTTTAAACGCCTCCCATGTGGCACGCCATAAGGATGTGAAGCTTGTGCTTGCGGGTGTGGCAGGAGTTCCAGATGCTTCGTGCCCTCCAAACTGGGACCCAACCACGTTTGGGTAGAAGCTTGGTCTTAGTCTTGGGTCCTATTGTTTTGCCTGTGGAAAATAATATCCAGGCGCCGAGTTGTGTTCAGGTTTTCCTCGATTTCCCTTGGTAGGAATCCTTTGGAGCAGCCTTCCATCAAGCTCCGCCTTGTGAGGCAGGCAGCCATGGGCGCAGAGACCCTGTGCCGAGGCCATGCAAGAGCCCTTTGCCCTGGGTTGCGCACCCCAGACTTGGGAAGTCGAACTCTGGACGGGATCTTTAACTTTAAACGTTAGAGGCATTGCCTCCTGCCCCAAGCCACTTTGAAGCTTCCTTGCAAGATGTGCCACATGGATCAGTGTCCGAGGTATGTGCGTTCAATGTTTTTATGTGCTTGGTCTATGCCAACTTGTTTTTTTGACTCTGGTGTTGCTCGTCCAGTTTGTCACAAGGGGATGGATAAGTCTTCATTGTTCCGGGCGCTTTGCTTGCTGCCCACGTTCGTTTGGCAACCATGGGTGTCCAGATATGATGGCTATGGATTTAAGCGTTAGACTGGAATATTCTCCAGCATCGATGACCATGTGACTTTGAAAACAAGTTCTATTGGTGGCTTCTTTCGGGCAATGGCCCCCTCTCCGGGCAAGTCAAGGTTGGTTGCTGGTTCCTGGTGGAAGTTCCATGGTTCTTGCGGTTCGTGTGGCTTGGCAACTGGGGCGGCTTTTCGTAAGGAAAGCCACTCGCCCCTCTTGGTTGGCAAGGGTGGGGCACACAGCAAAGGGAGGCCAACGGAACCCCCCTTCTCAGCCCCCCCTTTGCCACATTCGCCCATGGGCACAAGAAACTGGCCAAAACTCGTGGTGTCGGAGGCGATGAGCTGCTGGAGGTGAATGGCCAGAGCAGCTATGAGGCGCTCAAGGAGCTGCGGCGCTGGCACAAGGTGGGAGGGGCCCGTTCTTTTTTTAGGGAAAACACCAATTTCGTGGCAGAAAATGGGAGGGGGGACATCTTGTTCAGACACCCGGTGGGGCATTAGCTGTTTCTGGAAGGGGTTTCCCTTCAAATCGAGTACCATAGAAGGATTGCTTTTGTTTCCGTGGCCACTGGGGTTCTGGGTTTTGCTTGAGTTGTTTTGGGGGGTTAGATGTACAAAAGGGTGCCGGCTTTCCATGCAAGAAGCGGATTGTCAGACAAGCCTGTGTCTGAAGATAGGGGACAAGTAGAAATGATGGGCTTCCTGCTTAGCAGTGGAGAAAGCCACTGAGCAAGAAACCAAAATGGGACTTCCTGCAAGCGGTATTGTGGCGCTTGGGAAGGACTCCAGAAGGCCATGCACTACCACGCGTTTTTTGCCATTCACTACTGGATTTGGACAGCAAGGTCCCACTGACAAGAGTGGATGAAGATACGTTCAGCAACCTATTGCTGAAATAGTCTTCCAAAAAGGGAGCCTGGTAGTGGACAGGGGCAGAGTCCAACATCAGACCTCCAAAACATCTAGATCTAGTTGTGGGTAGACATGTCAAGAAAGACCATCCCCAAGAAGGACATTTCTCAGGGGGATCCTTCACGTGGTTTCATGTTGGCTCGTTTTGTTCGTTACATGTGTAGATCCATCTCCATTACTTACAACTATTTCATGTTGTGTTATCTAGTTATGTTGTTGATTCAAATGCTTGTATTTGTGCTCTGTATTTATTTATTTATCTGTTTGTGTGTTTGTTTGTTTATGTTTCGTGTTTATTTGTTTGGTTTATGTGTATGGTTGTTTGTCGATTGTTTGTTTGCTTGCTTGCTTGCTTTGTGTGATTGTTTGTTTGTTTGTTTGTTTGTTTTGTTTTGTTTTGTTTTGTTTTGTTTTGTTTTGTTTGTTTGTTTGTTTGTTTGTTTGTTTGTTTGTTTGTTTGTTTGTGTAGTTGGTTGTCTATTTATTCAATATGTTATGGTTCAAGCATGTTTTTATACCCATGTAACATGTATGTAATTGTTTGCTTATCTTATCAACTTTATGTATTTGGGTAATCCACGTGTTTATGTATTTGTGCGTTTGATCAGTTGTTAGAATATATGTGTTTGCTTTATTAGTTATATTGTGTTGTGTTTATTCATCTATCTATCTGTTTATTTCGTCTTGATTTATGTTTATTTATTTGTTTATTTTATTTATTTATGTATTTATTTATTTATTTATTTATTTATTATGCATGTGCGTTAGTCTATTGAATTGTTTACTTGTAAATCTATCAATTCATGTCTTTGTTTTAGTTAATGAATCAATCTTAATTAAGTAATCTCATGAGTCAAAACATGTGTAGTTATTCCTTAATCACATAATTAGCAACACAAATAATTTAACAATGATGGATTAACTTCTTCTTTGTTTGTTTACATTTATGTATTTTTCCATATCCTTTTTTACATTCCCTGGGAGGGTCTGTTGACTGCTGAACATGGCCAGAGCCCCCTCGGGCTTACCTTCACTTTCTCTTTGAACCAACAGAAAGAGCGGAGGGTCGGATCCGTTTGGCCAGGTATCGCAGGTGGTTTATTTTTTAAAATTAAGCCCAAACAGCACAAACCGTTGTTCGTTTTGGCCTTTCAAAGGGACCAGGGGTTGGCTGGTTGACCAAACTTGCAACAACGCCCCTGGCTCCAAATGGGTGTGGGTCAAAAATAGGTACACAAAATGGAACCCTGGCGAGTCCGCGAAGCGGCGAAATGGCGAACAAAACCAGGTGCAGCTGGTCTTCCGGCTCAGCGGGTGCACGGCTTTGCGCCTGGCAGCCCAGCAGGGCCACCACCAGGTGGTGGCAGCCCTGCTGCGCGCCAGGCCTCTGACTCCGACCCCCCCCCCCCAAAACCCCCGAAAGGCTGAAGGGGATAGTGACCCTGGAAAATACAAAGGGAAGCCTTTTTGGGGAAGACCATTTTGGCAAACCACTGTTTGGTTCATGAGAATGGCAAATTAGTAGCTCGACAAACGGTGAAGGTTCCATTCAAAGATGGCGAATCACGCGGGTTCACATTGAACACCCGTAGAATTGCAGGTCCTGACTCGGAGTTCGACATTGTTTCAGCCGTAGGTTTCAGCCTCGCCAAGAGGCCCGCATGCTCCCGGCAGGTCGGATGCCAACCTTGCTTGGCAAGGCGGGAGACCGTTTTGGTGGGCACAGTTTTGACTAATCTGCGTGAAGCTTCGTCTTGCACGCCTCCCAGGTAGAGGGAATAGTGTGGGAGCCCAGAAACTCTGGTTTAACGATATTGAAGCAGGCGTGATGTATTCTTCGGCACGGCAGCCTTTGCTTTGAGGTACTATTTTAACGCATTCGGTTCGGGTAGACCTGGCTCGGCTTCTCATCGAACTTTCTCCCAGCTCTTCTGGCAGGTTGCTTGTCAACTCGGCGTCATATCATGTCATATCCACTTCGGATTCGTCTGGCTCAATTTGAGCTGGTTTTGTGTTTGGTGGGAAATGGCTTAGATGGACCCTCCAGTTGGCATCTTCCGCAGAAATCCAAGATGATGTTAATGTTGTGGTTGTGGCGCTGAAGCTCGACTTTGGGCAAGTGATGACCTTGAAACATTGCCAAGGCAGCGAGTGTCTCTGTGTGTGTGTGTGTGTTCCAGTTGCCTTTGGCTTGCATTTTCTAACTTGACCTGCAGCTAATTGTTACTGCAGTTGATGTTATTGGCGACATGTTGTTTGAATCAGTGTTTCTTTCCCTGTCATACTGGTTCAGCAATATGTCTACCGTAGCTATGTCGTGTGTGCGTGTGTGCTGCTTTCGTTGTTCTTCGTGTAATTGAATTGCGATCCTTGTGGATGGTGTTGGTGCTGGAATCTGTCTTTCCCCTCCTCCTCCTCCTCCTCCTCCTCCTGCTCCTCCTCCTCCTCCTTCTTCTCCTCCTTGTTCTGTTGTTTGTTGGTTATGTTATTATTGTTATGGTTCATTTCACCTTGTTTCTTTGTTCTTGTTCTTGTTCTTGGTGGGGGCAGCGACGATGGTGGTGGCGGAGGTGGTGGTGGCGGCGTCATGTTTGGGCTGCCGTTGGATGGTTATTTTGTCGTTGTGAGTCTTGTTGTCATCCTTGCTGCCGGCGCTCTGATTGCGGTCCATTGTAGTGTTCCTTGTCTTGACAACATTTTGCATGCTGCCAGGGATGGGTTTTGTGACAGCAAGAAGAAGCGCCAAGACACACGCGGCAAACAAATCTGGCTAGTGTCGGGCACTGGCACTTGGAACGGCAACCTTTCCCCTCGTTACCGCATTCAATGGCAACTTCCCCCTTGTTACCGCATGCCTGGCGGCCTGTCATTTGCGCTGATGTGGAACACCTGGCCTTAGGACATTGTAAAGATGTTTCAAGTGATGTGCTGCCTTCAGGAGTATCTCGTGTTTTTGGTCAGCACGACTGTTTGTTTGCTTTGCTGTTGTCAGCTATATTGTCCATGTGCCACTGTGGCTTTTATGTGACCGGGCCAGAAAGCTGACGTTTTAACTTGTTGGGAACACCAAACTAAAGGCCTGCCTGTCGGCAAGCCAGGCCAGCAGTTCGACCTGGAGCTTACACGCAGCGGTGACCAATGCTGGGGCTTTCAATGGGATGAGCGCTTTGTGCCTTGTCTTGGCTGCTTTTGCGTTTGGTCTTCAACCTTTCTGTTCTTTGTTGAGAACATGTACGGCTTTCCCCTCACCTGCAAACCAAGTACACTTTTTGTGCACGGGTGGTCTTCGGCGTTTGGCGTTGGCACGGCATTCTGAGTCGGCAGAACGCCAGTTCAAAATCTGGCCAGATGTTTACTTCAGCCAGGTGCCGCCTGCTTTCGTGGTTGGAATACATTGATCCTTTGCTACCATGGAAGTTGGATTGCATCACGAAAAGTTGGAACGGAGGAGCAGCGCCAGTCACATGGCGAACCCGGCCTCAGGAGACTTCGCAGCGCCGGGTGCTGTGGGCCATGTTTGCGAATAGCCCCGCAGCGCAGTGGCACCTTGGAACCAGTGGGAATGTCACAAGTGGAACCGTGAGTATTCCTTGACACATGTCGGGTTCTGGAAGAATATCATGATGTTGAAAAGGTTTACTATCCAATTCCATGATGGTTGGAAACATGGTACCCACATGTGGGAGGTTGGCCTGAAAAAGGGCCCCTATTGGGACCTCGATGTTGTGTTCTGCTGCCTTCTCCAAAAGGGGGCCGCCTGCACGTGACGGTGGCCATGAACTGCCGGGAGAATACCATGTGAAGGGCAAACAAGGATGGTGCCGAACACATGGTATACTCGGCTAACTGCGAGCACTGGCGGCCTCGTTGCTGCCATGTTGTGAAGTGTTAGTCCATGCTCTGCCGCACTAGCACCATCCAGATGCTTGGGGGAACCCAATATGTTTGCCTCAGCTTCGTTGCTTCTCAGGAATCAGCAGATGATGGAGCAGAAAGCAGACCCCAGGATGCAGCAAGCTACACATCAAGGGCTGCAGTGTGCGCTCCTCCTCGAAAGCAGGGGCCCACCATGTGTAGTTTGATGAAATGCTTGAGTCAGTTCATATCACGTGAACGAAGCCAGGGTTTGCAAGGTGTACAAAAGACAAAAATCTTGTAGTCCATGGGGGCCGGGGCCCAAATTTCCCATGGCCTGGGGAAGCATTCCTAGTTTTGGCCAGAGCTCATATGCAGCCCTTGTGTGCGCTTTTTTGCATACAAGTGGCATGCTTGCGTCAGAATCTATTCTAAGATGGTTCCACTACCCCAAACCACTATCCCCAAGGGGAAACGGGGTATATACCCATATGTACCCTTTATATAGTGGCTACATAGCACACACCCTGCGGTTCATTTCGCGGTTAGAAGCGTCTCGGCCACATAGTGGCTGTAATCCCATTAAACCCCTGTAGGTGGTGGTTTGGGGGTATGGAAAGCCATCTCACTGTGGCCTTGAGTGGAACCAAGGAGCCACTCAAAAGGGGTGACGAGCTGGTGCTCATCAATGGCAGAGATGCCAGGCACCAGCGAACAGGGTTGCAGGGTTGCTCGCCTCAAAACAATGACCAATCAGCAGGGGTGGGGCAGGGCGGGGGGGGGTGTCAAATTTGGGCATGTTTTCTGTACTGCCCCTAGAATGTGGCACAAGGTAGCAAGGGTAGAAGAATTTATGTAGCTTCCCTTGCTTTCCTTAAGACCAATCTTCTTCCCTGCCAAGGTCTTGGGAACAACGCTAGTAGTCATGTTTGCACTGCGACGAGGCCACCTCAAGATAAGCCCCAGCGATGGCTTCATTGTTCCATGGGGTGAACCTTCCTTCGGTGAGATGTTGTTGGCAATATGGTGTCAAGCCAGGGGTTCCAGGCCCTTGTTTGGTGATTTCGAGTAGAGGCGCGTGCTTTGGGCTTGTGCAGGCTAAATGTTCAATATTGCGACATCCAGAGCTTGAGTAGCACGCGTTGTCTTTTCATTGTTCAATCTCACAAGCAAATTGTAGCACGTGAAAAGCACGCGTGGAAACTGTACCGGCAAGACCTGCGTGTCAGGCTATATCCCGCGCCTGCACACCCCACAACCAAGCAGAATAATGGCGAATGAAACAAGCCAGAACAGATTTGTGTTTGGTTGGTTCTCACAACTTGCCTATGGCCGACATAAACAAAGCGCATCCTCAGGCAGTTGGCAGCAAAGAAAGCGGCAAAATTAAACCCAAACGAAAAACTGTTGAGAGGCATCCCCTTTGCTTCAGTTCAGCCAAGGAGCCAAGTCCGGAGTTCAAAGAGGCACATGAAAAGATGACAAATCCCTTGCCCCATGAAGACAACGTTTGTTTTGCAAGGAAACATGAGACACCCCGCAATTGAGTGTTTGCCGCACAACCCAGTGTTGTGTGTATTCCTATTCCCCCTTCAAACACATCTGCCAAGTGGGTCCAAGAACGAGTGGAATATTGGAAGGCCATGTTCATCAAAAACATGGTGCAACTCTGGTTTGGCGCTTCACAATGGACGCCGCACATACTGTTTTGGGAAACAAGGAAATGAGGGTTCCGCAAGACCAACCCTTTTGTGGGAATGGCGGCAAAGCAGCTTGGTGGGTGTCTCAGGTTGGGAATAGTTGATTTCGCACCCATTAAGACTCACAGGGCACCCGCAAGGGTCTGCAAAGGGGAAGCATCCTTTGATTACCTCGGTTACCCCTAAAGACAAGCTTTGAGACTGATAACAAGAAGTACCCGGAAGTTTCAATTTGCGGTCCCCTTTGGTTTAGTTTTGGCCCATAGAAAGCCATAGGTTCAAAGAAACCAACTGCAGGACATTTTATAGGAACCCCCTGATTTTTGTGGGTATTTGGCAAACTTCCTGCAGAACTTTGTGTAGCTGGTTTCTATGATACTAGGTCCCCCAGTAGTGCCCTTCTCTCCCCTTTCTTGGGGGAGGTTCCCCTACTAAAACAGACCAGACAACTAACAGAAACAAAAGTCGGGCACCAACTTTCTGGAGGACCTAGGATAGGTTTCGATCCCATGGGAATTCGGACTGAACCGACTGACCCGACGCAGATCCATCGCCAGGAGCTGCTTGGCGCTGCGGGAGCTCTCGGTGCAGCTGCGCTTCCAGCGCCGGCGCCGGGCGGTGTCCTCGGCGCTGCAGCTGGCGGCGGCCGGGGAAGCTCGGGGAGGGGGGTCGGGGGGGTGGGGGCTGGGGGGGTTGGGAGGGGGGGGGTTTGGGGGACGATTTTGGGTGGCACCCTGAATTGGTGGTTTGAATTGGTCTGGGAATGTAGTAAGTTGGCCGGATTGGGCTGGGGTTCGAATCTGTGGGTTTTGGGCAAGAAGGTAGTCTCCCAACCGTTTTAAACTGACAAAATGCCGGGGGAGGGCCAAAAAAGAGGGAGAGTCTTTCTTCGACTTTTTGAGGGTTGGCGGGAAGTGGTCTATGTGGAACCCTCAAAAACCATCGAACTACTGGCCACTGGTTGGATGGTGTTTGTGGTGGATGACCCGTGCGGGTTTGGTGTTGGCCCTATGTGGAAACGGTGCATGAAGCGTGAAACCGGCCGCACTAATTGAGTAACGATTCGGATGGGTGAGGGCATGGGAGACTTGTGCACTTTGCCAGCAGCCTTTTGTTCATCTTAATGTTTGCTAGAGGAAGCTTAAGTTGGTGTAGTGTTCAGTGTTTGAGAAGGTCGCAGGCTGTAAAAGTGTGAATCTGAATCTGGGGCGTTGCAAACCATGATGCAGTTTGCACCGAGTCTTTAGGAGTCACGAACTGTTTTGTGCCAATATGTCGCAGCCGTCAAGTTTGGCTGACATCCAGTCCTCCAGATCGAGGCTGGTCATGCCATCCAGCCGGTGCCAGACGAAAGCGCACCTTGTGCCCCCACTTGAGGTTTTGCGGCCAGTCGCCGTGTGCAAGACCCGCACTTGGCACTTTGCCTCAGGTTGCGGGCCACGACGCCGTGTGCGACCTCTTGCTGGGTGCCGGGGTGCAGCCTGACATGCGGCTTCCTCAGAGCTGCAAGGCGTGTTGCTCGGAACGTGGCACTTCAGTAAATCCTCGGAATGATGGGCCGAGCGACAAGGGGATGTGAACCGCTGGGGTTCAACACGCTTCCAATCTTGGGTACCACTCAGCGCCTTTGAAACGAGAACTGTTTCCAAAGTTGCGAAGAAGTGAAGCTGCTTCTGCGGGTAGGGCCTTGCAAGTGTTCTGTCCCTGTTGAGGGAGGTCGCAATTCTGCCAACAGAGCTGCTAATGGCTGCGAATGGCTTTCTCTCGGCCACTGAATGCCGGGCATTCGCGTTCAGTTCAGGATAGGTGCGGAGGATTCGAATTGCCACTTGAATGGCAGCACATTTTAAGACATCTTCACTTTGATCGGCCGGAGCCTTCGTTGAGTGGGACGAGTGTCGTCCTGAACTTGGCAGGATTTCTGCCATAAGGTATGTACCAATGGCGCGTGGTTCAGGCGCCCACCAACAACCTGTTTTTGCTCAAAGGCAAACCACAGCTCCCCGCAAAGCCGCAGTTTGTGGGAAAGCCCCTGTTTTTTCTGGCCAACAGCTGGAGGAGGCGCCTCTTGCAAGCGGTGCCAGCTTTTGTCCGTGCTCTGTGTCAAAGTGTACGTGCCCTCCTCTGACGGCCACAGTCCCCTCCAAAAGGAAAGCAGCCTTCCACCGTTCTGTCCGCTTCCACCCCCCCCCAATCCGCAACCCATGTCCTCGTCGCAGGGTTCAAGACTCCAAGCAGAACCTGTTTTGGGTACTCCCGATTCATCACGGAATTGACCAACTCCGCCACTGGCTGAGGGACTTGCCCTCTCCGCTGAAGTTGTTTTCCGACTCCGGCAAGGCGGGCTATGCTTGCCTGATGGCTTAGGCAAACTGGGTTGCTCGATTCGAGCCTTTAAATTACCAAACAACAACTGAGGGTTTTCGAGCTTATTTTGGGACTAAACCAGGTAAGTCTGAAAGTGTCACTTTAGTGGACACAGAACAGGGGTAGAAGCTTGGTTTGCTTTGTCTTGGTTTTGCTTTGCCAGGGGCCACAGTTTTATCCTGATGCCGGGGGTCTTTTGCAGCAACCCTTTTTCAAGGCACATTTGTTGTGAACTCCGAAGATTCCAGCCACACACCGTCGTTCAACCAGCAAAGAGGCACTACGCACTAGGAGACCAGTGTGATGCTTCCTTTTTTCATGCAGTGGGCAGTTCTCAGTCGTCGTTTTGGAAGAAAAGTGGCTGTAGATCAAGCTGAGCTGCCTGTCATACAAAGGTGGGCATTCTTGGCATTTGGCTGCTGCAGGGTTCAGACACAGGAGTTTGTCAAACCGGGGTTCCAAGAACACGGATTTACCAGGCCCAAAAAAAACTGTCCATGTGGGAGAGCCCCTGATTTTGACTTGCATGCACAGACGCAGAGGCAAAGACAGAGACACGGAGACCGACGGACTAGACCAGGCCATGTCAGACCATGTCAGACCATGTCAGACCATGTCAGACCATGTCAGACCATGTCAGACCATTTCAGACCAGAGACCGAGGCCGGGTTGATTTGGGCGTTTGGAAACACCCTGCCCGCCCTGCGGAGTGGTTATAGGGCTTACTTGCATTCGGCTTGGTCTTACACTTAGACTAGGCCTTGTTCGTCCACATTTTGCCATCCAGTCATAGGGTCCCCCCACACTTTTTGGCACATTCTGAATACACCCACTAAAATACCCTTTTCAACCTTCAAATCCAATCACCCAGCCAATCCAACACCACAAAACACGTATTCTCATACCCATCTTCATTTCTTACTCCATCGCAACTTCAGCCCTACACTCATTCAAGAACAACAATCAGAACTACAGACCACCTGAACAAATTCCACCCGAAAAATCCAAGCTACATACCAACAAATCTTCACTCTCAATCTCCAACCCTCAAAGTCTCAATAATTTCTCCCTTGATCCAACTTGACACCCTTACCCATTTTCCAACAAGTACGAACAGTCCAAAGAACATCCCTATGTTCACTCCCCAACAGTGGTTAACCATTGGAAAAGGGAATATTCTAACCGTTAACCCAAATCTTGAAAATAATCAGTGTAAGTATGGCATGCGGATGAAGAAGGCTATATTGGATAGATGTTCACCGTCATGGCTCATGTGTTGACGGCTACACTTGCAACAGACGTAGGCGTTCCAACTGACCAGGGCGACCGCTCCACCTGACATGGGCGACAGTTGTCACTGACTTAGCAACAATCGCAACAGCCCCAGAAATCCGTTCAACAGCCCCAGAAATCCGTTGCAACAGCCCCGGAACAGCCCAAGAAATCCGTTGCAACTGCCCCAGACTTCCGCTGCAACAGCCCCAGAAATCCGTCGCAACTGCCCTAGACTTCCGGTGCAACAGCCTAAGAGACCCGTTGCAACTGCCCTAGACTTCCGGAGCTTGCCTTGTCACCTCACACTGCGTCATGGGGATCCAATATGCCGGTCACAATCAGCACCTTGCTTTCCGCCGCAGATTCACTTATCGAGATTCGTTTGATGCATTTGTTGTTCAGTCCGATGTCGCATGTCAGCAACATCATTGTGTTTGTGCATTGAATTTTAGACGTGGCAAGCCTGCAGCATCATGTTGCCATGAAGCACAACCGTGCACAGAAGCAGCGGCTGCGCGGGCTTTCAGCCGTGTTGTTGTTGTTTCTCCTTGCATGCTGGACTCCAGCAGGATTTGTGAGGCATGCCATTCCACATCGTCGTGATGCTGTCCAGCTGGCTGCAGGTGCCACAAGATGGTGGTGTGAACTTGGCGGTGTCAATCGCAAGCGCGAGTGTTTCGAAGAGAACATGCAAACAGATGCCGTGCCCCTGTTGAAGGACTACGCAATGTATGAGGCCACCTTGCCAGCGCGGGAGGGCGGTGTTCGTAAACCATTGAAACTTCATCAGCTCCCGTTTACGCCACGCAGTCCTCATTGGACACGTTTTCGAGAGACATGACCGTGGATGAGCAGCGGCCAACAGCTGCATACATCGCTGCCCCCTCCCATTCAGGAAAGTCGTCTGTGTTGGTGGGTTTTTTTAGATCCAGAGATGAAGGCATCATTGATGACAAAGCCTTTGCAAACACTGCTGGAAACTACCACAGCAAGGTCAGTACAACCAAGCTCAACAAAGCGAGCGAAGATGAATAAAAAGGATTAAACATAATTATATTTTTAATATCTAATTAGATTATGGTTTTGCTATAGTTACAACATATAGGAGTTTACATGTTACAAGTATAGTATACTTCTATTATCTAAGCCGTGGTGGTGACTATCTACCTAAGCCTTGCCCATCCGCATATTGCCGCCCATATTTACTGGGATTGTTGCCATGATTCGAGTTAGCCCTTCTGTTGTCCCTTTTCCATTGGCTAACCACTTTTGGGGAGTGAACATAGGGTTGTTTCTTAGACTGTTCTTATTTGTTGGGAATGGATAAGGGTGTCAAGTTGGATCAAGGGAGAAATTATAGAGATTTTGAGGGTTGGAGATTGAGAGTGAAGATTTGTTGGTATGTAGCTTGGATTTTTCGGGTAGGATTTGTTTAGGTGGTATGTAGTCCTGATTATTGGTGTTATTGAATGAGTGTAGGGCTGAAGTTGCGATGGAGTAAGAAATGAAGATGGGTATGAGAACACGTGTTTGTTGGTGTTGGATTGGCTGGGTGATTGGATTTGAAGGTTGAAAGGGGTTGTTTTAGTGGGTGTATTCAGAATGTGCCGAAAAGTGTGGGGGGGGACCCTATGACTGGATGGCAAAGTGTGGATGAACAGGCAGATACCAGAAGGAGGGGTATCACGGCGGAGGTCGGACCATACACACATACATATGTACACATATATATATATATATACATATATACGCCCAGGAGCCTACGTTTGCCGTCGCCTGGACCCTCGCCCGGCCCCGCCTCTGAGCTCCGCACTATCTTTTCTCATGCAAGCCACTTTAAGCGCTCTGCATTAAAAGCATCTCGAGTAGATATCGCAACTTGCCCGCTGCTGCACGCAAGTCGGTAGTTTCGGAGCGCACGCATGATGGCTTCCAGGCCGGGGCATCTGACTAAGTGGGCAGCACTCAAAACGTGGATTTTCTTCCTCGTTGGGGTGGTATTTAATCTTCCCAGAAGAGATGCGCGCCTCATAGAGTTCTTCACTGCTCCCAAGCGGGCTTCGGCCACTTGGTCGCCACCTGCGGCTGTAAACTGTCTTGCTGATTCTGAGACAACTTTGGCTTTATTCTTGGCAACTCTGTGGAGCGCAGCTTTCTGCTTTGCAGTCAGCCCGCTTTTCCACATCTTCACTGTGGGGGTAAAGCGCTTTTCCAAGTGACTAACCCCGCCCAAAATGGGAAACCTCTGGAGATATCAGTGTGTTCTCTTTCATTGGTTTTTCAATGAAGGGCAAAACTTCACTGGTGCACTCGGGCCCTCCTGATCCACGCTTCCCAGAGCTTTGTTTGTCCGGCAGAGTGGTAATGGACCACGAGCTCGTCAGCCTGCTTGCAAGGACCAGAGCTCTGCCACAAAAGCGTCGCTCACCCTTCTTCTTGTTCTTCTTCTTCTTCGTGCCAAACTGAGCCGTGTCAGGCTCCACAATGTCACTCGAGTACGCCTGCGAGGTAAAGTGCACAAGCTCCTTCAAGGTGTGAGTTACGTGGTGCTACTACCCCACCCCACCCCACCCCCCCTGGACGCTGCTTCCAGTCGGATTGTACCTACAGTCGACAGTGTACGCAGCGGAGAACGCTTGCGATTACCCCAACCCCCCCCCCTTCCCTGGACGTTTCTTGCAGTTGTCTGATCAGTTCAAAGCAACATGGATATCCAAAGAAATCAAGAGTTCAAGGTGGAACAACTTGCAAAAGATGAAGCAATCCAAGAGGTGCTGGGACTAGCCAGCACGAGTGGATGCATTTACAGCTTCCATTTGCTCTGCTTTCTTTCCTTGCTTCAGCTCCCTTGTTTTAGGTGGAAGACGTCACAGTTGAGGCCAGATCTGTTGTTACCAGAGAAGGGCATGCGCAGAATCACTGGACAAAGTGGCATTGAACTGGTCAACTTGCCCAAAAGGTTCCAGAGACTTCGCCCTCATGTCAGCTACAGGTGCTTACTTCTTTGCTGATAAGATCTTTCAAGCCTGCTTTTGAAGGGCATATCTTTTTGATTTCCATTAACCGGCCTATCTTAACATCTTTAAGCCAGCATGAAATCACTGCAGTTTGAGCTGAGCTGCTGTTAGCCGAGGACTACCACGGCTCTCTTGCCTTGTGGATGGTTGTGTGTGGCTTAGTGATCTTTGCTTCATCCTGTGTGAAGCACCTATAGTTTCTTGGCTCAGTAAAGGTGATTCTTCTCGGACTTGCTGCGGGATACATCCGAGACCAAGGCACGCCGAACGCTGGTGGGTGAATGACAAGATGCACTTTTCAAGAGATTTCACACGGTTCCATCAAGAGATGTTTATAGGACGGTTGCAAGGACGGCAACAAGCATGGACTCTCTCAAATTTGGAAGATTCGAAGGATATTTGCTTGAGAAGAAAAAGCAAGTGATGATGATCAATGAACAGTGTAAATACCTGGCTATGAACCATAATCTAGGTAAGCCTAACTTGATGGAACCTTTGTGAACAAATTGGAATCCCAAAACGAGGCTGTTGGCTAGTTGATGACCCTGTTTTGTCACAGTTTTCATTTTAATTGGCATTTTAGTTCTCGTTTTTGGCTACATTGTTTGGGGGAGGGGTCCGACTGCATTCAGCGCGTGTTGCTTCTTTCTGTCTCAGAACATCATCTTCCTCGCCACAATCCACTGCAGCGCGTTGTTCTTGGAGCGAGTGCAGAGAGAGGCTACAGCACAGGCGCATTCGCCTTTTTGGACTGTAGCTTTGTAGTTGTCAAGTCAATGCTACATCTGAAGCCTTTTGCAAATGAGTTACATGATTTACTCTCCTGGCTCTGCAAAAAACAAAGCATAACTGAATCAATCCGCTAGTGATTTAGCTTTCTGCAGGCGCTTGGAGCGAAGGCGCAGCGTCCCGGAGGCCAGCTGAGGACTTGGGATTTCAGCTGTTCGATTCCTTGCATTAAAACGGGAATTTGGATACTTTGGTAAGTGAGCTGAGGTCTGCCTCTGACAGCAACATGACTGTCGTGCAGGTGGGAACCTTGGTTCACAGCATTTTTGTGACTCGTAGCTCCTTGCCAAGGATGGGGAGTCCACGATTTGTGCAGAAGGCAAGGAGTACTTCTACGTTTACTTTCATGTTATAATGCGTGACTTTCAGTTTGGTACGTCTTTGTTTCCAGCTGCGGAATGGGTTCTTGCTGTGTGCATTGACGTATGAGCTACGTGGGTTGGACGAATCTTTTCGCTCTGATGTAGAGGCTGTAACAATACTTGCCGCGATTTGGCAACAGTCACCTGGAAGCACAGTGTGAATGAACTGGTGTGAACTGGTGAGGGTTCAAGACTTCGAGACAGCTTTGAAACACACTGATATTTCCTTTCGAGTGTTGAACCTTAACAAGAAACAAACATCTGTTTTTGAAAAAGCTTGGCCTGCAGGTGATGCGACACCTGCCCAGTTGTGAGGGTATCTTCGGCAGCGACTGGACCAAGTGGAGCAGAGCATGGCCATACTCCTGGGGAAGAGTTCGCAGCAGGCCCAGATCTTTTGATCTGCGTTGCATTGATTGCAAGTGTTGGCGTCTGTTTGTGGCAGCTCAGCCAGGTGTCCAGTCCAGATGCCCGCTACCACCACCGAAATCCAGGTTAGGTTGACAGGTCTCAAAAAATATCTTGAAGTTTCAGGATGTGTCCAAATGGGCTGCTGCTGTGTGTTGGTCCAGTTCAATCCTTTGACATGGTGCAAACAGTTTTGCCATCGCTTGTGGAACTGAAACCGAACGCTGAAAACAGGTGCTTCCGATCAATATCAGCCAGGAAGAGCATCTCCTGCAGGCAGAGTTTCACTTGAAAGATGTTGGGATGTTGACATGAGAGGTTCCTTTCTAAAAAGAGCCCACCGTGTTTCTAGAGCAGCTCGTTCATCCAAGAAAGTTCCAATTTTCAAAAATCATCCTTGTTTGGATATTGTGGAAGGCAGAAGAGCACGGACGAGCTAGAGACGAGTCGCCAAAGAATACTTCCAGGTAGTTGCCGTTTCTTGTGACACTCTCAATGCTGTGTTCTGAAAGGATTCAGCAGTGTAGGTTCTGGATGCTGTGCGCAGCATCGTCCGTCATGGATTTAGTGCTCAGTGCTCAGATGCCATTTTGAGCTGTTGGTTTCTCTTTCTTCGCGCAGCAACATGTCAGCGCATGCCGTCATCACAGGCTCCTGCCGCTGACCGCAAAGCTTCTGTGAATAAGACAAGGGTGGTGAGCGCAAAGCTGTGAGCCGAATTCAATGCAAAAGAAAATTTTACACCAACAATTCAGGATTGAATCTTCTAGTGCCAGCCACATCATTTGTTGCTTTAAGCTCTGTGCACGTGCCTGAGAAAAAGGTATATGCGGAGGCTTTGACCAATCCAGCCACGCGATACACCAAGGTCTTTTGTGGTACACATGCTCGAAGAAACTGGGGGCATCACGGAATTTGAAGCAAACTTTCGCAGTTCATTTCAAAAAAACAGATGGCTGTTGTTAGATTCAACCAACAGGGCCGTTCCTTCGCAACTTTCTTCACTTGTGTTTTGGCCTTTGGGCGTGACAGCAAGACAGTTGCAAGCTGCTAAGCAGTCTTGTCACGGTCTGACGGGTGCAATGCAAGGAACTTGCACAAAGCAACTTTCAAATGCACATGGCCTTGGCTGTCTATTTTCGTTCTCACACTTTGCACCTCAGCTCTATGCCAATGAAAAGCAGAATGGTGAGTAGGGCCTGTTGTCCATCCTGACTTGCTTGGTTTCTTTGGCCTGTTTTGTTTATCGCAAACAGTACTTGACCGTGTAGGACTGTTTACAAAAGGAGTGGGCGTCGTACTCTGGGCTGATGCAAGTGTGTCATCTGCATTTTGCAGGGTCCCCGCACAAATCAACTAGGAGTTTATGCAGAAGTTGTCCGGCAAGGCAGCTGTCAAGATTGGCAGATGAATCCAGACAAGACTAGACAAGACCACATCGACACATCATTTAGTTTGAAGCCTGTTGGCCATGCCATTCATTGAAACCTGTTTGTCTGTTTTAGCACGGGCGAACTAGTCTGGCTGCTTCCAGTCGGATTGTACCTACAGTCGACAGTGTACGCAGTGGAGACCGTTTGCGATTACCCCACCCCCTCCTGGACGCTGCTTCCAGTCGGATTGTACCTACAGTCGACAGTGGAGAACGTTTGCGATTACCCCACCACCCCCCCCGGACGCTGCTTCCAGTCGGATTGTACCTACAGTTGACAGTGTACGCAGCGGAGAACGTTTGCGAGTACCCCACCCCCCCTGCACGCTGCATCCAGTCGGATTGTACCTACAGTCGACAGTGTACGCAGTGGAGAACGTTTGTGATTACCCCACCCCACCCCCCCCCACCCCACCCCACCCCACCCCCCCGCGGTTGCTGATGAAGCGGCAAACGTAGGCTCTTGGGGGTATATATATATATATATATACAGAATGATATATGCCTACACAGAGCGCATATGTATATATATATACAATATGTATATATATATTTGCACATTATTATATGCCAGCATACAAGCACTGAATCATTCGCATCAGTCTGTCCCCGTGGGCAATGCTTGAGGTGTGCCTTGCGGAAGTGCTTTGCCAGGCAGTGCTGGAGCTTTGGACAGAAGAGCAGCTGGTCACCGCATTCCTGATCCGTGGCTTGCCTTTCTTGCGCTGAGGGCGGCTGTGAGGCGTGTGGAAGCACCGCTCATGGTCATCAGTGGAGGTGTGCTTGACGTTGTATGGGTGACAATCTTGTTTGCGAACGCGTTTGGGGGGGTCCGGGATATTCGCTTCCATGAGATGTATGGGACAATAGTTATGGATGTTTTCTTGGATCCTTGTGTGATCTGTAAACAGGGGGAAGCCATTATCGGTCAGAGAACTTCGAAGCACAAGCTCAGGACCATTTTCATATTTCATGCTGCTTTGTGACAAACACGCATCAGGGATCCCAAATTGGGACCCTTCCAACTGAGGCGTCTCGGACTCCTGGCAGGCAGTACGCCTTGAGGTGCAAAGACGCCTGGAGGTGACACGGGCCAGCTGCTTGGCGCTCACCAGTTGGTCTCAAAAAAAGGAAAAGCAACAAAAATGAACGGCCCAAAAGGGTAGACCCTCAAAAAGGACACCCTGATTGAGTCCTGGCGCCAAACAGAGCGCAGCTTTGAGCAGTAGCTCCAGGGTCAACTGAGCAGCCGAAGAGGCGGGTTTAGCCCAGCTTGGTCAATCTGATAGGAGGAAGAGAGGAATTTTAGTACTCCGACCCTTTACACAAGCGCCACATGGCCATTTGACTGCAGGGTGCATTCAAGTGCTGTGCACTGTGCCGTCAGGTTTCATTTTCAAGGGTCGCGAGCTTGATCCCGCCAAAGCAGTGGAGGACAGCCAGCGTCGGATGGAAAACTTGAGATTGCAAGGGATCAAGTCACTGACTCTTGGAACCCGTTGTGCCCCAATGTGTGCAGAATCATGTCCTGAAATGGTGGGGCCTGATTTTGCCATGTCCTTCTGGACTTGGTCTTGCTGCTATACCTCTTTCCCTCCTTGCAGGAGTTTGCCGGTGGCCAAAGCGTCATCAGTTTCACGGTTGTCTACCGCCGGGAGCCCTATCTGGTGTTTGCTTCTCTGTTTGGAAAAAATACAAACCGTCTTCTGGACAGGCCAATACAGGTTCTGCGTTTTTCTTTCCAGAGGGTAAACATCTGCTGCCCTGGTCCCTACATGGAGGCCTGGCGACATTCGATGGTTTGAAACGGCACCAATCCGACTTGTGGAACAAACCTGTTCCAAAGCGCTTTTGTTGGGTTCCATTTGTGTTTTCCCGGGGGTACAGTCATGTCTGTGACGCAATGCCACCAGATCTCTCTTCATTACCAGGAAATTCCCGGCAGATACATTGCTTGTGGGCTGCTCAGCCATCCCTTGCAAATCCAAGAAGTAGCTGACCCCCATTGGGCAGGTTCAGTAGAAGGCAGCAAGAAATTTGGCCAGTCTGCTGAGATAGAATTGGAGAGTTGCCAGCCATGCATTACCTGTCACTTGTCGATCAAGAGCAAATTCCCACTTGCCGTTTCATCCAGTACATGCCAGCAGTGATCCTTCCAGTGACCCAGTTGCCCAGTGGTGCCCTTTGTCCTTTTTTTGGGAAGGGTTCCCCTTTAAAGTCCACCAACCAAAAGGGTTTTCCCATGGCCACTGGGAATCTGCCCTTTTCGAGCCTTCAGAACTCCAGGCGAGGAGCTGCTGGGCGCCCTGAAAACCGGGGACCTGGCGCAGGCAAACTTGGCGTCGCCCACCTGCGTGCTGAGCGCGCCGAGTGCGGAGAAAGAGCAAAAAAACGAAGACGCGTGCTGCGGTGGTGGGATCCGAGCCGCTGGCAGGGAATGCGAGTTTTGCTTGGTGGTTGGCCATGTGGGGAAGGAATTCGCGAGAATTGATAGGTTTCCGTTTAGGATGTTTGGTATGGGTAGGATGGATTGAACTCAAAACATGACTCCTCATGTAAACGATGGCCGCTAAAGGCTTCTTAATACAACTTCATGCCCACACGTGTGCGTTTCCGTTGTGTATGTGTCCAAGCTAGAGATCTCAATTCGGTTGCTCTTTGGTTTGTCCTGAAATCTCTGACTTCTTCGGAAAGGTCATTTTGTCCCACTAAGCTCCCAGTCAAGGATGGTTTGGAAGGACACGAACATCAGGCTCCGCATTTATCATCCCTCGGAAAAGTCAGCTAATTATCGGGAGTCCGAACTGTTGACACACACGCGCACACACACACACACACATGGACGAAAGGGGGGAGGGGCGGCTGCCAGGCGGGTCGATTTGTGGCAGCAGCGAGGGTGTTAGTTGGGATGGGTGAAACTATGAAGCGGACATACGATCTATCAACTGGGTGCGAAGCGCACTGGGTCCATCAGTATTTTGCCTTTACATTCGGGGTGTTATGTGTTGGTCGTTCATCGTGTCCATGCAGACATCAAGCCTGCCGAGGCCTATCCGGGCATGATGCCACCTATGATGTGGGCGCCTTTGGCACATGGGCATTCTTCATTTTCACAGTTGCTTGACATTGACTTGCATTGCTGCCTAAATGTTAAGCTCATTACTTACAATTTAAGGGCAGCTAGCACGATCCTTGACTTTGACCTGCGCCCAAACGGAAGTGGAAGACGTTGAGGCAAGGCTTTGCCCACAGTCGTGACTGGAGGCCGGGAATGCCAATGATGATGCCGCCAGCATTTCCAGGCGGGTTGGGCTGGGCACTAATGTCTCAATTTGCTGGACCAAGTTGGCGAATAAAAATGATCCTCCATTTGGAAGGCTCTAAGGGTGTCACAGGCGACTGCTAGGAAGAAGGCATTCAAAGGAGAAAGACGTGCACTTCAGGGGATGTGGCCATCGCAAAGGTCCATCTCAGGGCTTGCAGGCTAAAGATTCCCATTCAGGGACACGCCTTGCCCAGGTCATTGGATGCCTCACCCGGTTCACATGCCGCATCCGGCGCATATGCCAGGAGTGCCTTGGGAACCATATGCCTTTAAAGGGACAGGTTGACAAAAGGCCTACGTCAGCGCCCAAAACTCCCCATGGCTATGTTTGGTAGCTTCTACTGCCTGCCTTCCTGGGGTTGCAGTAAGGTTACGTAAACTTTTGGGCGCGAACAGGTTGCTTCAGTCCAAGCCTGGTGCCCATTGCACTGCCAGTGAGAACTAGCAGTGTGAAAGTGCAGGTGCGGGACGCCAAGTCAATTGATGCTTTTGTACCAGGACCATGTTCTGAAAGCTTCTAACAAACATGTTGTCAACATGAATCCTGGTAGCCGTGGGAATTCAATGGAGTATTCTGGAAGCGTGGCACAACTTCCAATTTTGGCGCATAGAGCATAAGCAAGGGAAGCCGAACAGTTGAACCTCTGGCAGACGTGGACGATGTTGCTCATTCAGCTGTTGAAAAATGGACCCCAGAGTGCCCCAGTGCAAGGGCGCCAGGCTTCCTGCAGCACAATGGGTTCGTCCAGTCATTGCATGACATGTCTTGGTGTTTTGCCAAATGCAGGAGCTGTACCATTGCACCCAGGCGTGGAGCTCGGTTTGATCAGAGTGCAAAAGCTAAAATGCAAATACGGATCCATGAAGCTTGGACGTTCTAGCCTCACAAGCTTTAATCTGTGAGACTGTACCTCGTCTAGAAGCAGGCGCAGGGGTGCTTCAGCATATCTATCGAACATTGAGCACTTCACGAACCGAGCGAGCTTCCAACACCTGCTCAAGTTGGAAAAGGGGCTTTGTAAGAAGAATCAAGACGATTTGTACCGCCAGTCTGTCCCTAAAGCACATGACGCGGTCGGGATTAGCAGCTGCCGTACCTAGTAGCTGCCGTACCTAGTTGCCGGACTGCACCTACTCGCACAATTTCTGCAGCCAAAATAGATCATACGGGCACACAAGTAGGCCCCATGAGGTGCCATTCAGGGCAATTGCGCGCAATGAGATGCAGTAGAGCGCAGCTAAGCGCAATTGAGCGCAACTAGGTGTAGAGGATAGTGGGGACAGGCACGCTTTCTGCCCACACCGGCACATGTGAAACCTACAAATTCCTTTCGCAGGATGAGCCAGCGAGCTCAGACAGTCAAATCTGGTTGCTCAACACTTGTCACTGTGGAGGTTGTATGCGTCGGTCAAAGATTCGATGAGTTTGAAAGGAAGATGGGGGACTCACCAAATGTCCCACAAGAATCAGGGGCCCTCACTGAAGTTCCCAGGTCCACAAGCAACTTTCGAGCACCCACCAGAAGTTCCATTGAAAATTGTCGTTGGGGCCTCCGGTCAGGTTCCGTGTTGATGGGGGGGATATTTCCACCACATCGCCCCGGAGCTTCTGCCGGACCTTCCTATCTCTGAGGTGCTGCTCCTTGGGCCCAGGGCAGCAGCAGCAGTAGCAGCAGCAGTAGCAGCGACAGCAGCGACGAGGATGGGCCTCATGCGCCGACGCTGCCCCTGTTTTGGTACATGTTGGGACGACCGTTTCAGTGGTGGGCAACAGCAAATATGTGGGCAAGGGTTGGACTGATGCTGTTTTTGTGGGTTAAGCCATCACAAAGTGCGGAAGCTGATTTGACCAACTATTGCGAACAGACAACAGAAACGCAGTGAAGCGTGACGGGCACTCCCAACCAGCTGATTTGTAGAAGACGGATCTTACCCTCTAAAGATCGAACGACTCGGAAGAAACAGACATCATTTTCGGGTAGGCCCATGTTGGTTTTTGCGGTTTTGGGCTGCTCCGTACTGATTTCGGGTGGAAAGGTGGTTTGGTGTAGATGAAGATGTGCTTCTTGCACTACTTCGCCAGTGATGGCTTGACGATTGATTCTGCAGTCGTGATGTGTCATGTTTGCAAGTGAGGTGGCAAAATGCAAGTTTACACTTGCCTCAGGCCCCAAGCAATGAGTGAATGCAAGTTAATTTGCTTAGACAGTTGGTTCCTGTGGTATATCCTGACCTCTAGATTTCTCTAAGACGGCAAAGAAAAAACATATCTCACGCCCAGCATGCAGAGTGAGACTTGATATCCAGGACTCTTGGAAGAGCGTCACCCTCATAAACAGCCATGGACCTCAAACATGCCCATGTTAGTCTCATTTGGATGTCAGCAAACCAACGAATGGTTTCCCTTTCATCGGTCCCATGGACTTCTCATTTGGATGTCAACATTGGGATTTGGGTCCAACGAATGGTTTCCCTTTCTCCCCGAACCAAAACAAGGTACCCTCGAAAACCCCATCGGTCGACTTCCGCTCACAGCGCCTGCAGGCGCCAGCTGCTCCGGGCGTAGCGCCAGCAGCCGTGGCGAAGGCAGTACGAATATACACATATGTATATATATATATATATATGTATGTAACATTCTATATATATATATGGAGAGAGAGGGAGAAAGAGAGAGAGAGAGAGAGAGAGAAAAAAAAAAGAGAGAGACATGCGTTCGTGCTTGTGTTTGTGTTGCGAACCACCCTTGGTGCTTTGATGTGGAAGCTGGGCGTAGCCCGGTGCTCCCAGTGCTGCGGAGGCCTTGCAGCCGGAAACACGGTTGTGAAGTGTTGTCGGCGACCTCTGTGCGATACATGCTGAAGCGAACCCGATGTCCTGAATCTGAGCCTTATCCCCCGATTGTATCTTTGAGCTCAGCCGTGTGCAAGGCTCATGGACCAGGATTTGCACCGCAGGTCAAGGCGGGGACAAAGCAGGGCAAGACGTGGCATCTCCCTCAAACGCCTCCTTGCTAAGGTTGTCTTGTGGAGCTCCCAAAATGGACCTGTTTGCCTTTTGGCTCCCCAAAAATGGGCACCTCCCCCAAAAAAAAGACGAGTGCTGCGCCAAGGTGGCGGCGGCCGCGCCCAAGATGGCGCCGGCGAAGGCGGCGCCGTTGCCCAAGGCACCGCGGCCCGCGGCGAAGGTGACGCCCGCAGCCGTGGAGATGGTGACGTTGGAGGCGACTCAGATCTCCCTCAGCCTGGGGTTAAACGAGGTCACCATGACACAGTAAGGGGGTCAAACCATGACAAGGAAAAAGGACCACGACAAGAATCAAAGGGCTCTTGATTTGCTGTTCACGCCCCCCCAATTGCCGTCAAACGACCCCAAAAGTATCCCAAAGGAGGTCACTTCACCAAGCATTTGATAGCTAGCCATTGGGGGTCCCGGGTGATGTTTAGCCGCAAGGCATGTCACTTGCTTGACGATGGGAAGAGAAGGAGGGAATCCTCGCCAAGCGAAGTAGTTTTGCAACTTTCACACGCACGGCTCAATGATCCACTGCCTGCGGCAGGATAGCGACAGTGAGACCTCCAGCGACTCGAGCTCTTCCAATTCGGGCAAGCCAGCGTCCGAGAATGTCGGACATATTTTACGTGAGCCTACCTGGGCTTCGGGCCCTGGGCTGTTCACAGCAAGATCACTCCTCTCCTTATGGCAGATGGTAGTAGTTTCCCTTCACTACGGATTCACACTAGAAGCGCCAGTGCGATCAAGCCAGGCTGCATTTTTTTGTTTTTTTTCTCGGTTCTTCCTGCATGTCCTGCTTGGCAGGCCAGCTGCGCACACCCACACGCCCGAGGCACAGGATGGAACTCGGCGAATGTGTAATGGGCTGGTGGCCGATTTGACGCATGCAGACGGATTCAGAAAGCTGCAAGGCGTTCTGGTGAAACTTCTTGCAATTTCTATCGCGTTGACGAGCGCAAAGGAGATTGGAGAGAAATGTTCAGACAGCCAGAGCAGCTTTTTTTGCAATGGGCATCTTTAGCGGAATGCAAGACGGGAATGCGATGGCATCAGCCCGCTCGGAAGGATTGGATTTGGGGGCAACCTCCGAGTCTGAGCGTTGACTCTCCATTAGAAACTACCCGCTTGTCCCCTGGTTTTGGGCCATTTTCCGAAGAGACCGAGCAAGCGAGGAGGGGGCGGCTAGACCTATTGAGCAGGCAGTTTGGGTTTGGAGTTGCCCTGTCAACTCCCGCTTTTGGGAATTCGCCGTTCGGACAGGGCCCCGCCGCTCGTGTCACAACCGCCGGAGGCCCCAGGCCGTTTTTTGGATGTGCGTTGTTTGTGAAAGCCTGTGAACACGTGTGCAATCAAATGCGATCCTCTGGCCGCCCTTGAAGGAGTTTGCGGTTTTGCAGGCTACATGTTGACAAATGCAGTTCTCTCGACATTGCTTCCCCTTGCGACCGCACTTTGCACGGACTCGTTGCACAGACTAGGTGACTAGTTGCAGGCAACAAGTGATCAACTGAGACAATCGGATTGCCGCTCTTGCCTTGCGATCAGAAATTCATGCCCACATCTTCAGGTAACAACCTTGGCTCCGGTGTCAGCAGAGGCACAGTGCAGTGCATCACGCAGACAGAGACACATGACTTAAAAGTGATCCTCACATCACGTGGCTACTTTCTGCGTTTTGTTCATGGAACGGCACATAATTCAAACTCAATGCAAGTTCTGGTTAGATGATCGATGTGCTTATGTGTAGGTCAATGAACCAGGCCATCATGTCTTAGCTTAGCGCAATTTTCAGTATTCTCCAGGTGATTATTGTTGAGTCAATGGGGCTAGCGAGGCCGAACGTGGCACGGGGTGTTGTAGATGCTGCTGCTTTCTGAAAGCTGTCGAGAAAGTGCCAGTTTGCATGTTCAAGCTGCATGTTTGCCCATCCAGGCTCAGATTCAGCGGTCAGTGTGCACATAGTGAGGCACCTGAAAACACCAAGAGTTCTGAACACCAGTGGTTAGTGGTGGTTCTTTTACCTGAAATTGGTACCCGCTCGAAGTCGAACCGGGACGCGCTTTGAGATGCGCAGGAGGTCCTGGCCAGTGAGATGCTGGCGACGGTGGAGGCGAGACGATGCTGTGAGCGACAGTTTTGTCACCCGGTGCCTCCCAGAAAATGAATAGCGCAAGGACGGAGAAAGCCAAATACACATTGCAAGGGATAAAAAAGTGGATTAGCTGGATGTTGAGACAACAGTATTTCTATCGAAGGCTCACATGCTTCGGGGTGAGCTATCTTTGCTCAGGCTGCGTAAGTTGACAATGTTTTCGCCTACATGCAAAGCTGATAGTTGCTTCCGGGTTTTGATGGGTGACGCCCTCAGCAATGGGCAAGCTTGACTTAAGAATCGCCATTCAAAGTCTTTCCTCCTGAGACTACGTCGTCACGTGCAGGCGTTCTTGGCTGAAAACCCGGTGGATGCCGATGCAGGGGTGCTCAACGAGTCTGCTTAGAGCAGGGCTGGCAACGCCCGAATTGGCGAGCCGGGGTCCGCCGTTTGATTCCACCAAAGAAGGTTGAAGCCCAAGAGCTTGCTTGGGAAATGAGCCACCCTGGGATCGAAGTATACCCTGCCAAGCAAACAAGGGAACTCTGGCGCGAGCTATTTGTGAGGGTGCCCTTGCTCCAAATGACTGTATGCAGTCAGTTGGACGCAGGCAGGGGGTTCTTAGAGGCCTAAGGAGGCCATTGCAGAAGCTTGTCTCATCTTGCCTCCACTCTCCAGGCTTCTCAGCCCTTGCTTAGTGGTTTTGGTCTTTGCGGAAGCATTTCTGAAGGCTTCGCACAAGGGATGTTGCCACTAAGGACTCCCCAGCAATGCCGCTTTGTGCCGACTCTTGCTTTTTCCTTGAAGCTTTGGCTTGGCTTTGCTTGTATGGAAGCCTTGACTTGAGAACTCCTTCAACTTTGTATGTGTTTGGCTCAAGTCAGTGGCTGTCGCATAGTTGAAGAACAACCCCATGTCGCCCACGGTTGAAGAAAGAGTGGACCAATGGTTTGATTTGGCCCCTATGGCACTTTCAGATCACGGCTGGCATGTGGATGCTGCGACAAGCCAAGGGTCTTTCTCCCATCGCCCATGCACTTGGGGAGGCCAATTGCTGAGGCTTGATTACCAGTGCCATGCTGCACAGAGCCAACCAGCGTGCAAGTGAGGCCTGAGGTGCGGCATTTGCTTCGGGGACAGGATATTCAGACACATGAAAAGCTCTTAGTGCACGTGTCCCCCGGCGATGCAGTGCTGCGAGGGACTTGCGAACCGGGAGCCATGGCGCGTGCCTGTCCCAGCGATCACGTCCAATCCGTGCGGCGCTTTGTGGCCCTCTTTGGCGACCTCGGGGTGCTTTGGATGAACAACTTCTGCGAAACGGAGCAGGAGCCCACTGCCAGACACCACCTGCGGCGGAACTTCCCGGAGACGGGAGATGCCACAGCTTGCAGCCACTTCAACAGTTCTGACAGCAAGCCCGAGTTTGCAATGAGGATATCGAGAGCCGACGGACTGAACATGTTTCGCATTTGCTTGCTGTACAGCGTACCAGTCTGCGCTTCAGCGCACTGGGTGCAAGAATGTCTTGAGCAGATGTTGGACGTTGGTCGGAAGCATGCGGTTTTGTACCTCAACAATCCCAGTATGGCATATTTCCGCGAGCTTGACAAGCAGTTATATGTGACTCTGCGTATCTGTCACTTCCGGCATGGACCGCCGCTGCTTCCTCACGTTGGACCCGACGAGCCCGATGTCAGGATTTCCGACGACTGTAGGCTTGGTTCTTGGACCAGCTGTCACGCAGCTAGCAAGTCAAAGTTCCAAGCTGCCAGCTACATCCAGGAATTCCTTAAGCGGTTGGGTCATAACACCAGAGCCTTTGACAGATTGGATGGCCAGAAGCTGGTGCCATATCAGTGCGTCATTCGCAAAGATGAGTGGCAAACAGTTCGAGGAGAGTTGCTTCAAGCCTTCAGACTCCAGAAGGCGGCATATCGTCATGCCTATGGGGGTTGCCATGCACCAGACTTGAAAGAGGACAGGCCCGCTTACCATCGACGAGACCGGTTCAAGCAGCAAATACGTTTGGAGCATCCCTCAAAGCTGCAGCTGGTGGTTCGGCGGACCTTCATTGACATTGAGGATCACCATGAAAATGAGTCTGATCCAGACCTGCAATTGAGGAGGTCGCGGTCCATACGATAACAATGCAGCCGGCGCTATTTCATCTTCTTGCAATTTGTATAAACTAGCATATCCCAGCAATGTATAGCCATGCTGCGTGCAACTTATGCGTGACACCGAGCGGCCTGTACAGAACAGTCGTTTTGAGGATTCACACGCTTTTTGTTGCATCTTCGGCTCAGGTTTGTAAAGTCAACCCGCGAGCCTGTGAGATGCGAGTGCATCTTGCATTTGTTGTACTGAGAACTACGACCTGTAACGGTCTGATGGTCTGTGATTATGGAAGTCATTCAACAAGGCTTACCGCCTCAGCACTGCTTGTGCACAGGTTTGCAAGGTTAGCGTTGTTTCCTCCCCTCCACAGCTATTTTAGGCAGCCGAAACAGCTGAATGACGCAACGCTTTTGAGGCTGCAGACCGGCTGCGACAGATGCCGCAAGACCAACAGCAGCGCGTGCTGGACAGAGGCAGCCTGAGGCGCGAAGCAGGTCGCATCAGAAGCTGATTGTATGGCCCAAACCGTTTTCCTTTGTTTTGATTTTGGCAAGTGGCCTCAAGTCAAAGGTTTGTGCCATCTGGATATGCACTTGACTGCTACTGGAACAATGTGGATTGGCAATACTGTTTTCTCCCAATCAGCAAGTACAGTACAGTACTTTGTGGGAATGTACCACAACATAGTGGCCTCCACCATATCAATCCGTCCATGGCCAACTGTTCCCAAGCAGCTCTGTCCGTCCAACGGCTTCGTTTGTCATGTTCAGCTGCGCCTTCTGTCTCAAGCCCACTGGAGCTAGGAGAGCAGCTATCCCTCATGGAAGTAAATCGACCAGAGTTTGGGCAGAAGATGCCATATGAGAAACGTGCGTACCCTTGTTTTGGGACGCCTTGCCTTATAGCAAACATCACTCGATGAGTAGTGGATGTGGTGCATGATTGCAGTACATCGATGATCACTCGCCTGTGGAACTTGAGCATGCATGTTGAAAGAATGTCTGCAGATCGGCGAGCATGCCTTTTACTGGTTCTGCTGAGCTTCGATGCAAAGGCAACTTGGCTTTCCACGCCAGGCACGCTCGGAATCCTTCTGCCGTGCTGGCGGCGCGCATGAAGGATGTGGAGGGTCTTGGTGGTCAGGCAGGGCCAGGAAAGGGCAGGCAGCGTTGTTTAGCAGGTGTGGAATGGGGAGTACCGGAGCAGATGGAATGGAGTTGCTTCTGGGTCAACCAGCACGAAGCGTCCAATCAGGGTAAGCTGCTGCAGACCTTTGGAGAATTCCCTTCACGTTAAACCGTTAAACCAGGCTGAATTGGCTACCTCACACACACAGGCACAAACAAAGCACACGTAAAAGAAACAAACACAATGATTACACAACACTAACAAACACTTCGCACTAGCACCAACACTACCACTAATGCGCACACACACAAACACGCACACAACACACACACACAAGCAATTATGCGCCTGTGCGCACCCACCCACCCACACCCGCCCGCCCGCCCGCCCGCACGCACGCACACCCACCAACACACAAGCAGAATCAACCACACACAAGCAGAATCAAGCACACACACAAGCACAAACACACACAGACAAACAAGCAAACTAACAAGCAAACAAACAGCCAACCCAAACAAACACACACACACACAAACAGGCAAACAGACAAACGCACAAACACACAGACAAACAAGCAAGCAAGCAAGCAAGCAAACGAACAAACAAACACACACACACACACACACACACACAGGCACAGAGGCACAGAGGCACACAGACACACAGACACACAGACGCACACACACACACAACCATACATAGATACACACACACACAGCCACTTATAGTATGTCTCTGCATGGGGAGTTGAGATCTCGTTGCGTTTGCCCAGGGTGCGGCATGCGTCACTGGCTCCCATCCGGGCATCGAGGCTGGGGGCTGGCCGCTCGATCAGTATGAAGTGTCTCGTTGCTCTATCGGCCAGGCGCTCATTGCCACCTACAACTTGGATGGCCTTGCTGCGTCGACCTTGAGGCAATTGGATCTGGGGAAAATATGTAAAGGTCAGTGGCTTGGGACGGGAGAGGGGCAGTACTGAGCAGGGCTGGTCGGTCTGTATGTTTTTGTGCCAGGGGTGTTCCACGCAGGAGGGAATCCAACCTATTGCGAGCACCATCCCATGATCCATCCAGGGTTGACATTCTTCAGAACCCTTGGGACTTGCAGAGTGAAAGAGCTCAAAGCTGGAAAGAGCATAACACTGGGAACCGAGGGTTTAATGTGCACGTGTTGAAAGAGGAAATTGGGTGTGAGACTTGAAAAGTTGGTGGCAAGTCAATCATAGAATGCTCAAACGTACCGCTGGGTTGCGGTGGTGTTGGCAGATTGACATCCAGCTGCGCAGGTCCTTGCCCAAGCACAAGCAGGACTGGATGTGGAGGGTTCCCTGAGCTAGTTGAACCATCGCTAGAAAGCCTCCAAAATGTGTATATGTGTGTGTGTGTGTTAGCTCGGTGTTTGTGTCTGTGTGTTTGTGTTTACGTTTGTGTTTGTGTCTGTGTGTTTGTGTCTGTGCTGTGTGTTTGCGTTGTGTTGAGGGTACCCGTTTCAGCTTTGTTGAAGGAAGACCAAAAGGGAAGCCACCATTTTTGAGATCCCCTCCTTTTACCCAAATGTCAACATCAAAGGGAGGCTCATTTCCCGACACGGGCAGACGCAACAACTCACTCTCAGCTTGGAGTATTGGAGTCGCTGGAGTCGAAGCCACATCGTTGAAACCGTTGTTGGCTGAAGTCGCGACACTTGCTGTGTTTTTGTGCAGCCGCAACTGGCCATAGCCAAACAGCCCGCACAGGGATGGCATGGAACACTTCACTTTGTAAATTCATTTGCCAGATCAGCGAAAGGCAACTGCTGCTCAACAGCTCCCTGCTTCCACTTCAAGCGGTTCTCCCTGGCACACTACTGCTCCGGGTGCGCGTGACTTCCTGGGCCATGTGTCATGAAACATGCAGGCTGCAGTTACTTGGAGCAACGGGGGAGTCTGGTTGCCAAAGTGAATCTCCTTCAAGATTGAGCAGACAATTGCTGGCGGCATCATATATGCTAGAAGCCCAAGCCCATGCCTCGCAAACTCAAGTTGATTCCCTTGCATGCAATCACTTTAAAGGCGTGGCGACTCGGCAACCTCTAGTCCATGTTGGTAGTCAAGGGGCCAGAGAGAAGAAAGAATAGAAAAAGGCGAGTTTCAGGGGTTTTTTCCATGGAAATCACCCTGCCCCCGCAATGCACTATCCCCCCCATGTCTTCCCCCCACAGCAGTTGAAAGCAATGGGGTGGTTTGGGGCAGCTTTCTTTCCGTTTTCGTCTTTCTTTCTTCTTCTTTTTTTTTGGGGGGGGCGGGGAACACATTGAGGGTCCGGGCAGGGGCGCATTTCCAGACCCCCTGAGTTTTTGAGACGCATCGCGGCATTGGGGGGGGGGGAAGCTCTGACGCCAGGATGCAGGGTTGGTTGCATATGCTTAAACCTCCAGACATCATTCGGCCTTAGCGGAAAATTTGAAGCAGGTGGGTGAAAGAAGATGGTGGTTGAAAAGACTCACCCAACGGATCACAGGACGAGGCAGCGCGGATGGACCTCTCAAAGGCCAACCAGCCCTCGGCCTTCCTGATGGCACAGCTGAAGCAGGCTGAACTTGTCAATCTGGCCAGCGGTCAAAATCCCAGTGACCATCCCAATCCCCACTAAAATAGACTAAAATGGGTGGTGCCCCAAAATGGTACCATTGGTTTTGACCTACAGCCATCTGGGTATTCAGCCAGCCAGGGTTGTCCACTGCTGACTGACCCCCTCCCAATAGCCCCTGCTCGGCAGGCTCCCCCCATTTGTTTGTGCGTGATGAGTGTACACGTTTGGCTGGATTTTCAATGAGAAACCAGGGGAACGCCAAATAGAAAGCCCAGTCCCTGATCTTCCCAAAAAGTCGACCATTTTTAGGCGCTCGCGCGCGGGGAGGCCTTCTGGGGGTGCGGACAAAGATTGGAAAGCTCTTGAATCACAATCAAAACCTGGTATGAAAATGGCCTACCCGAACCAACGTAAAGAACTACAAAGGCGGCCACACCTAATTCTGGCTGGGATTGTCCCTTACTACCCGGGTTTTGATTGTGGCTCACTTGAAAGCGTGTGAGCCTGAGGGAACTGTGCATACATGTGCATACAATTTAATGGCCAACCAGCAACAAGCACAGAAGGGCCAGCAAAAAGAGCAAGCACAACAATATTTACATAGACACGTCCACTAGCAGAACGAGTGGTGGGGGTAGTAGTGCTAGTATGACCGATGCTTGTTCAGAGGTGCCCACGGCCTGGGAGGCTTCTTTTCAGACGCACAGGCTGAAGTCTTCCAATGCCCCGACACTCCTGGGTTCGTGAGAATCAATCCTCAATCCACGTGCCAGATGGCAGTGGTCCCTTGCCCACTAGGTATTGCGGATTGGGATGATCCCATGTTGAACAAGCCGAAGATGGACCCCGAAGATGATATTGAATTCAAGCCTTTGTAAGGGCTTCCCAGGGAACCAGCTTGAACTCAGACTTCCCAAGGGCACCATGGCCACGACCACAACCCACATGTTCCCCATTTCGAGCACTGCCCTGTTCCCCCCCAATCATGTCCCTAGCAACACGGGTCCCGGGACCCTGCGGGTGTAGGCGAAGTTTGAGGAGATTCCGGTCTTCAGCTCTGTGCCTCTGGAGCCATTGGACTCGATGCTCTAAGGAAAAAGAATGCGACGTGAGCGCCTGTGAGTTTGTGAAGGAATCCACCTGACAGCACGTCTTGTGTACACTCCGCATCTCAATACAGCTTGCCTCCGCTTCGCAGCCTTTGTGATCTTCGCATCAGGTTCCATGCACGGAATGGCGCAATGTTACAGTCGGGTTTTTGTGTTGCACCAGGTGTACCTTGGATCAGGCTTGGGCACGGCTAGGGGAGGAAACAAGACTAGCAAGAAACTGCGTAGCTCACCTGGGGCTCATGGAAGTCTGCAAGAACCCGTGTCGCGTGGGGCCAGGTGAAGGCACCGCATGTCCTGTTTAAAGGCGTGTTGAGACATGCCGCCACTTTTGTAGCGGGATCTCTCAACTGGAATTGTGCTGTTTGCGCTGAAAAGTTGTGGATGGTCCGTCAGAACTGGAGGTGTCAATACAAAGGTAGGTTGCACCCTCGTTCCTGTCTGTTGTCCTTCTTGCCGTTTGAATAATTGGTATGCATTTTTTATGTTTGGTACAATGTTGGTATTGGGAAATTATAATAGAATTGTTTTTAGTAATATATGATTATAGTGATTTTGGTTTTTTCATGATAGAAATTGTTATTTAAATAATATAATTTGGAAATTTTAGTAATTGATGGTAAATTAATGGATTAATTTATTTTTATCTATTTGTTTTTATTGTGTATATATATATTTTTTTAGAGGATTGTATATATATATATATATTGTGTATGTTTATTTGATTTATTGTATTAAATTTAATTTATTTATGTATATATGTGTTTTTGAATATATTGTATATTGATTTTATTTCTTTTATTTGTTTATAATAATTATTGTTTTGTAATGTTTGTTTATTTTGGGATATATTTGTTATTTGTTTTGTAATTGATATTTTTGTTTTAAATGTTTGTTTATTGTTATAAATTTGTTTTTATATGATTATGGGACGTTGTTATGATGGTGTCGAATGGTTTTTATTGGGATGATTTAATTTATTTAGGATTGAATTTTTTGAATGTGATTATATTTATATAAAGAAAATAATGTAAGAATTGGTTAAGGTATTTTTGTATTATATATTTTGAAATTAATAATATATTGGTATTTTTATATATTATATAATATAATAATTAATTTAAATTGAGTAATATTATTAAATATATTTATTATTAAATTATAATATTGTTGGTTTGTGTTGCACCATTTTTTAGGAGATTTTAATAATGAATAATTATAATAAATTAAATATATGAATTTAAATAATTCATGAATTTGAGGAAATAACTTTTTTTTTTTAGGTCGCCACTAATTTATTGTTTATTTGATTGAATCTTTTACCCTTGATTTTGTTTTACCGTATAATGATAATAACCCCATCGTTAACAACACATAACAATAATTTTACCTAACAACTGAAAATATATAGAACCATTCTCGAGAGTGATGACCCAAATCATCTTTATAAGGGAACACAATTCCTATTAGGGTTATATCTGGGCCTTGGTTGGCAAACAATGAGAATCATTGATATTTTTGTGGCTATAGGGCCACTCCTCTGCAAGTGAAATCCGTAATTAAATGTGGTTATACGAATTTTATATCTACTTGTATAATGCAGTTTATATCTTTTTAACAATTTCGTAGAAATATTCGTGCTTATAAGCATTTATAATTTATTTATATTTAAAAAATGTGTTCCGAGAATCATCGTTTTTTTTTTTTTAAATTATTTAATTAATAAATAAAAATACTTAAATAATTCATATTTTCAATCCAATATAATATTTATATAACAAAAATTATTTACTTAATATCAAAACACAAATATTCATAAATATTCAATCTTTATTCCATTTTTTTTCATTCAAATTAAGAAAATATATAAACTTCAAATCCTTCAATATATTATATATATTATTCCTAATTATTAAAATTCGAAAATAAACAAATGTTCAATAATATTAATATTCATTATTTATTATATAATAAATAATTTTAATAAAATATATCAATATATCCAAGTAAATATAAATATATATATATAATTATTATTTTAAGAATAATATATATTTTTAATAAAACATATCAATATATCCAAATAAATATAAATATATATATATATTTATTTTAAAAATAATATTTTAATTTAAATAATAAATATTATAATATTAATTTATATTATTATTTATATATATTATATATTTAGTAAATATATTAATTCCTTTAATATAAAATATAAATAAATAAAACATCTAAATATATATTTTTATTTTTTTTAAATATACTTAAATTATATATATATATAAAATTATAATATCCAATTTCAAATTATTTATTATATTATAAATAATTAACATATAATTAAATTTAATTAAATCAAATATATATAATATAATATAATATAATATAATACATATATTGTATAATTCAAATATATTATTCAATGAGTGTTGCCAGCGACACCAGTTTGTGGGACACTGCTTCACCAACTTGCTCCCGCCCACGTCTTTTGGCCGAACCTAATGCGGAGATCCAACAGCAGCTGCACAATCTGTAATGTTGGGGCTGTTGTGATGCCCCTCCAAAGGTGGAACTAACACTTAACTTAGAATTGACAATTCTAAATTTAGCATTGCCAAGCCTTACTCTCAGATTCCCAGTACTTAATTTAGTATTGCCAATTCAAACAATTAGGGGGAACCAAGACTTACTCTCAAATGCCAGAATTTAATGTAGTCTTGCCAATCAAAATTGTTGTTAAAGTAAACTACAAACACAGTCACACTAAACAGAATCAGGGTCTCTTGTGGGCAACCAACTTTGTGCGACCGTTTGGCCTTAGTTTTTTTGGGGGGTTATATGTAAAGAAGTTATCCTAATTGTGGTGGTTTGGGGACCACTTGCCGAGACTTTTAGCCGAATCATGTTGTTAAAGCGACCCTTCAAACAGTCCCAGGAATCTGAATTAGAAAGGATCTCAAGTCTTAACGCGGCCCTAACAGTACCCCCCGTGGCGCTTGCTCAAAAGAGAGAGCTGTATAATGCTGAATATTTGTGCGTTGGGTGTATACGGTGGATGCAGCCAAGCGGCTTACACTGCAATGTGACAGCGGTCGGAACATTGCGTCACGTTCTTGACTGAAAGTCCTGCCAAGTGGACAAGCGCGGCGTGTTCTACAGCTCCAGCTTGAAAATCCCCACTAGGTAGTACAAGTGCACTTGCACGAAGTACACTTCCGTAGCTCCAGCTCGAAAATCGCAACTTTAGAGTACACTTGTACGCGAAGTACACTTCAGACTTCCGCCACTCCAGCGTACTTCGGGCCATTTTCAGCCAGAGGCTCGTACAAATGCACGCTAGAGCACTTCTTGCTACCGGCACTTGGAACATCATGCTGCGACAAGACAACACAAAGAGGCTTTTCATGGCAAACGGACGAGTGTTCACATTCGACAGGTCAAGGCATCGGTTGGGGCATCGGTTGGGGCAGTATCGGTTGGGTATCGGTTGGGTATCGGTTGTCGGTTGGACCCCGGTGTCTTTTGGTGGAAAAATGAACTTGGTAGCAAATGTGTGCAAGTCTTCTCTCTCCTAGGATGTAAGGTTTCATGCTCAGGGGCCCCTCGGGTATGCATGTTTTAGATTTGTTGCCAAAACCGAAGTCCAGATTCGCTTTAAGTCCTTTGTAGATAGTTTTGTCGGGAAAAGCTGGGTGCATTTGCATAGCTGGAGCTCCACCTATTGGATACCCGCATCCTTCCACCCTCCCAAGAGAAAACCATCACAAATGCTCTGTCTGTGTTCTGTCTGAGGCTAAAAGTGCTCGCTCTTGCCACCAAGCACCGGCCCCGTCGCCAAATGAGTCTCTTCGGGGGAGGGGGGAGGTTGGATCCACATGATACACGGGCCTCCACACAAACCAGCTCCAATTCCCGCAAAATCATCCTGACCTGATAGTTAACTAGAACATCCTTGCTATCTCAAGCCTCACCTCTGTTAGCCACCACGCTTGGGATGAATCGCCCACGCGGTCTTGTCCTCCATGTTGGAGCCATCTGGCCTGCTCGATGAAGACGCCAATGCGTGCTTCAAGGGACGGTTCACCTCACCTCGGCATAATCAGTAGGCTGTGGGCAAGGCCCGAGAAAGTCAGCCCCACCTCCTGCAAATGCCGGGGGCTTTGGCGCAGGTCGTCCTGTTTTAAGAACATGTTACAGCTGCCAAGCTCCAGCAAGGGAGGATCTAATTCTCTCAGCAGATCAAGCGCTTCATTCAAGCCGGTCCCAGCAACCAGCAAGGGATTCTCAATCGTAATCTGCGGTCTTCGTACCCTAAACCTCTGATAGACTCAGGAACCAAGGTCGCCCCCAAGAGGATCAAGATACTAAGGCCTTTAAAGGACCCCAATTCACCAAGCACCTTCCAAATTTGCCTTGGCCAAAGCCCTTGGGCAAAGGGTTGAAGCGCCACTGCTGCTTTTGCTGTCCGAGGCACGCCCCCTGGAGATATGATTTCCTGGACATATGGTTTCGATTCCTCAAGTTATAAAGGCTCCGCCTCAGTCTCAGGTTGAAGGCTCCGGCCTTTTGCAAACTAATCAACGCTGACTCGCCAGATTTCCCTTGATCAAACCCAGTATTCCGACACATTCAAGCACTTCCCCAAAGGAGCTCTCCGTTCCCAGAAAGCCACCTCCGGTTAAAAGGACAAACACCAAACCACGGCGACCTAAGTTTCACCCTCGGATCCTTCCGCTTTTCCCAGGTGCCAAGGCGCCAAGACCTGGAAAGCCTGGCGCCAGGCCTTCCTCGCCGTGGCCGCCCGCGCCTCGTGGGCGCGCGCCATGGCGCGGCTCAGCGCCCGCAGGTCACAGGAGCCCACAGCCGACACCAGCGCCGGCAGCGAGTGGAACCGCTGCACCGCCTCGTAGCCTGCGCAAAAAACGGCCCACGTTTCTCTCCAAATCGAGCTGACGAAAAAACTGCCAGCGTGGACAGCACCATCGTCACCTGAAAGACACTGGTAGTTGAGGGGATCTGGGGATCTTGCAACTGGTGGTTTCCTCTTGACCCGTGGGTTCAACTTCAAAACGAGCCAAGGCCACCAGGCCACCAGGGCCAGCGATTCAATCTGAAAAGCTGGCTTGGGTTCTCAAAGCGTCTGAAAACCGAGCGGCCCCACCACATCACATGCAACACCAGCGCCTCTTTGTGTTATGATTCTACTGCGGTCATTTCGCAATCGAGCGAATGCCTAGGAGATGTAGGCATATACTAGGAGCACGGATTGGGACCACTTGCATTTTTGGCAGGCATACATGGACAAACAAATCCTAACAATGGATCAACGCCTTGTCATCAACAAATCTTCCCAGCCAGAACAATCCACCCCAGCAACTTCAACTGATTGAGATACCTCAGAAATCGTTGTGTTGAGTGGGTCCGAAAAGGGAGAAGTGCCCTCGTTGCGCCGTCCAGCCCGAACGAGATCCAAATGATAAATGCATGCTCGACAATACTACCACCCAAAACCGAAAGGAGACCACGCAAAACGGATTCCCATGACCCAGAAAAACCGACAGGGCCTGCCCAAACCCCATGCCCTGCAAAACCTTGTCGGTTGCTCAAATTTCGATGTATTTTCGAAGATATGTGGTGAAGCTACTCTGGTGGTCCTTTGTGATTGGCACTTATTACGGCTGCCAGGTAGCGCACGAAGTCCGTCATGCCGGCCCAGAACAGGGATGCCACGTGCGCTTGCATCTTCTCCTTCGGCAAGTCTAGTGGCCATTGGAAAAAAGGGTACCCGGATTTTGGTTGTTGATTTCAAAGCGATAACCACCTCAAAAAAAGAACGAACGAGGGACATGCCGCACTGGAGAACTGGGAAATCATGGTGGGGTCAAAGCGAGCTCGGCAGGTGGAAATCTCAAAAACCGCGGAGTCGAACCACGGCTTTATCGCAGCGTTGCTGTCTTTGGCATGTTTACTCCTGGGAACACGCCGTCTGATACAAGCTTCATGTGAGCAACAGTGCCTTTGCCTTCCACATACAAATCCCACTTGCAAAGGTGCCCCAGCCAAGTCAGAGATCGTTTTGTTTGGTTTCCGTTTATTCGGCCAAATGCCAACGCCAGATTGATCAACTTGGTGGATTCCAAGGGGAAAGCTTCCTCAAAAACTGTGTTAGTGAAGAACTCTCTGAATGGGACACATTGTGACACCCTCAAATCAATCATGAGATTTCTCATGGGTTCTGGTACCTTCGTCCGCCGCGCAGGCCCCGTCCTGGGCATCTGACAGCCCAAAGGGTTCCGAGGGGAATGGTCTGCCCCAGGCATCTGCAGCTTCGGCGACTTGCGGCGGTAGGTGCCTCACGACTTGCGGCCAGGACTTTTTGTTCGAACACCCATGAAACGTAATTCAGAGCGTTGGCGTGCTCATCCGCCCATAGCAACCTCCATATTGAGCGGCAAGGCAGTGAGAGCCTATCATTCACCGCTGCTTTCAGTGGGCGGTGAAAATCGAATGGGCTCAAAATCCCGTACCCCCAGTGAACATCCCAATCCCGACTAAAATAGGTTCTAAAATGGGTGGTGAATTCACCTACCCCAAAATGGAATCCTCTTGTCTTGGCTTTGACAACCACAGCCATGTCTTCTGCTTGGGAGCTTGGAGAGGAAGTGGTAGTAGCCGAAGAAGGGCAACAGCCTGGCCAGAAACTCCTGGCCGGGTGTCCAGAGCGGCATGGCAATGGCGCACCTGAGATGCACTCGGACAGGGGCAAAACCGGGCAAAACGCCGCCAAACAACCAAAAAACAAAAACATCCCATTCGTACCCTTCATGCCTTTTGCGGGAAAGACATAACAGCGTCTCACAGCAAACAAGCAAAACAAGAACTTTCAAGAACCCTGCTGTGGGTGGCTGTCCTTTGAGTTCAAATCTACAGCCCACAAGGGTGAACAGAGCCGAGACCAACAAAAACAGGGAAATGGAGCCGAGGCGCGCTTCCCAGAACATCATCTTCATCATGTCGTCCGGTACAAAGAGGCCCGCGCGGCTCCGCGTGGCGAGGTCCCATAGGCTGTCCCAGTCGAAGTGCTTGCGTGACGTAATGGTCATGTTGAAGGGGTGCCCCGCCTCCATAATGGATTCTCCGAACAGTCCAAAGAGATGTGACCGAACCGAAGCCAAAAAAGATGCGGCGGGTCTGGACGACCTGCTTCTCAAATCACAAGCGAGCATTTGTGGATGTATTGGGCCCACGCAAAGGTAGCTCAAGGCTAGCTAGCGATACGTCAAAGGTTGGGCAATTAAACAATTGGTAATTAATCGGTATTCCCAACAAACCATGCCTGGACAAAAAGAGATGGCAGGAGTACACAACAAAATGCCAGTGGAAATCATAGCTCAGCGTTTGCCCCATGAACATGTGACTTTTAAGATTTGAGTCCTTACTCGGCACACCTCAAACTGTGAAATGACTTGGGCCAATCAGTAGGATTCATGAATCGGGATTTCCAGGAAAGAGAATTCGTCGCAGATTTTCGATCGTGGTACCGCCCCGAATCGCTGAGCTCGGTCAAATGTGCGCAGAAATGATGTACAAAGCCGGTCAGCCTCAACATGTAAACTTGTGTCTGGTCAAGATGCCATTGGTGCCTGGTCAAAGCTCCTTGTGTGGGCCATGGGCACGTCTCCCTCAAGGGACCATTGCATTGGTTGTCCAAAATCCTAATTGCTGGATGATCAGCCCAACCCAAAGCAAAAGGCACATCCTTTTCAAGGCAATGTTTCTCGCAATGGATCCGTTTTTGGATCCAAAAGGAATCGTTGCAATGGGGGACCCTACTTGGGTGTCTTGTTTTGGGGTACCATTTTGGGGGTGGTTTTTTCGGGGCGGGGAAATCAATGGGAAAACCATCATTTTGGGGGGCCCCTACAAGAAAGCCAGACCTATTTCGAACACCATCCTCCGCAATGAAGAGCCGCAGGGCCGAGACGAACATCTTCCCAGGCGTGGACTCAACCCATAGGTCCGCACGCAGCATCAACACGTCTCGAGCCTCCGGGGCATCCCACCTCGAAGCGCGGTGGCAAGTTGCAAAAACGCACTTGTAGTTTGTGTATGTTGCAAGAGATACTCTCCTTGCCTATTTTGTGGCTAGCTCACGTGGCTTTTTCTGGGAATCCACCATAGCTCTTGGATTGCAGCTGTGCCTAGCTCAATTTACGTAGATCAACATGGAAACCAGCTTTTCAGGACAGGACCTGCGTCACCAGCATACCCGGCTTTAACAGTTAATTCTTCCATGTTCCCGCCTGAGCTTGGGCTTAGAACCGTCACAGCTGTCAAACAACCTGACGTTCTCCAGCGCACAAGCTTTATGGGCTTGCTCAACACAGCTTCAACATGACTTATTCGTTGATTTATTACCAAAGTCGGGGTTTCCGACCGTCTTCTGTGTGGTTCCTGGTCATTTCAGGGCGTGTAACATGCTCCTGATGGGCGGCTTGTGTAATCCAGCGGAGCAGTGACCCTCCTGAAGCAAGATTCACCGACCGTCTGGATAGGTTCTGCCTGATGTCGTCTCTGCAAGGTCTCTGTGAAGATGGTGTGGGGCGAAGCCCTTGAAGGGCTGAAGGTGCTCATGATGGACCAGCTGCTCAACACAGTGAGAGTTGCCGTCAACGTGGTAACAAGATACTATGGCCAGCCGGCAAGCAAGCAAGGCAAGCAAGGCAAGGCAAGGCAAGGCGAGGAAAAGCAAGGCGAGGAAAAGCTAGTCCCACTCTTCTCATTCTGATTGCTCATTGATCCTGTTGCAGCACAAGCAATGCGACGAGTGCAGGCTGCTGTGGAAGCTGAAGCCCCCAGTGTCAGCTGCAACCAATGGCGCGCTGCAGGACAGCTGCACGTGCAAATCCCAGATGGCAAGATCACGTGCTGCTGGATAGGGGCTGTGGCAAAGGCTGGAGGCTCACCAACGAGTCGAACAAGTCTCCCGCCTCCGCGCTTCCAAGTAGTAGCATGACCAGGGTGCCACAGGTGGCCTTGCAAGGTGCTAACCTAGAATGCCACAAGCCCCAAATAACGTAGAATGCAGGCCGAGAGGTTCGAACTCCCCCTCGCCTCACCCTGCTCTAAACCTAGCCCAAACCATCCTGCAAAACCACCCAGCCAAGGCTAAACCAATCCCACCCGAAATCCACAACCCTGAACAGCCTACGCCCACCCCAAACCCAGTCGAAACCAGCCCTAAACAATGCAAATCTGAGCCAGTGCTGTGCCTGGTCATTGTTTGCCTGTGTATGTAGTTCAATCTTTGGAACATGGAAACTGCAGACAGAAGTTACCCATCAAAATAGTTTAATATATTTATCAATAGGCGTGCAGCAGGCTCACGCATGCACAGCCCTCATGCACAGGCAAAGAGCATCCATTCAAACCTCTCCTAAAGGCAGCCTTGCGGATTTTGGTTGGGACGATCTCCAACAAACAGGTTTGTGACGAAGACCCTGGCACAAGGTAGAAATCTAGGTCCTGCAAAGATTTTGCATCGTTTGGAAACTGCTATCCAGCAACCGTGATAAACCTTTGCCTTGCGAGATCTTGGGAGTGTTGAATGGACCCACCTCAAGCCCAGCAGGCGCTCCGTCAGCGCTGCCACCAGCGCAGAGGGCGCCAGCAGCGCCACCGAAGACTCGCCGTCCAGTGAGGCCTGACATGGGAAAACGTGCAAAGACCCAAGCAGAATCATGGTTTCATGGGAATTTAAAGTGGCTATGAGTTGTCTACCTAAAAGCAGACCGCACCTCCGGGAGGTAGAGGCCAGCAGTCTGCCGAAGCCAGCTGCCCACAGTACGGAAGTCCTGGAAGAGATCTGCATGACAAAGCAAGAACAAACCCATGCACAAGACAATTTTGTCCATTTGGGGCACTGAACCAGACCTTGAAAGCCACTCGGCAAGCTCTCTGGCTTTGCGCAATTCAACGCCCCCATCCACATGTTGTTGTTTCCCTTTGGTTTCCTTTTAAACCGTACGCAACCCTCAAAGAAACGCGCACACACGCACACACAGACACAGACACAGACACAGACACACACAGACACAGACACACAGACACACACACAAACAGACAGACGGACA